TTTTGTAGGATGCAGCAAAAGGATAAGTCTTTTTTTTTTACGCATTTCAGTTTCTTATAGAGGTGGGTGGTGAAAGACATTAGAGACCAAAGAGGGTCGTGGGACGATCGTTACCAACGGCAAGAAAATACTTAAGGCTGAATTTTGTGTATTAAAGGGCACATTTTTCGAGCGCTTCTGTTTCTCGTCAACTTTTTTATTATCGTAACACGCGGGCAGCTTCAACGTCGCCGAACTTCTTGAACTGACAATCACTTTGAAGTTCCGTATCTTTTACGACAACGGGATAAAGAAAAAAAAAAAAGAAACCGGTTCGTTAACTTGGGTGAAATAAAAAATTCGAATTTCCGTGACTTTTCTTTCTTAACCCCAAACTTAAATAGCTTCGGCGTCAACGTAACCCATCCTATTGTATTTACAAAGTTGATGCGTCAAAGTGTATATAAATTCAATGAAATCGAAGGAATACAAACCACTCGTTATACAGTAGCCTGTATAAAAATCTTCTCACAAGAAGATATACTCGAGGGGGTTGATTCAGAAAGGAAATCTGGCAGGAGTCATATTACGCTTGCGAAATTTCCCACAAGGGATTTTACCTACGCTAAAGTACAGTTACGCGTGCATATACATGTATACGTCTGATGTAATAAAATGAACCTCGCAGAGCGAATCCCAAGTTTCCTTTTATCGTTCGCGCTTCGTAATCAAAGTGTGCAGTAAAATTCGAGAGGATTAATTATTAAAAAGCCTCATTTATATAAATGAGATTCAAGTAGCCGTAAAGGGGATTTTGCACCTGAAGTGACGTTAGTCTCGCTGCTGGCACGTTCTTACGTCCTGTCGCATGGAACGTGTGACGCGACGAGTGCCTTACTTTATTAACGTAATAAATAATATCTCCGAGCATTGTGCAAGCAATGGGATCAGGAATTATTACCAGACGTTATACGTGCCAGCCAAAGACCACCCTCAGAGGTAACGTATTGGACGAATCGTAAATTCACCACTCAACCGAATCCTCCCTTAATTTATCAACCGCAAAGATAGTGCCCTGAAGGCTTACATCCGTAGGATGATATCAAATACGAATTATATAGACGCGACTATAGTAACGATATTACGACTCGGTCACACGAGTAACATATAAGGTATAACGTTATATCACTACGAAGCGCATTGCGAAATCGTTGCCGTTTCACCCGAGCCATAAATCTGCGAGCGTAAAATGTCCGTAAAGCCACTTTAACGTCCGCCCTGTAATATTCCAATGGGTCGTGAGCTGCAGGATGCTCTTTGAATTTGTGACGTAATAAAGTCTATGACGTCACCGGATACAAATGTGTTAAAGAATTTGTTCCGGTAGTAAGGTCCATTGAAAAAGTGTGAAACGAGAGCGATGGAGGAGAAATAAATCAAGAGAAAAATAATCGCGTTAACATTCGCTACAATTTTTCGGGCATTACTTTAAATCACGCTAATTAACGGCACGACACATTTTTTTCTGTACAAAATTAATTATTTCTTATCCCGCTCGGTTGATCTGTACAATTAATTAGCACGTTGACTATGCACAAAAATTTATTACGGAGAATTAGAAAAAAAGATTCACTAGTCTCAATGTAATAATTAATGTAACCATTGGGGCTGTGATTAAGCGAAGGATTCATAATATATTTCAGGTAACCACGAAACTCAGCGACACAGAGGGTGCGATGGGTTAATAAGCTCCTGTCGTGGCAATATATACTTTGCGCTTGCAGCATCAAGGGAAAGCATACGAGAGTCTGCGGCAGGAGCGTCAAACATCGTTAAACTACCCCTTGCGGTAAAGAAACGAGGCTACGAGCTTTCCGCAACTCACGATTTCGTGTAAGCAAACACACGGCTGGAAAAGGGTCCCGGCAAATGTCCTCCGTCTCCTCGGCATTGAGAGACGCGTTAATGCGGCACGAAAATGGGGGATAAACAGAAGCAAGAAAGAAAGAAAGAAAGAAAAAATATATTCGAGCACTGTGACAATCGTAAGAATAAATCCACGTTTATAAATGTCCTCGCGTTATTTTTCCTTCTTCCTTTTCAAGGCACACTCTCTCTCTCTCTCTCTTTACGTATGGCTATCGACTGTGGGTATCTTATACAGAATTGTTATACAAGATGGCGTTGAATGACACGTGATAATCTGTTATCGATAGGATTTGAGTGGTCGTTACGTAAAGGTATCCTATTGGTCGGAATGACACCCTCAGGATGACATACCCTGTGAGTTATATCTATGGCTATAAGCATATTCCATAACAAAGGTCCTTGAGGAAGGATCTCGGACGTGAAAATAATTCCCTGGGGTTTGTCATCCGCCATACTCGTCAAAGCTGCTTGGTACTCTCGAGGAGGTTGTAGCCAAGGCAAACAGGATGCGAGCCTAGAAAATCCCTGCAGAGACGTTTCGATTAGGTTGATAAGTCCAGCTTTACATGAACCCGTCGTGTGGTGATGATTGCCAATTGAATATTCGCCTTGTCGACAAAGACCACAGCTACAGTGCCCATAGGGATTGCGAAGGAACGCTATTCAGCCCTTCGGCATCCATGACGAAAACTTGTGTAATTCCTTGGCAATGGTGATTTACAATTCCAAACAGGATGTCGTGCAAGCTTCGTCCTTCCTGTTTTATACTGAAATACAATGAGAGCGAGGTCGGTTAGAAATTAGCATTGGAGAGACAGGGAGCGAGAGTTTGTGCCAATATGAAAAACTTACGTGACCAGAACAAATGTTATTCTTTAATCAGACATTGGCTGACTGGTGGAAAAGTTTAAACAGCCGATTGGATCGACGCAGAAGGAACGTCATTGAACTTTCGGCAGAACCAACGACCGAGCCTTGTCTCCGGGGTGATTCAAAAGTAACGGCCTATCCCCGTCGCAGTGCGGGGAAACGTTCAAGCTCTGACTGTCGCAAGCCCCCAAGGAAACCACTCGTCTTACATTATCGGAAACGTCGGAACCATCTGTTCCCAAAGTATGGCATTCCCGAGATAAAGCAACATTTCACGTAGAAAGGAATATCTCCCTGTGCCCAAGAACGGAGACTGGCAGATCATTTCTCAAGGACCGCGCCACAACCTACCGCCGATCCGTCTTTAGACTTTCTCAACAGGCTACTTCTCTGCGTGCACTCTGTACCTCTGCACACAGTGAAAGCCATATACCGTCATTAGTGCAACGTGCTGGAAAACAAATTCTTTAAAATCAATTTACAATAACTCAGATAAGAAATCGAACAAGACCATACAGCAATGACGCTGGTAACTGAATAAAAACGAAGTATCGAGGTTCTCGCTCAAAAAGTGCCATAGGTCGCTGGGTCTTATCGTATAATCTCGAATTTAGCAGACTCAGCTAACCTGTCCAACTCGACCGAGGGACAACGTCTTGATAAGACATCGTGCCCGGGAAGGAGAGCAAGGGGCGAGGAAATTATCGAGAAAAGGGCTACAGAACCAAAGGGAGTGAGGATTTCCAAAGGGTTTGGGACGCTGTCAATAAGGAGACAGGATAAGAGGGAGTCCTGAGGTATCCCCTGATCCTTCTAGGACCCCCCTCTGGCCAAGAAGGATACAAGAGGAAGAATGAGATAGGGGAAAAAAGCATAAATCGAAGAGACTTAAGCGCGTTAAAAATAACACGTCAGTTACACGCGGGATCGAGATAAGACCGATAAGAGCCCCGGGATGAACGATTTTCGTCCCGTCCAACATCCTTAATCCGAATGATAAAATCCGTTACGGCACGAAACAATTGTATAACGTATTAAACGCATTTTTGTGTAACAACGATTATAAAAATTTAACATAAAAATTGCACGATGACAGCCAATGTTATTTTGATAATAGATTTTCGTCGTCCAGCATCGAACATTCTCGAGAGCCGGATAACAGCCAGAAGGGAATAGACGGCAATGAAACCAACCGCGATTCAAAGCTAGATAGAGCGTGTACCACGAATAACAGAGCCATGCGAATCATTAGAGCAAACCGGACGGAAGGCTGAGATCGATACGAGATGAGTTTATGGGTTTCCTGCTGGCTTACAGTCTTATAAGACCAGTAAATAGAACTATTTGTACCACCAGCGCGTGATCACTCGACCGACCCTATTGGATCCTGTCGGACTCTTTTAATTTGGCACAAAGTTTTGCCGTCGGAAACAACAGACAAATAAATCCACCCTCCCGTCGTAATCTCGGATACAAAAGTCCGAGCTACGGTTCCCACGAAGTTCTCAGTGTTTCCAGTGGATTTATTCAGCGCCACGTTATATATCCCGCTCGCAATGGAAAACCATTGTAGAGGAGAAGAGAAAATCCGAGCATCCTAGTTGCCGGTAAATTCAAAAGGAAAACCTAAAAGTACTGAAAACTCATACAATTGGCAACGTGACGCAGCAATACATATACAGATATACGATAGGTGTATTGAACATATGACACAAATTTTTCATTCCGCGTACACTGCCGCTTCGTATTTTCTGTACGAGCGATTAAACCGGAAATCGAAAGGCTTTCACGGGAACCGATGTTGCCTGGTGCATCGGTGCGTGCATTGCTTCGGGTTACACTGTATATGGATGTACAGTAGGCAAGGCACCGGTAAAGTGCACTGAATCGGATGAGCCGCAGAGAAGAACCCTTTATACATCCTTCATACGTTTCTTCCTTCGTCCTGTAGAGCTCAACGATTTACTGGCTTTTTTTTTTAAAAGTGATATGCTAACAAGTTAAATACGCGCCATGGGCATACGGATCTACCTACCCCTTGTGCTTTCTGTATAATGGATTGCGCGATACTCGCGAATGCAACTCCTTGCTGCATATTCATTTTCGGGAAATGATTAACGACACGACGTACTGGGACGTAGTAGATTACCTCACGTGCATTTTACGTCAACGATTTTTCATCAGACTACTTTTTTTCTTACTAAACAATCTTTGTAAGGTAGAAAACTTTGAACGTAATCAAATTAATCTTTTACGGAGCAAAGTGTCGATGACGTCATTCGATAAACGCTAATTGATCGATATGTTTTTAAAAGTTCTTTTTCGTTCTTATTGAAAAAAAAATTCAATGTAAAAAATTATTTTTATAGACTTCGCGAAGCTGATTGGTCGGGTGATGCGTGTGAATTTGCGACTGTTCGACAGCCAGTGTTAATATGTTAAAAGAAGTTCGCGTTTGGTTAGAAAAACAATAAAATCAAAAAACTGTTAAAATTCATCCGACAATCCATGGACGGACTATAATTGATTCGCGTGATGATTTAATTAATAAAACAAACACGGCGCATCGCAACAGTACGTTCGATTATTCGATTGCGATTTCTCTACTCGTGATTTTGATCCAATGCATAATCGGCCCCGAGAGGTTAATACGCATTAATGAATTTTCATTTGCACGTGCATTAGCCGATAATCCTTTAAATTCAGTCGGGAATAATACGACAGCTGATAAACGACAGGTTATCCCACGAAACACAACGAGTTTTAATCAGCGAGCCAGTAAATTCGTTATTTTTCAAATCGTACCCTCAAAATGCATATACTGGACATGAAACCTATCGCGAAGCACATTATCCATTAATCATCGACTTCGGTCTTCGGAATTAGCTCAGTACTACCGGCAGCTCTTGCCAATTTGTATTCGCGGATGTATACGATATGCGAAAAAGTGTTGAGTCTCCTTTTCCCATACTCCCTACATCCGCATAATCCCTGGAATAACGAGAAATAAAATTTCCCAGGGGTAGAAGGAGTACACAGAAGCCAACCGTGGATATAACAAAAAAAAATTCGTTTTTCGAACATCGTTAAATGAAAAGACGTTTTTTTTTTTCTTTCGAAACCACGCAAAAAATTCCATCGTAAATTTAAATTCAATTTTGAAAGCATTCCTATAACCCGAGTAAAAAATATTTTCAAAATCCTCTCTCCTAGTCACTGTGATTATTTGCATGCTTTCAACACTGTCAATATTTATCAATCTACCATATACGGATGCTGCGTCACGTGCGAGTGACAGATTTGCCAGATAAAGTATCGCATGCATTTTTTTGCAGCTGATTTAAGACGCATCATAGGAATAGTCCTTTTTCGTAATTCAGACAAGACTGTCCTTAAAAAAGTATAATAAAAAATATTTCCAAAAAACTACGAGCTCCTAAACAAAAGCGATGAATCCCTGGTTGAAAGGTATGCGGGAGTCTCTCCAACGATTTCTGCACGTGACAAACCGTCGAGTGTTTTGACCTTATGACTTATGACCATTAAGACTTCTTCCTGGTTAAACTTCAAGTATACAATTTCTTAGAGTTCACGAAAAATCTCCTGGAAGCAAAATTCAAATGAGATTCATTAATTCGTACGAAATCTAAATAATAAGATTTTCTTCATGGGAAAAATCAATCATAAATTACATTTGCAATGAGTAGCAACATCCAAGTCAATAATTGACACAGTGTATAGGGAAGACTATCTTCATCGAAAAAAAAAAAGAAAAAAAAAACATACTATGTAATCAGTATCGAACGAATAGTTCTGTTTAACGTTATTTTTTTTTTATCACAAGAATCAATACTATATCGATCACAAACCATAATACAAGATGCATCCAGTAACTCGTCTAACCCAGTGAACTTTAACTATCAATTTCCACAGTCGTCGTCCTATACCTATAGTCTATGTAATATGCATCATGTGAAATCACACACGATAGTTGTATCGATTAGAAAATATAAAAAATATACACCCTATATATATCCCAGCCATATTTACCTATTTGGACGTTAAACAAATTTCAAGTCAAGATTTTCCCATTTTTTTGGGAAAAAAAGAAAAATTTAATTACGCGTAAGTGAAGTCTGCATTGACCAGAATTTGCATTAATGACAGAATGGGGGATGAAACTATTCAAGCAGTGGTTACAATCGTTGAATGGACGTTCTCAAGATATTCTCAATAAAAATGCCAGCATCCACATTGTTACACGTTGCACAATTTCAACAATAGGACTCAGACAATATATTACATTTGGTCTCCTCCGTCAAGCTACTCCCCCTTCACGTGTAATGTACAGGGTGTACCTGAGCTGACGTTCCCAGGAGATGATGGAGATGCACTTTGCTCCTCATCCGGAGCACAGAAGATCGTTCATCATCTTAGCCAAGTGCTTTTAGACGGTCTGGACCAACAAGAGAAAGATGCTCTCATCTTCGGCATGCGTAACAGGCTAATAATGTGAATCTGCATAAGCTCATGATACATACGATACGCACATACGACACGCATGCTACGCACGATACACGCGTGTAGCAGATTTCGCATCTGGTATCCAGCTAGTACCCAAATGGACCAATGTATTTGTCATTAGGGTGCCTTCTGTACATGACAGTGCCAGTCTACATGGACCAAGCGAAGCAAATGTGGCGTATTCACGAATATCAATGATAAGAGACGTCTGTGAAGATAAGCATAAAATTGTTAAAAATAATTCTATATGGAATATGAGTTTTTATAAAAAAATACAATTTTATCTCCATGCATGGATGCTGCGCAGACATTCATCAGTCTTATAGGATTGTTCGAGGATGCTGTGTTTTTCAGATCAAATCCCAAGAGATAGGCTGAGGATAATCTGATTAATAACTAAGTAAACTTTTTCAGTTACATATAAGAGTATAATGTCGATAATGTCTTCGGGTCGATTGAGCTTTGCTTTGATTATCTAATTTCATTGCGCAGATCCGCAGTTAGTAAGGATGGAGATAAAAGACGAAAAACTTTTGGCGGATGCTGTAGGAAAAAGCATTGACGACTTTGGATACTCTCGGATACTAAGAAAAAAATGACCACCGATCGTAACCAAATATTTTTTTACGCAGACAAACAATCCTAATTGTAAGTAAATAATATTAGCACTCATTTATCGCCCAGAATTCTTGGTCTTCCTCGAGCTTTGTTTTTAGGCCGTAACTCGACAACCGGAAGATTGTATATACATACATATACATATATACGGATGTAGCTTTAGGGAGCACAGAAACTTTTACTCGAGAGACTTCGATGATTTATGGAAACTGAAATTTGATATAGATTATTTAATGTATCATGTATCACGATTTACTTGTGATGGACTGATTTTCATCCAAGGATTAATCCGAACGAAATAACATGGGCATATGCTTTTAACCTCAAAAGAGTCTGTAATTTAGATTTCATGTATTTCCACGTCTCTATCATTTTTTGTCTGTATTTGATATTATGGCGGCGACAACTCCCTATCGAGCTAGCAATACCGTATTTTTTTATGAAAAACATTCGACTTGGTAATGAAGCATTAAAACAAGCTGCTAGCTGGAAGTTGGTCAATTATTGACGTTATAGAAAAGTCTGTCAAGTTTATTAGACGTAAAATGTCACGAGTCGTATTGCAAGTCAATCGACTGATGGAAAACGTAAACAAACAATTGCCAGTTGCTGGATGACGTAAAACGTAAAAATAAAATGTCGAAAAGAAAGTAAATTTATGTTTCCTCTTATACGTAAATGGGTACTCTGCGATTAAGACAAACGACTTCTGCAAAGTAAAAAAAGAAGAAAAGGTACAACGACGGAACTTACGAATGGTTTTAATCTGGCAAATTAAGGGTGCAGCGTCGCAACGTCTCAGCGTCTACGAGAGATCGACTGATTGTCACGTTTATGAATTCTCGAGAAACTTCGCTAATCGAGACTATGTAAAAGCGTGATGGACGGCAACCCACAATTCTGACGTACTCATTCTCAGCGACGGCAGTCAATTACGCGATATTCTCTTCTATTCTATATAGTTTTGTACCTTTATTTTCTAGTCCAATATCCACCATTATATCTTAACAATTGATGCTCCGTGAAATATTTATCATAGAACCTTGACAATGGTTACCCATACCAACTTTCTAAGTAATCTGGCTCAGTCTTCACAATGCCATTATCTGAGGGGTAAATAAATACAATCAACGTATCAGCTGTCGTAATAATATAAACTTTTTATAAATATCGCCCATTAGGATAATACTTCAAGTAGTCAACAAAGTGCACTCTAGCGAGTCGACAATTTAACAATCTAGTCATAGGATGCATTAGAGCAATGAAATTTAATAATGGTTTATAGTGCACTCTAGTTTAATGCAGCTCATCAAATAAGCCATAATCTGTATAATATACTAAATACGACAAAATCCAATGACGTATAAAGTTTAACGATTGACCTCTGTAAAAGTTATAATTGACTTGTGTATCATCAATAATTATTTTGTAGGTTAAGCAAAATTCATATTTGACGATTAAAACGTTAAGCTGTTAAAGACGTTGGATGGTAAAATTTGTGTGTGATTTTTTATCATGAACTTAGAGATACCTTGTATAACTACGTTGTATATTCACTCACGAATAGTTCTCCACTCGTTATTGTCCTCTAGCTAGTTGTGAATAAATAATGATAATAACAGAAAGTGGATTCTATTCGTCTTGTACTTCGTACAAGATGAAAGTATCGCTAGACTATCTATTGGAATTCATAGTTCGATATAAAATTTAGAGTGAAATTAAAAAGGTAAAGCAACTGTACCTGAACATCTTTCTGGAGATAAATAAATTGCAGGGCTGACACAATAACACAATTAAATTTCTGTTTACGAACTCTCGATGGCTCACTATACAATTTTCTGATTCGTAAGCTCCAAATTATAATACAGCATACAGAACGATTGTTTTATTAAAAGCGCTGAACGAATTATGGTTTTTCACTGTAGAAATTATATATCGGACGAATTCGAAAACAATATTTTCTTTTCACTCACCGCAATGAGATGTTCCACCGACGCTTTTTACACGTACGAGTTAGGTATTTATTTTGATTTCACTTCACTTGTTAGAATATACAATAACACAATTAAAAAGAATGCAATTCGATCAGACGTCAACTCTCGTGCGAGGCCTCCACGTGACTGGTACAAGGGAAAGCCGCGCTCCTAGCAAACAGAATTTTCCGATTGCGCAAGTCTTCGTAGTTACGGGAAGAGGAAAAAGGGAGGGAGACTGTCTGCATGTAAGTAGAAAATAAAAAGCATGAAAGCAAAGGAGCAATAAAGAATGGGATCGTGAGACCTGATAAAAATTTAAATAATATTAACCGACGCCGCAGTTGATTGTTTTGGTGAACACAAAGCGGGAGACGTCACTCCATTTTCTTTTTGTGAGGCTCATGGAATGTTTGTTAATCGAATCTATAAATAAGATGTGCATCTGTCTGTAGTAGAAACGGTTTGTAAGTCTCCATAAGATCCTCTGTACCATCAGAATGGAGATGAAGGATTTTTATATACACCAAGGAAAGTGGTCTTTAGATTGCCTGGAATATACGGAGAACAAATTAGCTACGTTATCTGAGTTTGCATTAGCATAACGAGGGAACTGGCCGCGTACGTAAAAGCTCGCTGTGTAATTAATATTCGTTGCGGTAGTGGAAGGAAACTTGGTTTAGCTTTCTTATTACAGTTGAATTTTACTATTGAGAATTTAATATAAAATGGTATTAATGATCTCGTATTCCCTCTCTATCTCTCTATATACAAATTTGCTTAAAAAAGCGTAAATTAAGGAAACCTAAGAAAATAGAGGTAAAAGTTAACATCTATTACCAAACGCTGTTCACTATGTTCAGGAGGTACTGCCATCTTCAACTGAATAAATTTACTCTTACGATACTGCAACTTGATCGGTAGGACTTTGACGGAAGATAAGTAGACTAGGCATTTTGTCGAGTTCAGGTATTTTCACGTGCACTTGGGTGCCTCGATACCCGTAGTCAAGTTATAGATTGAAAATGCCAAAGCTTTCATATAGCCGCGGTCTCGTGTATGTACAAGTCTGGGCACTTTAGGTGAAAACCGCGTGACTATAAGGTGGTCACTGCCGCAAAAGGCGTTAGTGTCGAAGAGCCAGCAGGCTCCTTTGACACTAGCGCTTGCGGGCAAAACAGGTCACATTAGCGGTTACAAGCCAGAACGTGGTGAGGGTAGGAAACTGCTCAGAGCTTTATACAAGAACGTGCCATATAGCAAGCCAGCGTCATTGTGGTTCCTCTGTGATATATGTATAATATATCGGTAATTATGCGCAAAGTTTTATCTTGATATTCAACATGTTTAGCCAAGAACAAAATCTGTATGAGGCTGTGAACCTTCTTTATTAGATTTTTTCCGTGACTTTATCAACAGTAGTACTCTCTAGAAGCTTTCTATTGGTCGAAAAAGTTTTACTTGCTTCCGATTCGCTAGAAGGGAAATTCATTCAAGTTCAAACTTGTAACACCCATCTTAAATAACTGCCAAGCGAGATTAAACTGAGACTCCAACGGAAGAGAAATTCGGGCGTCAGTTTGTTACCGTTTTCCATCACTTCGTTTTGTTTGTGAGTTCGACTTCGTCGTTCTGAGGTATGTTTACGTTATTTATCATAATTCATACATATTCTTATAGAAATAGTAATGCGAACATCACTTACAGAATTGTTTATCGGTTTGTTTCATGACGATGAATAATATTTTGATCAACTTAACTTTTACATTATATAATATTTTATTTATATAATATTATATATTATTTATATAATATTTTCAGGTAAAAAAAACTTTGCTTCCGATTCTGTAGAAGAGAAATTCATTCAAGTTCAAAGCTGTAATACCCATCTTAAATAACAGCCAAGCGACATTAAACTGATACTCCAGCGGATCAGAAATTCGGGCGTCAGCTTGTTACTGTTTTCCGTCACTTCGTTTTGTTTGTGAGTTCGACTTCGTTGTTCTGAGGTATGTTTACGTTGATAATTCATACATATTCTTATAGAAATGGTAATGCGAACATCACTTACAGAATTGTTTGCCGGTCTATTTCATGACAATGAATATTATTTAAATTAACTAACTTAACTATATTTAAAAAAAATATATTCAGTTAAAAAAATGGAGTCCCGCTTACGAAGACCTCAAATCAGCACAAAGAATACTGTGACAACTGGAATGTCTATTTCATCAAGTGCAAGTTGTATATCAAAATCATCACAAAATCTTACAAAAGCTAAAAGTACACATAACATTAATGCAAAACCCAAAAACGAGAATGAGCCTCCCAACAAGACAGGGCTTATTCGAGCAAAAACAATATCTACATTTAACCGCGTAAATGGAACAACAAGTACAAATGTTAAAACAGCTGTTAAGAGACCAGGCACTGCCTCTAGCGAGATTGATGCCAAGAAACCAAATGTTAAAGGTACTACCAACTCTATTGTTAGGACTGTTAATACAAGACCACCTAAGAGTGCGTCAAGAAAATCTACTACAATTGTTGCGAAGCACGTACCTGCAAAACCTAGCAGGTGGGACACAAAAGGTCGTCTTGCATTAACATCTGAAAAATTAGCTACTATGAAAGAAAAGAATGATGAACTTGTTGCAAGAAATAAAGAACTTGCAGAACTGGTTGAAACATTGAAAGAACAAGAAAATGCCAGTAGAGTAAAGGCTGAAAAGTATGAAATATTAAGTAATAATTTGACGCAAGAATTAGAAACCCTAACAGTTGAACTAACAGAACTAAGAACTAAAAATAAAAATTTAGATGAGAAGTTAGAAGATACTGAAAAGTCATTACAAGAAACTGTTGCAAACTTGAAAACATTTCGAACAAAATGTAACATATATGAAACTAAACTGTTAGAGCATGAAAGCCAAACAACAGAGTTACAATCAAATTTAGAGTTACAACGGAACATGGTTACCAAACTCACAATTACAAAACAGGATTTGCAATCCTTGATACATGGCATGGACAAAGAACTAAGAATCTTACATAATGCCATACAAGAGCTCAAAGGAAACATTCGAGTTTTCTGTCGTGTGCGACCCAGAATACCTAAGGAATCAGCGAAAGGGTAAATAATCTTTTGACGAATCTCACAATTCCTAATATTTTCACATAATTCCTATTTCTACAGATTGTGCACGATTAACTTCCCGGACGAATGTACAATTGAAATTGGTCGTATGGACAATTCAGAGGTATCTAATTGTGGTGGGAAGGTGAGAGGATCACGCATAGAATTCTCGTTCGACAAAGTGTTCTCACCATCAGCTACTCAAGCTGACATTTTTGAAGAGTTAGCATTGCTAGTACAGTCTGCATTGGAAGGATACAACGTCTGCGTTTTTGCATATGGTCAAACTGGCTCCGGTAAAACATACACAATGGAAGGTGGATTTGGAATAGAAGCCGAAGGCATGATACCACGCACGGTTATTATTTAAAATTATTTAAAAAATTAAATCATGTACAAGATATAACCATTAATCACAATTATTTTTTAATAATTCAGGTGAGGCACATCTTCAAAGAGATGAAGCAATTCGAGTTGATTGGATGGGAGTATCGAATCGAAGCAAGCTTTTTGGAGATATACAATGAGCACATTGTGGATCTTTTGGATTCCCAGACGAAGGTCCACGAGATACGAATGGCAGATGCAAAGGGTACCGATGTGTACGTGAGTAATTTAAGCGTCCAAGAGATACACAGTCCTGAGGAATTGCAGGAATACTTAAGAATTGCTCAAGAAAATCGAGCTGTGGCCGCAACTCAAGCCAATGAGCGATCATCAAGATCACATTCGGTGGCGCGTATAAGATTGATCGGTACGCATACATTAAAGGACGAAGTATGCATCGGTAACTTGAATTTAGTCGATCTTGCTGGGTCCGAGAGATTGAAGACCGAGGAGGCCGTCAGGACGGCGGAGACCAAAAACATAAACAAGTCGCTGGCGAATTTGGGAAATGTAATTTTGGCACTTCTAAAAAAACAGGAGCACGTTCCCTACAGAAACTCTAAACTGACGCATCTTTTAATGCCATCACTTGGTGGAAATTCAAAAACTTTAATGTTGCTCAATGTGTCACCTTTGGATGAGTGTTATAATGAAACCATGAATTCATTACGTTTCGCCAGTAACGTCAATAGCTGTAAGACTGGAAATGTGAAGAGAACGCGGACTATAACGTACAATCCCGCTTCATAGCGTTATGCGGTACCTTATAAATTTTATACATTGATACGGAATATTAATGCCAAGAGTTACTTACCTTATTATTCCAGAGACAATATAATTTACATTTAAATGTTGACACAATTATAAATACCCACCGGCAATTTAACAAAGAACAATTCTGAATAGCATTAAACATTAGTTTTTATACATTTTTATATAGTTATTGTAATACATACTCAAATTCGAATTAATAAATATGTTAAGAGTCCATGACTAATTTTTGATAATTTTATAGCCTTTTTTTTATTAACCGAGAATAGACAAATACAAAAACTGACACTATACATAATTACGTGTATGGATAAGACATTTGATCGTGTTCTAAATTGAATAAAAAGTTTCTAAATGCCGGCGAAGAAGTAACCATACCACCATTTACAGTGTGATCGTTCGAATTGATATTTTTGGCACACAAATCTTTAGAGCCGCCATCGTTTCTTCCCAACCTTTGAAAAGTGCCCGTGGAGAATATTGACTGATTTTTCAAATATTTTTCAATCTCCAAATCGAAGGTATTCACCGTATCTTCAGTACGATATGAACTTAAATATTCTGAATTGAAAAATAATTTTTCGGACACGTGAAAATCATTTTGGGACACGTGAAAATTATCGTTATTAAATTGTCGCCATATCGAGTTACTACTCCGTTCAGAAATAAATTCAATTTCAGAATCACAAGAGTTTGGCAAATGGCATTCATCCTCGCTACTGTTATCACTTTCTATAACATTCATTGATTTCAGATTGTTAAAATCAGAATTCCATGATAAACATTGATCGTTTATCGAAATCATGGATCTTTCAATTGACAAATCACGATACGTAACACGTTGTATGACTTGCCACAAATTCGAAAAAATTTCTCTTTTCCAGCTGCACTTGTAGATCATATTTATCTTTCTTGTAAATCTCCCAATTAAATCCATATCTTTTTTATCATTTTGTAGAATATCTTCTTCCATAATATGAATTATTGGACCGTCATCCTCCGATCTTATAGGTTCAGTACTCAACCGAAGAAAATCATAGAAATAGTGTCTGTGATAAGAAAAAAAAACATTGTATAATAGAAAATACTACATAGTTTGTTACTCACGCATAGGCACTCTTAGAATATCCAAACTTCTTTTGAAAATAACGTTCGACGTAAAACGCCAAAGTGACAAGCATCACGAGCAGTAAAATCTCAAAGATTCTACTGGATACGATAAATTTCCAGATGTAATTCCAAAGATAAAATAACCACCAAACACGAGAAGGTTGGCTCTTAACTGTTTCTGCATTAGCAGTAATTTTCTTGGTACCGATTACATCAGCAATCCATCCTTTTATCAAATTTGAACAGTCAATGAAACCTTATAAGTACGAAATTCTTGTAAAAAGAAAAGGTTAAACTAGACAAAAAAGAGTCTTACTTTCCTTATTTGTAAAAGAACTCGTCTGAATCGTATCAGCGATACACAAAGAAGCCCACAATCCAATACCAAAACTTAAAAGGATACCCCAGTTCAAATAACTGGTACAAATCCTCGAAATCTCATTCCGAATTAATGATAACTTAGAAACGTTAGATGTTCCTCTGTCGTTAGAATAATCCTGTTCAAAATCCTTCAGTGTCATATTCATAGAATAGCAAGGTTCTTCGAGACTAGTATTGCTGGATAATTCATTATTAATTGACTCCTTAATCATTCGTCCATCTTCGCTGTCTGATTTCGATACGTCAGACGATGAGGAACACGTTAAAAATTCGGCCTGAATGCCTTTACTAAGGTTGCACCAACTGCCATCCCTTGAGGAGATGCCACAGGATTCCCCATCATCCATTCCTATTAAAAACCAAAAGTATGATACTTCATTTCGCAAAATCTCATTTACTCTGCTAAAAGTCTAGCAGATCCGCTTATGTCAATCTTTTGTTCCTTCTTTTTTTTATTAATATCCATTTCAGACAACTTCTCTTGTATGATACAATCAGCTTATTCAGAATGAAAGGATCCACGTCTAATCGTCCGTCAAAAAACATGAAGGGTTTGTCGACTCGTACGATATTGGATCTTCGATTTGAGGAATGTGTAACAAGAAGAAAATACAAAATTTGGAATGCCAAAGTCGTCTATCGTTTCGAGACTTAAAGAAATCGAGAGGTGTATTACGAATATAACAGAACTACAACGAATGGAGAAAGTACAGTTTCAGGCAAGCCATTATTATCTTCAAGTAGAATAAATTTATTTCCGATAACTTATGTACCTTTTATATAGGGCGAATGTGCTAAAATAAAACTAAAGAAACCATGTACTTGTCTGCATCATAGAGAAACTGTAAAGAGACTACGTGATAATTGTGTTTGTACGAATAATGCGAACACAGGAGATTTTTGTGGTGCTAAGATTTGTCAGCCGCAACGTCAGCCATGTTTTTGTAGAAGTTCTAAATTAAAGGGAACAATGGATTACTCAATTAATAATAAACCGCGTCCTTATAATTTAGTAGATAAAAATTCAAGGAAATTAAACGAACTAAGTACAAACTCGAGAATTACTCGGGATGATGAAACAGATGTTACGACTGACGGGCATGGGGAAGGAATTCAAGTCTCGTATCAGGATACTCAGGCAAATACTATTTCCAAAAGTGGGAATGAAAATAAAATAGTCAGGGAAAATAACACAGAGAGAAATAGCGAAGAAAATCATGAAGGTAATTCTACGAAAGATTCGCTTGATAAAAATCTAAACCAACAAAATAGTACGTTGGTCGTAAGTGAGAATCGAGAAATGTTTCAAAATGAGGATCATCCAGATGAGACTAGAGGTAACAAATCTTTTATAGGAAAGGAGATAACAAGCAATGAGGACGTAACAAAGAAACCTGTGAGAAAGCAACAAAAAAGCAAAACTGACGTACCTGAACTAAGGCCGAAGGAAAATAATTCAGAATTGAAAATTCAGGAACATCTTGATAGTAGTAGTATTTCCAAGGATAAATTAAAAGAAGAGAAACAAAGTGACGAATATGCTCAGGATACATTAAGCCAATCACAATTTCAATGGTATGAAAAGGGAATTGACTCGTCTTTTGCTAAGAGGAATTTCGAACGATTACAAAAGGTTTTTTAGGCTTTGATGTAATAGATAGAAACATTATAGCACTTAACGTAGGTAATTCGAGAATTTTTTTAGGATCTAATGAACGAGAGAAAGCGTACTCAAGAGCTTGAAGAAAAATTGAAAATTATGACGTGTAGTATAGAATGTCTGAAGAAAGAAGGTGAGCAGCGAGCAGCATGTATGAGAGAAGCTATGGAGAAGGCTGAAGAACAAGCTAGTTTGGCAGCAAGATCCAGAAACGTAGCAATGGATCTAGCAAAACAATCCAGAGACCAAACGGACATTATGAAAGCCAGTAAAGATGAATTACAGAAGCAAGTTTTAACTCTTCGAGTGAGTTGAGGATATGAATAGAGAATTGATAAATTAATGTAAGAAGAGAATATTGTTTTTAGAAAGAGATGGACGATGTTATGTGTAAAAACACACAGCTGAAATGCGAATGCGAGGAACTTAAGTGTCAACTAAAAGCTGCGTGTGAAAATGAAGTAAAAAAGTAATGTGCATTAGCAGATATTAACAGCGTTTATACTTATGCAACAGATAATAATTACGATTATTTTTTTATTGAAAGATGCGCAGAAGTCGCTGACGAAGTGGGCAGAATTAAATGTGCTGTGAAACAGAAGGAGGACATAATGTCCACTGAAAAGAATGAATTGCAAGAGATGATTACGGAATTGACAAATGTTGTAAAAATACAAAAGAAGAAAGTATGCGAATTAACAGGCATTTGTAGTAAGCAGCAAGAAATGCTCCAGAACAAAGATGCGTGTATTCAGGAAAAAGTATAAAGAAAAATGAACACAGATTGCTCCATATTAAATGATATAATCTTTTAGGATGCCGAAATGTGTGATCTACAGTGTAAATTAAAGTCTACCGAATGCAAGTGTCATGATGTGGAAGAGGAAATACAGACGTTAAAATCTTGCTTACACGAAGAAGCCAAAGCATGTGATAATTTTAAGCGAGAGTTGGAGCGCTGTAAGGAGAATTATTGTTGTGAATTAAAAATCAAAGATAAAATTATACTGGATCAAGAGGAAACCATTAAGAAACTTAAGAAGGTGATTTTCTCATTAACACAGTCTGCACTAGCCGTTGGAAGTAATAATAAAATGCAAATGGTACTTCTTATAGCTTCTACAAGAAAGTGAAAAAATCGCTCAACAAGCTGCACGAGAATTTGAACAGCTCACCGATCAGATATATTCTGAGAAGCAAACAAATTGCTCATTGAGACTTGCATTAGAGACAGCAGAAGCTGAATTAGCTAATAGTACTGGAGTACAATGTAAACAGTGTGAAGCATTGGAATCTGATTTGGACTGTCTTAGACAGCAGAAACGGAAAGCTTTAATGGCTGCAAAATATGCAGCTGAGAAATTGTGTGAAACGACTAAGGAATATCAGAGAGAGATTGAATGCGAGAAAAGACAACAAAGATTTCTTACAATTGTGGTCCATAAAAAGGAAGAAGAGATTCAATGCTTGAAACAAGAGATTCTATACAGCAGACAGACCGGAAAACGTGGATTAAATAATTATATGGCTTAACATAGTGGTTCTTCTGATATTGGATAAAAACTCACTGTTTCATGTATTGTGTAGGACAATGAGTAGAAGTAACAACAAAGATGTAAGTAAATCAACTACCATGTATAGGTCTGGTACAATAAAATCATCGTAACGTTTTAAGAAATATGATTTACTAAGTTTATACTAAAAGTTTTATATATACAGTATATAAAGAATTTACTTAAACTTTAGCTTAGATAATCTTACCCTGAATTCTAAGAGCAACAAGTGAAGATTCTTTTTATACCATGCAATATTATAATTTAAATGACTCTGCCAATTCTTATCAAGAAATTGTTTATAAAACACAGACATTTCGTCAGCACTCACAGAATTGTTCCCTTCCTTTTTCAGTAATTCCTTGAATTGCTTACGTTCCTGAAAATGATAGATATGTATAAACAAATTTTTCATGATTCGCCTATACTAGTAGCTATGATGAGATATTTACATGTGAGAAATTGGTATTGTGTTTTGTCCAAAATCGTTGATTCCATTCTTGAGTAGCCTCGCGAGTTTCTCTGTATTTTTTTTCCAGTTCCGTTTCTCTGTCAGATTTTGCAAAAATAATTGGCCTCAAGTTGGAGATTGAATCAGGCGGTCCTATTAGATCTCTATCGCTTTGAATGGGTGATTTGGATGTAAGGTTAGAATTGACTTTCTACATGGAAAATAAAATGATATGTATTAACTGAAATTCCTTAATCTTTAATATGTAAGATTTACCGTACAAAATTGGCGAGCATGATTATTTAAATGTAATTGCCGTAAATATGTATTTATATTAGCCATATTCTTGCTGGTTGGAATACATAATCACTCCATAACCGTATCCATGTTTATACTGCTTACACAACAGTTGGTAGCTGGTTGATCAATTGATATCATGGCCTTACCCTTCTACGTTCTTATCAACTGATACTGATTACTATTTTGAATGATAAAAACGTATTTACATGTACAACAATCAACTCTTTATTAATATAATTCTAATATACATTTTCTCGTTTAACAAAGTCTATTGATCGCAGCATTTCATTACTTACATAAAACAAATGTCTCTGCAATAGATGTAGAAATTTAATGACCATCATCAAAGAATTCAACAGTTAATTATAACAACGCACTGATACAAAATATCCGCGTATTGTCATCCCAAGCCAAACAAGACACAATATATCATTTCTTCAAAAAAATAAAGAAAAAAAAAGAAATTCATCTAAATAGTGTAAACGATATTTCAACCACGTCATAAGCTTGTTTCATAGAAATTGCAATCATTACGTCTAATCAGTTAATATCATGCCTACTACGGACAATTTATCGCAGAAGCTAATTCCTCGAGAAAATTTTATCTTAATTCTCAATTTGTGTTTAATGGGAGTTCGTCTTTAACGTTCAGACGCAAAATGAAGAAAATTGAAATAAAACAAGTTAAAATTTTACACTCTAGTTGTGCTAACAAGAAGAGTCGAACTTCACATATTCATCGAATCGGGACTAGATGCTTAAGTAGTTAAACATTCCGTTTATGCCTCGGGGGTTTTTCATTCAAATAAATCTGTGCATATACGACTATATAAAACATGATCATAATCGATACTATCATACGATGCAAAGACACATCCTTAATCTCTCTTGACTACATAATCGATCGTTATTTGAGGAACCTCCGTGCAATAACATTGACACAAGACTCAAAAAAATTCTGCAAGACACTAATGAACTCTTGACAGAAACTCAATTGAGCGATTTCAAATATGCTGCATCGAAGAGGTCGAGTTCGTTTGCCAAATAATTCGCTTTGTTTCGTAAAACCTTCGCACTGGTTGCAGCTTCTTCCAGAGTGCGCAGCGTGCTGGCAATTTTCTTTAATTCATCGTCCATTTCGGAGGTAGCTTCATCGACCAAGTGACAGAGACGAGCAAAGGTACTCGATAATTCTCTGAACAGAATAAAATAATAGAGTGTCATTATATTGAGCTAAATTTGATTAAAACAGAAAAAGACTCAAAACTTACTGCTGTACTTGATGACTGCAATTGGCAGATGTCAGATCAACGATGAGTCGTAACTTCTTCGTGGCGTGATCGACATACTGTTTCTTAAATTCACGTTCTTTTGCTTTATTCGTCCAGGTAAGACGTTCATAAAGGAATAGAGCGCCATAAATTGCACCAGTTACTGCTATAAGCCTCCAGCCGATTGTTTTCAACATCTAGACGAGTAACAAAAACTTGCTGTTTCATTCCTATTATAATAACTATAGAAGTTTAATTTAGATTAAGTTCTTAATAAAACTACATACAAATCCTGCGACTATGAGACCACCCATCGTTCCCTGGGAGGTAATGGAAGCTATGGCAATTCTTGTTGCGACATTGGACCAATCATCTGATCTTGATGGCAAACCGGCAGCGCTCGTGACATATTTAATCGAATCGATACTATCGACAGGAGATGTGATAGAAGGTGGAATCTAAAAAAGAAATTTAATTACAGTATAACTCAATACATAATTTGTAAGCATCAAATCATACAGACACTCACATCTTGGGGATAGTTAGCTACGGCTAATTTCTGACTCTGTTTTCCAGCAAATCGGCTGATCAACGCCGTGATGCCCCACGAGAATCGAAATTCCAGATCCTCGTGGAAATCCGCACAGAGATTGTCGCAATTGAGTCTGTATAAAATCTCAAAGGGTTCCTTCCGGGGTAATATATTCACTGACATCGCTTTTTTCGTATCCGGTAATAAACTAGACATTCGCTCTGTCATTTCACGCTGTGAAGTCTCCATGTTCAAGGCCAAAGCAGTGCTGAGTCGCGCTCTTAAATTTGAACCTTTAAACATATAAAAGGATTAATGATATTCTTTAATTATAATATTACATGATTTACTTACCTAAACCATGTTCTACGTGAGAATGAAGTTCTCTCTTGTAAACGTTTAGTACCAATGGCTCTGGATGGAAAGGAACACTGAACTCATCAACAAGAACAGCTAATCGTCTTATTTCTTCACTGAGAGCTTTAGAAACGCGTTGCTCAACATCTTCAACCATATGATGAATCTTATCCTTCATCTCACGTGTCAACAGCATGAGCTGCTGTTCCGTGTAGTTCAGTCTGTCGTGAACTTCTTTTTTGATATTGAGTTGATCAGCACGCATCTTCTGTGCTCTTTCCAAAATTTCATCTAAGGTTTGACGTATTTCCCTGTACAATATAAAGATCTAGCTTATTCAACAGTTTTTTAAGCTTTTCAAAACAAGACTTACGTGGCAATATGTTTTCCACGTTGAGAGTGTTGCTCGAATTTTGTCTTAACAGCAGACTTCGAGATACACTCCTCAAATTTTCGTTCGAAATCTTGGAACTCGAAGTATCGATTTTGAAAACCTTCTGCCAAAGCACCATCTGATAACGTTTTAAAGAGTATACAAATTTGCTTTCCTATACAGAGAATTTTCTTATAGATTATGACTAAAAAAAAAGCTTTAACGCACTGTGTGCTGGTTGACCACGCTGTTCCTGTAAACGCGCGTTAAGCGTTTCCTTTGCAGATATGAAGAAGACCCTCTCCTCAGCATCCTTAGGCGAATAGACCTTCAGTTCCCTTGCCAGAAAATCGACAGCACGTTCCTGATGTTGAGCTCTGACCTACACAGAAACGAACGTCTATAAAGTAAAAGTCACTTTGCGATTATAACATTCTTTACGTCAAATCCAAAGCGTTTCAAAGCATTTTCAGACTCACGACACTTTGGTCAGGAATGTTCTCGTGAATCTATATGCCTGTCGTTGTGCTTATTTGCTTGTGCTCTAAGCTACCATTTAATACACGTACAGTAAGCATGAATATTTTTTCGGCGTAACTCGTGAGAATGAATAAGAATAATGACTGCTTACCTCTCTCTGTTCATTGACCAGCTAAATAATAAATTCGAAATTACTGAGTTTTTAATGAGAAAAAGCCGACACAGCATGTGGAACCCATGTTCACTTTTCGAGATTAGTCTTATGTAATTTAATGGAATATCGCATCAGCTCAAATAATATGATTTCTTGTCAATTATGAACAGAGGTTCGACGTTAAGTGTTAGCTTTCAAAAAGTACAGGATGCATATAACTTAGTCCCTCTAGAATATCTGCATGATATGGTACATCCTGTGTATATTATAATCAAAACTTAAACGACCTTTCTAAAACACAACTAGCTTACTGTAGTACAAAATTATAAAAAAAAACCTGAAATACCTGATCGAAAAATTCCGGCTCCGATGCAGAAGCATCCCAACGATTGTTCAGAATAAATATATTTGGTTTAGACAGTTTTGTTGATACTTTATGGAAGAAATTTTTTTCCTGTAACAGTACCAAATATTCTATCCATATATGGTATTCCTCTAACATTAGACAACTTCAGAAACACTCATTGATGGTAAATACTACATACCGTAACCATTAAGGTGGACTCTGCATTGGCTACCAAAACAAAAACGTCTGCATCCAGACAATGCTTATCTATACATTCATCGAGATTCGCAGTGACGTCCACTCCAGGACTATCAACAAATACTACATCATCTCTCAAGAGTAAACACTTCTCCTTTGGCCAGAAAATTCGTACCAGATTACTCTCGCACAATTTTTCCTTGCACAATGCATGTCCGAGTTGACCAACAGATTGTACGGGTTGTTTATCCTTCGACATTTCAGTCATAAGATATGACTCTCCATTATCCGAGCCTTCGACTTGAAGGAAGCAATTGGTTGTGTGTCCAATTCCGCTTGGTAAAATTTTATCACGTAACATTGCATTAATTACAGTACTTTTTCCATTACTTGTCCTTCCGAAGAAAGCAACTTTCATGTGATCTCGTTTAAGGACATCACGAATTGCATGCACTTTATGGATGTAAGCTTCGATCTTTTTGGCTTCCTCGGCATTGACGATATCGCGATCGTCACGCAAAGCTGTAAAAAAAAATTTATGTAATTTTGATTAATCTTTTATTATATAAAATAATATACTGAAACTTACAATCCATAAACAGAACAGTATCTTGAACATAGTCGTCTATTTCCACGAATATGTCGTTGATCTTCTTCTTTGCTTTGACGAATATCTGCAGAGGAGAATTGTCCGTTCTAGCATCATTTGCACGAAGCTGACTGTCACCGCCAATCATTGAAATTGTACGATTGATGTATGCAGCCATAACTCGTATACTTTATTGCAGGGTGAAATGTACTTGGCAAATTAATGAAAATATGGTGCTGGATAGGTTAGGCAGAACGTTGGTAACAGTGCACGGCATGCGGGACCAACTGAAATCAAAAAACAAAGCGACGGTAAGAATCTTGTGGAATGGAATTACAGTATCGCATTTATGAAAAAAAAGTGCGTTATACACAGAACAGAGCGAGACAACAAGAACTAACTGAAAGTTACATACAGAACTATTGCTCCACAGTGGTACTGTATAAATGTTATAAAAATAATGAAGAACAATAATTCTTGTAACATCGAATAGAGTAACTGCATAATACTGATAACTTACTGTATACAAGAAATTTGTATAAGAGAACAATTGTTTTAACAGATTGGTTCTATCAATTTTGTTCTATTGTATATATATTTATCTTATTCTAATATGTATATACATATTTTAATCGCAAGTACTTAGCAGTGATGTTACATACTGAGTGGAAGTGAAATTTCATAAATTTACATGACAATTAGAAATCATACAATTACTAGGCAACGATTGGCAAAAGAAAGATAAATACATGGAATTTCATAAATTAAGTCCAGAAAAACCTGCTTGTTTTTGGGCATTGGTCTGTGTCCTTTCAAGTAATGTCAGCAAAAGATTGTTGGCTGGCACATGCCAAGTTGTAGTTACTGCTGGAACATTATTGCACAATGGCATACTTACACATGTTCATATAAGTCTAATTAATCTCTACATGTTAAATCTGACGTAACGTGGTATTTGCGCAGTTGAACAGTTACAAAATATGTATTAACGCTCAAGAGGTGTATCCAAAAATGAAGGTAAGACATGTATTAAAATGATCTTGAAGCTGCATGATACCGTATTAAAAGACAATCCTTACCGCCGATTACAAATTGTGCGGCATCTTGCGTACCAGCGCGTATATGATTAATTATTATAAAGTCTAATGAATCACTACAATTAAAATACGAAAAACATCAATGAACTCACAAACTAGAATCAACTAGAATGAAGTTGGCTCGTATGAACATGTGACGAGCAGTCAATATTACCAACAAAATGGATTTGCATGGAGACTAGAGTAGACTACTAGACTAGACTATTAGAGTAGACTACTCTAGTCTCCATGTGGATTTGAATCATATAGGTTTTTTTTTAACAGCTGCTTTTAGAATTTAGACAAATTTTTTCTGATATTCATAATATATGATTGTTATACGTATATTATATTATATACGATTATTATTATGTTATAGATTTTCAATATTTCTTTCTTTTTAATGTGAATGTTTATGGAAGACTAAGTACGGAAGTTGATTTGTTGAGAAACTCAGTAAATCAGACTCCTCATTGATAAAAATTATTCGAAGTGGTAGTCAACCAATCAGGTACCTGAATTTGTCAATCAAACTGTTTTTGAACCTCACCTGGCAAATGGCCGGAAAATGGTGTTTACCGGGATAGTTTAATCTGCAGGATTTTAGCTTTGCTAGCGTTTCTTAAAGAGGTACTTTTTATATTCTATAGAATTAAGTATATTGGAATACTAATTGAGGGATAAAAATTAAATAGGTGTAGCAGAAATGGAGACAGACGGTTCCTTAATATGCTCTGCAACCATAGAATGGCTCAATACTTTGGGAGTACTTATTAAAAAACGTACTTATAAGACGGCAGTATTGCGATTAACTCGAAATAATTTTCGAGACATGTTTGTGGAAGTTCGAGCTGACAAAGGAAAGGAAGTTACAAGACTCCAGCTGAAAGGAGTTCGTGTCTTAAACAGATATATGTCTGAGGGAAAATCTTCAATTATATTTAACGAAGTCAAATGCACTATGCTATTATCCAATGCACCTCCTGCGAATCTGATAAATTTCATGAAAATAATATTTATCAAGATGACTGGCCAAACAGAGCAGTCATTAAAAAATCCTTTGAGAGAGAAACTTCTTTCAAATAAATCTCTTGGTGGTGTGCAAGAGATAAGTCCTGCTACGATAGCTGAGATCGATAAAGCCAAGGAAAAGGCCAGTTCTGTATCTCGTGTTACTACTACTACACCTTCTCCAAGTAACTCCAGGAAGAGGAAACTTATCAATCAAAATACACCAAGCATTCCCAAGGCCAAAAAATTATATGCAAATCCAACTATAAGAAACCTGACTGCAGAACAAAATAAGGTTTTGGAAATGGCTCTCAGTCAAAAGAATATATTCTTTACTGGCAGTGCTGGTACAGGTAAATCATTTCTATTGAAGAGGATTATAGCTGCACTACCACCAGATACAACTATAGCTACAGCTAGTACTGGAGTTGCAGCCTGTCACATAGGAGGAATTACGTTACACCAATTTGCGGGGATAGGACTTGGACATGCTACCTTGGACAGATGCTTCTCAATGGCATCACAATCAGCCGCGGCTTCCACGTGGAGAAAAATCAAGCACTTAGTTATTGACGAAATCTCCATGGTCGATGGAGATTACTTCGACAAGATTGAAGCAGTTGCTAGACATGTAAGAAAGAATGATAGACCATTTGGTGGAATTCAGTTGATCTTGTGTGGTGACTTTCTACAATTGCCACCTGTTTCAAAACAAGAACAAAAAGCAAAGTTTTGCTTTGAGAGTGAAGCGTGGAAGAAGTGTGTGCATTTTAGTTTTGAATTACAACAAGTACATCGACAGAAAGATCCTGCCTTTGTAAAAATATTAAACAGCATACGGATTGGTAGAGTTACTGAAGATATTGCAAATACTTTAAAAGCTACTTCATTACAAAAGATCGAAAACGATGGAATACTTGCTACAAGACTGTGTTCACATATCAATGAAGCAAATGCAATAAACAATTCGCAGCTGGCATGTTTACCAGGAGAGTCTCAAATATTCATGGCACAGGATTCTGATCCAATGGTAAGCCAAACACTAGATAAACAATTGCCAGTTCCAGGAAGACTCGAATTAAAAGTCGGCGCCCAAGTTATGCTTCTAAAGAATATTAATATTGCGAACGGACTAGTTAACGGAGCACGAGGCGTTATAGTTAAATTCGTGGACGACGTGCCATTAGTTCATTTTCGTGCTGGTGAACATTACTTGGCGAAAATGGAAAAGTGGTCAATAAAATCATCAGGTGGATCTATGTTTTTTCGAAAGCAAATTCCTCTAAAACTAGCTTGGGCATTTTCCATCCATAAAAGCCAGGGGCTAACATTGGACTGCGTTGAAATGAGTCTAGGAAGAGTTTTCGATTCTGGTCAAGCCTACGTAGCTCTATCGCGTGCACAAAGTTTGCAATCTTTGCGCGTTCTAGATTTTAACGTGAATCAAGTCTGGGCTAACACTACTGTATTAGAATTTTACAAAAGGTTCAGAAGGAATTTGCAACAGATGGACATGATCCCATTAGGTAGAAAGATGAAAAGTGCTAATAAATTATGATAGATTGATTATAGTAGACACAAGAAGCTCTAATGACAGTTTTTCGGATTTATATTGAATGTAAATTCTATCTTTTTATAGATTATTAGGTTTAAAAATTAAACCGTTAGCTTACAATATCGATCCACGCTCGTGGTAGGTCGATTGGGCTAAAAATGATAATCACGAGATAATAAATATTTTTTTTCACCGATGAATCGTTCGTAATTATTTATCAAGCACCTTACCAAATTAAACTAATTGTATATAACACACGTATTTGCATATCATAAGGCGCACGCTGTTGGAAATTAAATCGTAAGCCAAGGGATTAATAAAGCAATAACTAAAGACAGATAGCGGAATATGTTTTAATATAAATGTATTTAATGTAACAGTGGTCTTATGCAATTGACAGGATACGAATTAGGTGAATCTATGACGCAATACATCTGTAATGTACAAAAGAGAAATTAATCATTTCCGCCAACTGAATATATTACAAATTCCCATGCAGCAATTGAGACTCCTTAAAGTTATCACTATTATTAATTATAACAAGCTTAGCATTCCCCAACAGTAATTTCCAATGGTGGAATGTAACGCCAAGTGTGACCAGCATTTATGAGTTCTGAACAAATTGCCAGTGCGGTTGGCGTAGATTCTCTACTGCTGCATTGTATATCAATTTTATATTGGCCAGCAGTAAAAAAAACAACACGACACTCGTGATAGGCACGTCCATATTCCTGTAACTGTTATATCAATTGGTCTTTTAATCATTACCACTATAAAAAAGTCTAGCAGTCTGCATAATGTGACTCACCGTAGGAAGCATCACTTTATTAGCACCAGCAATCGACAATCTTGTATCCAATCTATAGTTATTCACGCCATTTTGATGATCTTGGTAGAAGTTTATTGATAAAATCAAATCACTAAGTGAATGTTCCAAAGCATTGCATACACCAACCCCTACGCTTACACATTCTCCCAATCCACAAGTTAACTCATCCTGTGCCTTTACGGCTATATCATTTATAGTTATTTCTGTAACGGTAGAAGAAGGTTAATATCAATAAATATTAATTTTATTTTATAATTCTGCGTTCACTCAAAATACCCCATTGAAGTGGACTCATCCTGACAAGGTCTAACATATCTTGGGTGAGTGTTAAACCACTCAAAGTAGCTTTACCAGATGATTCTATACCCAATAATTGCCACCTCAGATCAACCAGTGAAGCAATATGTTCTGCACAAATTCTCTCAAGTTCTGCGCTATCGCCACCTTCGTTGAGCTACAAATGAAAATGAGCATAATAATATCAGTATGAAATAAAATTTCATTATCTAAAATATATATTTGTATTTACCACTGAAAGTTTGTTCAACGGACATCTGTCGACTGGTACTGGAATGCGACAAGGTTCTCTACCTTCCATATAGATACATTTAGTTTGTGTGTAATGCAATTCCATCTCATGATTTGTCATATTAGTCACGTCTAGTACCAAATAAAATTGCGCGGGTCTGGAAAGAGTAATTTTTATATTCAATACGAAGAAACAACTGTATTTTATTGCAATGAAACAATTAGTACACTTACGTTTCTGCTGGAAGCACATCCCAGCTTGTTATCTGAACACTGGGCAACATCTCAATTGTTACAAAGACTGAAGATATCCTGCAATAACCTGCAGCCAATCCAGCATCACCAGAGTACTTAATTTTCAATTGGCCCTCGATGATGTTTGAGGCATGTAGTGGTACAGCAAGTTTTGATAACCTGGTACTCGCCAGAGATGAATGACCAGAATGCGAACTGAGTCCAGAGCGAAAGGATGATGTCAATTCAGATTGTCTTTTTGTATGATGAGATGGTGAACTTAATCTTGATGGCAAGGAACTTGGACCAGAATGAGACATTATACTACTAGGCTGACTCAAGTAGGCACTGCTGCTAATTTCTGTAACATACGAAATAAAAAATTTGTTAAGCAGTAATATAAAAACTTCACACAATCTTACCATTTCTTGAAGTGGGAGCAAGAAAGTCAACAACTGCGTACAAATATAAAGTGAGACTGGCACTTGCACCAGGTTGTAAGGGCAACTGAGTTTTCAAATTCTCATCACTCCAGTTAAATATTTTACTTTCTGTAGGAGCATCTAATGTTGACTGTACGGATATTTCAATCATTTCAATTGGAACTTGACCAACGTTAGTTATAGTGATGGTACATTCAGAACTGAAATTTATTTTATTTTGTATTTTAAGGTCATATACTTTTTTTTTAGAAATTTTACCTTTCACCACCATACAACGTTACACTGGCACTGGTGACTATATTGTCGCCGGAACTGAAACTTGCTGTTTGAGGTAAACTCGTAGCTACGTCGATTCTTGGCAAGGCAGGAACTACCTCGACTGAATATTGCGGATGCGGCATATTCTCCATATATCTTAATCGACAATTCGATTTAACCCCTAAAGTATGTGTGCTAAAACCTAAGATTTCTAAATCCCCAACTTCCTTTGGCGTTCCTGCCAATGTCACAGCTATTGGACCTGACTCCGCAGGTAATGTTATGGTCTCCGGGATAGATTCGAATACTATACCATTAGTAAGCAAACGCATATTCGATACGTGAAGTTCGAATGGCAAAGGATTAATAAGTTGCATAGAAACTTCACAAATATCTCCTTCTACCCAAAGATAATCTATCAAATGAAATGCATGGTCATTATTTCTCATTAGTCATTACTCCCAAATATTTAATAGACAGTATCAAAGTTACTCACCCATTTTACTTTTGGACGTGTTTTTCCTTTCTAAAGAACCAAAATTTATTGGTGTAAATAAAAAGGGACCGTGGTCCTCCTTTATCCTCTCAACTTTTTGCGGTTGCAAATGCGGCTGCAGATTTTTTAATGTGAACGATTTTGTCTTTGGTATATTTGTTAAATTTGCTGGTGGTATTACCGTTCCCGAATCCAATACCTGTCACAGGAATTCGTTGAGTTTTTCAAACTGTGTAAAATTATATTCTGTAATTTTTTACAAAAACTTACAAGAGGAACCGGTGCGCCTTCGCACTGCTGCGATACAGCTTGAAGTTGCAAAGTTATGTCTTTGCGTTCTTGAGGAGTTAAATGATTGAACATAGTTTGAAGTAAGAATGTCATGTGCCTTGTTGCTAGAGCAGGATTTCCCATACGATTAGCTGCAGCTACAAGTTCATTTATCACCTGAATTTGTATGGCAGGCCAGCCTCTTTGACCATCTAGATACAGTGATTGTACTATGAAGTAATGCACATTCTGTTGCAGTTGTAAATGATTTCTGCGAAAATTTACCACTAGGCATCTCTACGGGATCCAGAGATAGTTTAAATCCGGATGTAACTTGCAGCATCAGGTTGTAACACTGCTGCCAGTCCGGATTTGGATTATTTTGTGAGACGTGTCTTGTTGCTGCTAACCGCAAGCAAAACGAAGCTTTTCTAGCGAAACCAAATGACGTAAATAATTCTGACAACGTTGTAAATCGATCGATCTGAAATAAATCAATTTTGATTAATATAATTTAGGATTACATTTTTAGCCGATAAATGGATTATTACCTTCTCTTGTTCGCTTAATGTTAAATTAATAAAGAGCACGTTATTGAGAAAGGATGTTGCTTGTAGAGTACAATTTTGTTCAATAGAAATTCTTGTAGCTTTGAAACTCGCTTCTGTCTCAATTATACCTGCGTTTTGATATTTACTATAATGAATAATTGCTTCGCGATACTTTTTCGATATTTCTTCCGGTGGTAATATATGTGGCATGCTGGCTTTCAATACGTCTATCGTTGGTGGTGTAGGTAATGTAACGGCTTGAGATCCACGTCTAAAATGAATGTAGAAGTGAAGTTTAAGCTTGAGAAAATTTGTTAAAATTCATTAAGTTATCAAAAGTGATAACATACCTTTGTTTTCCAGGACTCCCTTCTTGTAGAGATGAATTCCTTTGCAGTGGAAGACTTCGACACATGTTAGGATATAAAACCAATGCAGAGGCTGTGCAAAGTCCTTCGTATGCTGCACCAAGCCATAGCCAGTCGTTAACTGCTTGTAGGATACTTGCAGCAGAATTATAATGGCTTAGGGCATCCCCAGGTAAACCAGCTTGCAAACATAAATCACCTAGATGTTTTGTAATGCGACCACAGCATCGTTTTTTATTGTTTCGTGATTCTAAATCTAGGCCTATAAAGTCTTTCTTTTCAAAAGGTGCCAGGAGAAGTGAAACACGATCAATTTTCTCTCGAGAACGCTCCAATCTTTTGGACTCCAGAATCCAGAAGAGCGAATTTAAGCATTCTGCTATTTGTGCTTCCAAATCCGGACAACTCTCATCAGCATAAAATACTGCGCGTGTTTTAAAGTTTGATGGAGTACTGAAGGATTTTGGTGGTTCATTTAAATTTGTTGATTCCACAGGGCCTAATAAAATTGCTCTAGAATCGTATAACGTTGCTCCGTACTTGACTTTCAATGTCTCATGAAGTCTGCACAGTTCATTAAGTTCAGTTTGAGTATCATATTTGCCAAACGTTATCAAACCAAGCAGTCGACGATGGGTTTGAAACTCTCCCCAATCATTATTTTCAACAGGATGCTCCCTGACAAACCTGGCAAGAATCTCTCGTGCTCCTACTGTAGAATCATATACATTGAATCTACTGCCACTTTTAATAATACGTTCACATAATCTAGCAACAGTCTTTTGCTTTATTTGCGTTCCTATTGGCTTCAAGAGTAACAGCAATGCCGCATGATCATGTGCAGTCTGTTCATAATCTGGATGAGACATTTTATTGTCGGGCACAGGACTCGACAAAATTACACTAACTGCAGATCGCATTTATTCGTCCCTTACCATTTGGTAATATGCAGGAATCACCTGTATTATAACAGAACAAAAATTATACAACGCATTCTAAGTTTTAAAGATGATTGTTTCAATCCAAACGAAGATTACTATTCAATTGTAAATGTCTAACATATTCATAAAAATTCAAAACAACTAATAATAATATTGTCTACACTTTGTCAATAATCCTTGCAGAAAAGTATAAAAAAAGATTGGAACATTAACCAATATCATGCACATATTTCAATGGTAATAATATACAGTGGAAAAATAATAAAAATAAACGAAATTATTAACAAAATCTTACGGACAAACGTCCAAAGTGCACTAGAAACTTGAAAAGGCGTTTAGCAATATGTGAAACGAGAAAAAACGTAGATCACACAATACATAAAAAATCTCATTTAGGTGTGCCCACATTTCTCCATTGGTATTTACCTTCACTAACATCGTATAGTGCGTAACGAATTCCAATCATTCCAATCATCAATCCATTTATTCGTCAACATCAGTCAACATCTAGCATTTGACAATCTTCAGATCAAGTGGCTGTCAAAGTGGAGTCAACTTTTCATGAGGAGGGACAAGTAATAACAGCTGGTAAAATTGCTTACGACATTGGTTGTTGATCCAGTTGGTACTTTTTCGTACACCCAATAGTGTATTCGTTTTTATCAGCCGCTCTTCCTCAACAGCTAGTTTCATGAGTAGGTGGGCATTTTGAAAATCAGAGTTGAAAATGATGATTTACGGTTTAAATTTTTGAAGAATATTTATGAGCATTAATTAAGCCATCGTACAAAAGTTCAAATTTTTTATTTAGATGAATCTTGATTAACTCAGAGTCACACTCTTACGCTTAGCGTCTTATAGTACATATGATGATAAAAGTCACTTTAATGCATAAATCAAAAATAAAATGTTATACAGAAAAACAAGGAATTCGCTGCGTGGATTAGTGATAAGACAGTGATGGTAACGAAAGATTCGAAAAAAGAGATAAGCGTATCAGTGTTGTGGAAAGGAATGCAGTGTGGGGCCACGATTTGGTACGTTGATGAAATTCCACTCCTAAGTATGTAGCTTCAAAAATAGTAATGGGTAACAAACTATCGAAGTTTATCTCATAATACCAATTCTGATGAGGTATTCAATGAATCGAGGTCAGATTACATTCATTTTTTCACTGTTGATTAGAAATATTAATTATGGATTCGATTGGAATCCAGTTTGTGAGTTGATATAGAATTCTGTGAAATAGACAATAAAGACTTGTAACCTCGATCGAAAAACAGTAATTGTAATAAACTTTGTGTAAGCAAATGATAAAAAAAAAGTATGACTTTTATACGGAGACCACAGTGACCCTTCAAGCGAAATAATTGCTCAATCTGCCCATTCACTGTTGCATGTCAAGGCAACCTATTAGTCATCAATTTCAATTTGAAGTAATTATACTTACCCTACTGTCGTATCTGCAAAGTAACAGTTTATCGTTCCGTTGTAATCGCTAAGAATTTGTATACAATGTGACTGTTCAATGAAATAGAATTCTTTACTGCATTATCATAGATTCCCTGACATGTGCACGGATTATTTATATTTATTTTAAATAACTTCTTAACTATATGTATTCATGAACGCGAGTATCTTAAAAGTGACAAAAAAATAACGTGCGTTTGTAAATGAATATATTCACAATTATATATATATATAATAACGCTTCAAGAATTTTTATTATACATTTTATTTTTTCTTATCCTCCTCTTTTATAGAGTCTGTTGCTTTTGAGGGGTAAATTACGAAGAGTGACAGTTGTGCTGCCGATAACGTGAATCCTACTGCATTTTGGAACTAAAATTGACAAAAAAAAAAAGTTAACTCACTTAATGGCTGTTACATAGAACAATTGAATTAATCTTGAGTTAATTTACTTACAATAATGAAACCATTGTCAATTATTAAACCATAAAGCAACCATTGAAACGTGACTAGTGTTCCCATGAAGATCAATGGGAATGGAAGACTAGCTGTACTCTTAGTTCGCATAATTTCTCCCTATTGAATGTTCAAGTAAAAAATGAATCAACAAAAAACTAATTACTCAAGAATTTAGTCCATTTGTATAAAATGTTGGAATACTTACAAGGTGAAAGAGTGGTGATGCAATCAAAAGGAATAAAAGAACTGTAATGATAATTCCAAATCGGAATTCTATGTTATCCTTATGTTCCCATTGTGCATATCCAATGAATATTGCTACAAAGGCCACAGCTTTGCCTATCAATGCAAGTACATCACCCTATAACATATATCATGTGAATAGAATAAATATGTTAAATTATTCTAAATATCCATTTCCCTAGGATAATAATTACTTGCTTATCACCTAGTCGTTACATCACTATTATACATACTTTCTCAGGTGCATACAACATGTAGAATATAATATACCCTAAATTTATTAACAAGCCAAAAACATTGACAACAATCATAGCAGAATCTCCAAGAATTAGTGCATACTGAAGCATCAGAATAGACCTAAAAAGAAATAGTTTTATTTTATGTATAATCAACAGATTTCAATAATATTTAAGTAGACTGAAGCCTTATCATTAAAAGACTATCATGAAAAATATGTCTAGTCACAATCTATCAAATTGTCTATTAATAATTATTATAAACGATTATAATTTATTAAAGGTTAAAAGTTTACAGTTGTTAATATGCTATATAATACTATTTGTACTAAATTAATAAATAATAATACAACACATCCTTACATTCCTGTACCTCCTAGAAACGGCATGGGATCAAATCCTTTTGCAGATCCTTTTTTGTAAATGTCTCTGCATATCAATCTATAAAGAATTTTTTTTAAATCATCATTTACGCAAACATCGGTAATATTTACTGAGTTTACATCATTCCCAAGTAAAGACACGCAGGTGTATAATTATTATTAAAGACTCTTGCTACGATTCCGTACTCTATAAATCTATAAGTACTTGTCAATTTACAGAAAACTGCCAATAATTTACAGAGGATAATGAAAATTACAGCAAATTTCAAACGACCGGATGTCCATATGAAAGTTGACCCTCTATCCTATGATATCAGCCAAACCCGTTAAGAATTCTTATATCGTTTTATCCTACTACAGCAGAGAAATAAGAGATATTAAATGAAACAGCACTTTTAAATATTACATTGTACAAGTTATCTTTGCGTAATAACCAATTCAATTGTGATACGTAGTTCATCCATCTGGACTTCCGTCAATTAGAAATCAACGTGCCTCACAGGATATAATGATAGAGGTTCGCTTGATTTAATTTATAACTTAATCACTAATAACTCAAATATTTATGACACCCGCGTTACTTACGTTCCGGCGAACATTTGGCCTATTGTTGATATCGAAGCACATGTTCCTACAATTTCCTTGTAATCTTCTAAAACCATTTTATGCTGAGGATATGTCCTTTTATATTACAATGAAGTTTCTATATAATATACAGATGATTTTTCTTATTCACGAAGCGACACAAATGGACACACGCTTTACTTGCAACGGTCCAAGCGCTACTAAATCATGTACTAACCATACTGACTCAGTAAGAATGGTTCTCTTCTGGTCTCTCCCCATATATTCACCTGATCTTTGGGGCCTAATCAGATAACACAAATTATCTGTTCGTAAAGTTGCTTTCATTTACTTAAACAAAATGAAATATAATTTTGCAGTAAATATATATTAATATGGATTAAAATAATCATACTATTGTATTAATTATCAATTTTGTTATACGGCCTTTTATTAAACGAATAACATGGAAATATTTTGTGAAACAATTCCTTACATGGGTTATGGCCTTGCTAGCTTTGATTTTCTGCTAGAATCTTTTTTGTTAGGTTATTGGTAATACTGTATATCGTTGCATACTTCAGGATATAGATAAAAGAAAAATTGGTAAACCTGCAGTATACAACTCCGAACTGAAGTTAGCTGCTAGTGACTTAGGTTTTTTGAGGTAACGCCATCTGCCGGATATAATGTGAATCGCATGGAATAGTCACGCCGCCTATTAGAAAAAAAATTAACCATAACCGACAGAAATAGTACCAGTCGACCGTCATGTGCGGGGAGCATTGAAAGTCCCACTGAGCCTGAATCTGGGTGTACTTATGACTCCAAAAATATGTCAATTGTAAAATTTCGATCATTGATAACTTCGATCTGCCAAAAATCGAACCAGTTCTCACTGATCTCGTTGTTTTGCAACTACGACATTGCCAACGATATGTGTCCGAAAGAAATTCAGCAGTGCATAGAATCATGTCCTTATCGCACACTGGACACTTGAAAGTCTGAGCTATGAGTCCGTATCTTTGTGCAAAGGTGATTACCTCAATAGAAGGTTTCTCAAATAGGCTGAACAAATCTACGAACCGTATCACCATTGCAATCGATCACACACAATCCAATTTAAGCAAAAGAAATAATAGCACACTTGTGTTACACGCTTTGCGAGCTACTAACGAAAATCATGCTTATACATGTTTTACGAAAGCAGACGATACATTGTAGCAAAAAAATCTCGAAGCAGTAGATCAAATTTAATGCTCAATGTACAATCACGAGCTTGCACTTATACATACTTATATTTTTAAATAATATTATTTATAAATTAAATATACACATATTTAATATAAAAATATGTAATAATATCTTCATATCAAAATATATGTATACATAATAGGTGCAAACCTCTGTGACATAGCACGAAAATTAAACAAAAAAAATCTCCAAACATGGAATATTGCGATTACTAGATCATATTTTGTGAAAATATATTTTTATAACAAGATAATATATATAACAGTAAAAATATACTCATTTAAAATTTTTAAAGATAGTTGCGCTTTTTTCCGATCAGGAGGCGCCAGTATTCTATGCGATTCGCATTACATTTGATAGATGGCGCTACGTTAGAAATCTACGTCACTGGCAGCCAATTTCAGTTCGGAGTCGTATACTGCAGTTTACCCCTAAACGTGAATACGAAGCGTGGCTTGGCGGACAGAGGTTCTCCGCTACCCAACGCTGGTTCTCAAAGCAACCCTTAGAATGAGATCAGGAACTAATTATGAAACTTCTCAAGAAATATTGAAAAAGCCTATTGTTGAAACATTTTTAATACATTTTTAAGAAAGTTTAAAAAAAAAGAAAACTACGGTCCCTCTTTGGGCCTCGGAGGGGTAGTAGTATGAGTGATTACTCATCTCTGTCCAGAATACCCATGCTTTAATGTAAGAGCACGTCTCACAGAGCTAGCGCGTATTATTACGTATTTACCACCAACAAAATCAATGCATCTTGAACCTTGGAATAAGAACTCAGAAAATTCGTTCATATGATCGAAGTACCGTCATCTTGGTATTTCTAAATCGTATCGCGTAATAAAAAAAAAGGAAAAACATCTCTATCCTCAACGTCTAGTGGCTTTATTGTTAATTAACTTATTTCCATTACATTTGTACTTATGTTAATGTCCTATCGTAGCGCGATTACAATTATTCGTGGTCACACGTGTGACTGAATACACCTGTTATTAAAAAATCGACACTGCGAACCTATAATCTATGATTAGGCGCCGATGGAAACATTAATAGTAAATACTTTCTGTAACTTCAGTCCGGAGAGAATTCGCATTATTCGATACCATTCGATTCGCCGAAATGCCGTTACTGTTACGAGATAGCAAATTATTATACGTATCAATTTAGGGAAACAGGTGGTAGAGGGATTAAGTGTATAAATTTTAAATCTATGGACAATTTCAATTGTCAGGATGTATGGGGGAAAGAAAGGTAACAGCAATAGTAAATTTTGAGTGCATATACCTGTAACGATAAGAATAACCACTAAATTCAATTAAAATGGTGCAAATTTAATGAGAACGGAAGAGATATTACATTGAAATGATTATATGTGTGTATATATATATACACACATATATATAAAGTGATCTATTTCTCCTGTAATAATGATAAGCGAAAAAGAATAACGATACACTGATTTTAGCTGGGGACTACAAGTAAATGAATATATTATATTAAATGTAAAAAATACGAAAATTATCTATTCTCATTAACCTTCCTATTTCTCTTTCGTTAAACTGTCTTGCGTAAAGCTACTTAGTACATTTTCTTTTTTTTTTGTTTTTTAAAGAAATCTCACAAGAGCCGAAAAGCTCAACCCGCCTGATTTTCTGCTTTCTCGCACTCTCTCGACGAAATCTGACCTTTAACGAAGTTACTTGTATTATTTAATACAAAAAAAAAAAAGAGAAATAAACGGATAGCCTCCTCCTTCATAACATACTCGTTGCAATATTACAAAACGTTACAATAAATTACTAACCTCTCGTTGATAATGACATAAAAGACTTATACAGTATCATGAGCGCTTCATCACTGTATCTTAAGAGTATTGCTAGAAAAATATGTCTATCATATGTGTACATATCAACAATATTAAGTATCAAGTATTAACATGTTTCTTTTTTTTCTTTTAACAGCTACAAAAGTCTTCGCGCGAGGCGTTGGCAGAGTACAAAATGTATGAAGGGCGTTTTTTTTTTGGATATATAATTTTCCCTTCTTTTTTTCTCCAATTAATTTTATCGGTATAATAATTCTCATAACTGTATTATATTCAGCGAAACGTCCACTTCGACGATCGCCTCTAATGCTCGCACGCGAGAAAGAAAATGAAGTTTCGTGAAATTGATATTGAAGAAAAAAAAGAAAATTTTTCTAAATCACAATTAATTGGTACGAATTATAAGGATCGAACGAAACGCGGTGTTCGTATTCCTTTGAAATCCCAGGAAAAGATTGAGGACGAAAATTACAATTAGACAAATTTATAATCGTAAATTATCAATGGACGCTCGAACGCATTAATAGCATGTATATAGTATTACTTCGTTATCTATTAATAAAGCTAAACTAGGTAAACCCGGGATCACGAAAATAGTAGCACGTATCGAAACATTCTTTTATAATCATGTATATGCAGAATCTAATTAATATTAAATTAACGATAAACCCTTGGGATTAGAATTGCATAACGGAAAAATGATTACTTTTTTTTCACTGTAATGCTCAAAAGACAGAAGGCGATTTACATGTTTCATGAATTTCTCATTTTTAAATATATATATGTATAGTGCATATATATATATTTTTTCTTTTCATCCCAAATGACTCTAAGGCCATTGATGATGAACCCCAGCTTTTTCTCTTTTTTCTTTGTGGCCAATGAAAAATTGTCAATGCGAAATAGGAGCAATGGAATAGTTGTTACTTATTTATCTCCAACTTCTACTGATAGAAGATCCTCTAGACTTGGCAATACGTGAGAAATTCATACGTCGCAACCTTCTTTGCCGTTTATGCGTTGCGTCATAATTATCAGTTCAAATCTTACTTAAAAAGAAAAAAAAAAAACGAAAAAAAAAATAACAAAAAACACCCAAAAATATATCGGTTTTCTTTTTATGCATTGAGAAGTCAATTCGAATTTCCCGATTCGTACTAACCTATCGATACAGAAACCATACTCCCATTTCGACAACTGTAAAACATATAAATAAACTACACTTATCTTGTCATATTATCAACGGCTAGTATTGGCTAGCATCATATTCCACTATAATTGCTATCGCTAAAGGTACATCATAAATATTTTATAGTCGGAGATATAATGTTACACTATGTACAGGAAGAGGTGTATGATCAGAGATCAGCCTGCAGTTATCGAAACCTGTGAAGCCCGCGATATTCAAACGTGCTTCTTTCTTTCTCGTAATGAAGCGTCGATGAAACGTTCCGTATTATCAATGTATTCATTTCTACTTTTTTTTTTTCGAATTACTCATTTTGAAAAATCAACCATCACGTTCATTGCCTGTGAGCAAGCCTACTGCCCTGATATTACATAAAATATTCGGTTTCCCTTCTGCTGATGATAGAGCAAAAATTACAGTTTCAACTATCCTATCGGGATAGTAAGCTTGTAATTAAATGCTTCAGCCATGTAACATGTCGATTCGCTTATACACTTGTTTTCGATATTCCGACATTAAAAAAACCAAGGTGCACAGCGTTAGAAAAAAAAACTACGCCATTCAAAATCAACCCCGGTTTTGACATATTTCTATATAAACTTATTCGTTTCTTAAAATTGCACTCATGCATGACCTCAATTGGTCATGCACGAAGAGCAGAACTGCTGCGTGCAGATTTGGGGTGCGTTCAGAAATCTTACTCAGGGTAACTCGGGCACGTTGAGTCTCTTTTTATTATCGTTATTATGAAGAGGACGGAACGATACCAGAGTCGACTCCAGAGAGGTTTCTGGACGCAGCCCTGAACAAACATGGCTACACTGAGTACAAATGAATATAGAAAGTTCAACAACGATTACGAGAATTAGGATCGATATGGATGCATCGATGGAATAGATTCCTCTAACGGTACAGATTCAGGGAACAGGACTCGTTAATATATCGGTCATGCGTATGCAAAGCCGTCATGATCGAAATTTGCCATTAAAAGATATTTACTTCTTACTTTCACGCAAAAACGTGATTAAAAAACTTTTAGAGCTCAAAACTGTTTGCTACTTATATACAATATTCAAAACGACTATTTCATTCTTAATGGGAATATGTAAAGTTTCGTGAGGTATCGACAATGTTAGAAAGTCTTCACAATATTGGTCAAATAGACTATTGCACGAAGAATGACCGTGACTGATTATTTGTTCAACAAGCTACGAAAGTATAAAATTACGAAAATACAAGAAACGAGATTGTCCCAATGAGATGTTCGATAGAAAATGAATTCATATCCACACGCAACACATCCATCATGTGACTCTAACTGACTCAATGATCACGCGTTTATACACTGTCATCATAATCACGCATTTTCTTTTACTCCTATTCTATTATATACGTTATCGCGAAACCTAATTCTTATATAAGTGAGATTAGGAGACCGTTAACTCTTCTTCGACGACTACATCCTCCAGCGTTATCGGCTCCGCGTATCCACGGGCTACTAATTCTTCCGCGAGGGATATAACCTGGAAATGCACAATTAAGTATATACATGTTAGAAGATTTCTTTATCATCAGTCTAGACGGTTCGTAAGATCAATTCGGCAGGTAGCAATCGCTGCTACCTTCATGACGATTGCACTTCATTGCACAGAGACAATACGTGGATTAAGGCAAGAGCGACATTATTTTACTGCTTTTACTCTTTGCGGTCGTATTTTTTTTTTTTTAGAAAAGTTATCCTGCTGAGAGTGGAGTTTGACAGCATAGAATAAATAAAGCGGCGCCATTATATATATTTTTATAACATCCGAAGTACTCACCCCATATTTTTGGATATTAAAGTATAAGCTAATATACGTAATAGTGTCAACGTAGCCCTCGATCTGCGCCTGACCAACGATGCCAGAACAAATATGAGCTACTAGATCATACGCCTCTTGTGTCCATTCCCCTGCACGAATAATAATAATAGTATAAAATATTGTACAAAAATTATGTAAAAGGACATTATTTTGTTAAAGCCGGTCATAATATTCGAGCAAGATTGTATTTTATATTTAATAGCGAAAGATCTTACCGTTTTTCGGTTGGATATGGGCTAGGAGCACCTCTATAGCTTGGAAAGGTAGGGTTAGATAGTCTGACCGTATTTTTCTCATATCGGCTCTACTGAAGGTCCAAAAGCCACCATGGTCTACAAGACGTACCAAATGTTGGTCGCCTGTTGGGTCTGGATTCTCAATGTATATCCTTACCCATCTGCTATACCATTTGGCTACAAGAATCATGCCCCCTGTGAAAAAAAAAAATCACGAAATTATATTTTATGGAAAAATTGATAAAATTCTGAATAACACATCCTTGCAAGACTTCGGACCAGTGCTTATTATCTTTTTGTACTGATCTTAAAAACCGATAAATAGTTTCCAAAAGTACTAGACCTTCACTTACTTCTCAACTCATCTGGTACAGGTGGTGATTCCACCGTGTTGTAAAGTTGAGTCATGTTTTCATCTAAGATTCTCAACGAGGGATAAGTAGGATGTGTGGGAAGGTGAATAAAGAGGTGATTGGGTTTCAAAATGTTGCAGACGAGTACGTCATTATTGACACCCTCGACCAAGGACAATTGCATCAGTTCGGATGCCCAAGGAACCTGTTCCGGAACTTGTAGGAATGAGACCTGTTCCAGATTCAAATTTGGGAATTTCTTCTCAGGGAATTTTTGTTTTATAATGTCTAAGGCCAGATTGATTCCATCGGTGGAACCTTCGATGGCACAGATTTTGAGTTCTCGCGCGGTGGGATGGCGCTTGATAACAAGATTCACTTCAGCCTTTGTGCGGATATTTTGAAGGAAGCTTCCGTGACGGCCAATCAGCCTTCCGACAAGAGCTTGAGGAACGATGAATTCATAAATGGACGGGTTTCTGTCCGTGTTATTGTGTCCTTTGATACTTCCACCTGGAACAAAAAATTGCATGAGCATTGAACATCAATATCTTTCTCTAATTTGATTATTCCTGATCACCTCCTGGTCTTACCTTTTCCACTATCAGTGCTACCTTCGCTTCTGGCTTCATCAGTAACGCTGCCTTCCAATACACCAGAAATCGGACTATGATTAGCTGAGTCTCTTTCGGACACAACACGGCCCTGACTTTTGGCATCACTTACAGCAGTGCTGGTGCCAACTGGTTTCTCTGAATTCTCCATATGGATACCGAGATCATGTCCATCCTCCTTAATGCCGGATACAGGAGACTTGGGTACGTGTAAGGGACTGGACTCATCCTCCTCAGTAACATTATCAAAGACCTTGGTCAGTTTGACCTCTGTACTGTCCCGTATGGTATCAAAAGGCTGCATGGTGGGTCTGCTTCTTGACAACATCGACACGCTATTAGACTTCGGATTACTTCCAAGACGTATTTCTTGCATTTCCGGCAGAGGTTCCACGTCCTTGTACCAGGCCTGACTGTCGCCCGAGGATATTCCAGATTGTATAGAGATGGTCAGCGACGTCGGATTTCTCGTGGGGATGTCCAGACTCTCGCTGACCCTTCTCGGGCTGCAGACAATCTCCTCGCAGGCTATTCCCGATGATGAGTTCAGGGAGAAGGACTCGTCAACGTGGATACCTGAGTCGTAAAGATTCAAATTTCCCTTGGATGTTTTGGTCTGATGATTACGGTCAAATTTGGTCATTCCACCTGGGTCAGCTCTGTCGACGCGCCGACGCTTGTACCACAGGAATCCAAGCACCAGAGCAAAAGCCGGAAAGCTCCACTTCACAAGCTGAAGTCGTGATGACGACATGTTTCAAGTCCACGGTAGCTACCGTAACTCAAAGCCAAGAAAAACTGAAACAAAAATATTTTTTCAATATCCTCCCTCAATACTACCAACCAACGATCACTCATTGTTCGTCAAAATTCATAAATCTAAGTAGACACTTAGTAACACAGATATCAAATATTTTTTTATAAAGCTTTCCACTAGGATCTAATTAAAAACAGAAGCACAAGTTAATCAACTCAGCTCGAATCAGCCAGAACGCAGTTGTTACAATTATCATAGCTCCTTAAACAGGTTGACGACCTCCATTTCGGAATAGAATTCGCCCACAGGCCATACGACGTCTACTTCGAGAGCCCACGTGTCTTTCGACGAGTCGTAGAAAAAGAAAGAAATAAGGAAGCCACTTGGCGAGCTTCTAAGATCACAAGACAACGAAGACAAAAAAAGCTTACAACACAAATGTCACCAACCAGCAACATTTTCGTTGATAATGCAAAAATAACCAGCAGACACTGCGGTCACGACGAGGCAAACCCGATGGCCAAGGAAATGTCACGGGCGTATACCAAAGAAATCGCTTATTGCAAATCACCTAAAACCTTCCTTTGTTTACACCCCGGCATCATCGGATAACCAGTGTTGGAGATCTATATAACTCTTCCGTACATATATGAATGCATCTACCTTATCCTCATAAGAGGCCACGTGGGTTAACTTGTTTAAAGAAACAAAATGTCAAAATAATTTATTTATCGCGTAATAATCAACAAAAGATATCAGCCAATCATACACATCCATTCTCAAAGACCCTTAGGTCCAAATGACATTTTTTTCTACGTCCGTTTGATAGGGGATAACTACTGACAGCGCAGAACAGCACAAGAAGTTTCGAGAACCTTCCAGAAGCGTGCACGCGACTCGTTAACGCAGAGTAATAAAATACTCACGTGTTTCCATCTGCGATAATTATTTGACATTTTGCCAAAAATTTGTAATTTCGCAGCTGCGAGATAAACAATCGCCGACTGTCGTTTGTCAAACGTAGAACAATATTTCACCTTGCCAAAGGACCTTTTTAGGTAGGGCCAGCGAGCGAACACGTGGTGGGTTTGGTTAGTCTCGCCGAAGATCGCTACACCCTTGACGTCAGCGCCACGAGAGGGCCAGAGCGCAGGATCCATGAGTGACGTCACGGGTGAGGAAGGGGGGAGTTGTTAAAGTTCAACCCGGCGTCTAATTAATCGCAAGCAAAATCATTTCCACCCTCCTGACGTAAAATATCCGGGACGTGGGTATAATTAGAGATAGGGCGAATTCTCTGCGACAAATTAATTATCAAATTAAGATGAGACGTGAAAGTATTTTTTTTAAACTAATATAAAGTTATGCTGATTCGGTTGACGAGTCATTGAAATCAGAGTGAAAGTATCGGTCGATCATATGAGAAATAAAATGACGCGCAATAAGTATCTGCCTATGGAAAAAAAAATGTATATTTTCTTTATTAAAATGTAAAATTAACCGATAACGAGAATTTCAGAGTCCGATTCTGCTAATTGGACCAAGTCATTTATTTGGTTGCACGAATTTTCCTAACGATCGATCAGCTATGTCAAGTCGAGTCTGACTACGTGATAGAGCCATAACATACAAGTTAACGAAATGAAATCGAGTTCTGAAAGGAGGCCGAAGTAGAGTCGAGAATTGAAGAAGATAAGAATCTGGAGCAGCCGATTGAACCAGGAGACTTAGAAACGATCTTTTATAAAAGAAAAAAAAAAAAGGGTGAAAGTTTGCCTACAATAATTATGAAGAAAAATATATATATAGAATCAGCTTTTTTTAAATTACAATCAACTGTCACTAAGACGTAATAGATGGCGCAACTGTAATCACTGAAGACCGATTACAGCGAAACGAAATACCGTGTAATCCAATTGTCCCCTAGGCTTTTAAGGCTTTAAAGTGTCGCAACAACGCGGACAAAAGTGCAGCGAAGTTTTCACTTTTCTGCGCGACACCCGAGTAACGCTAAGATTCACGTGTAATTTCAATGCAGCGGAGAATCGTAAGCGTGGAGTGAGAGGCGCAAAATAGAATCGATAAAAAAAGTCGCAAGACGCAATAGAGAATAATAAAACGTGCGTGGTGGGCCGCGTCGAGGTCAGGAGGAAACTTCGATTTCAGTTGAATCCACGTGTCTGCGCAGCCAACGCACCCGACCGACTCATCCCAACAAGATATTCTTGACTCGTGGACGTCGCGGCGCCAAAGCGTCTCCCGTGACAATTTGCAGGAAGTTTCGAATAATCGCAAGTTACTCCAATTCTTACGCGACCAATAAACACGCGTTTCTCACGAAAAACGTGTATATTTTACCCACGCAGCGAAAAAAAATTTGCAAAAACTATTAAGTAAAAAAATTGTTTTCTCTTATCAATAACTTTGGCGCGATCCGCTTTTGTTATTTGGGAGTGAAAAAATTATGTTTTTGAATTGTATACCTATACGAGTGCCCGCATACAAATCCGCGTGTAAAAAGATTAATAGAGCACAAAGAAATATAATCAAGTTACGCAACTACTTAAATTTCCACGAAATTCAACTCCAGACACAACCACCAGTGAACTTGTTCTCGGTTTACTTCATTCACCCCGCATTGTATCTTGACGAATTAGCAGATTGCACGAGCGTGACTTCCGGTTTCCGATTTGACTAGTCCATAAGCTCGCAGAGAGCACGAGAATCTTGATGTTTCCAAGAAACGAGAACAGCCATGCGTGATGTTTGATCGTTCGATTTTTGAATTTAGCAAGGAAATATGAATTACAACAAAAAATTGACCTTTCGAAATTTACAAATATTTTCAAACGTGAGCAGCAAACTTGTGGACGATCGAGGATAGGACTTTGTGCCTAACGATAATTCTTCAACGTTACAGAGAACCGATATTGACACTCCTAATTGGCAGACAGATATTCCGCCATTATAAAAGAATTTCGTTAAATTCGAATTATCGATAAATAAATAGAAGCCTGCGTGAAACGTTTACGAATATGGCGGAATCGTTGAATGATAAGTCTAATTTGATACAAATACCGTTGAGTCACTTCGTTTTGACATCGTAATGAAAAAGAATGGGAATACATGTGGAATGTGAGTCAGTGCGTTCGAAATTAAACGAATAACAAAATTCGAAGTACACGGAACCAGAGGAAAGTGATGGAATTGGTATACTGTGTACTTAGAACTGATAAATAAAATTTCAAATGTACCGTAGGAACCGACTGTAACCTTTGCGACGACCGTTTGACTCGGTTCCAGAGGAAAATTCAAAAGTTTCACAAGCAACTTCAGCAACAGTTATTAAAATGTCAAAAGGACAATGATAAAAGGCTAATTACAAGTTACAAGAAATATTAACTAATCAATTACTAACATAAACAGTCAACCATCTGGTAGCGTCCAGTCCGGGAATCAAGATAAGATTAAAAAATCGGCGGTTAACTAGAAATTCTAGAATTTAAATGCCTTACTATCTAAATTTAAGGTACTACTTTTAACGAATAATAGAAAACAACCAAATAATTTTAATTCGATTATAAAGTGTAAAACTCACCATAAGTAAATACATATTTAAACAACAGCAGGAAATAAACCACAAAAAATGCCTACAGGAGGTCAATGACCAAAACTTTGCTGACGACTTGGCAACTAACGGATGACGAACTTAAAACGATAAAATACTTGTAGGAAAAGAAAAACGTCGCAATAGAGGTTGGCGAACATTCAACGCGTCATCGGTAACGACAATTCAATAGATTATGGCGGCTAACGCGTTGGCACTTATCAAGCATAGAAAATTTTAGCGCGATAAGAAAGAGAGAGTCGGGCGACTCCAAAACGCGACACGTGAAAAGTATATACGGCAACTCGTAAGCGTCGCGACGACACTGGCGTCCAAGTTGGCGTAGTACTGTATTTTGCGCACCGGTTCTCCAGCAGCACGTGGCCTGACAGTCAAGACCAATAAAACTGGCAGGACGCATGCGCGGCCATAAAGCAGCTTTCACAACAGCGAATTCACCATAGTAAGCAGCAGAACGAGCAAGAAAAAAGTCAAATGAAAGAAATAACGTAAAAAGGGAGGGATCGTGGGTCGGCGAGGATATTTTTATACCTGAATCTAATGTATAGTAACTTGGGTTCTGTGAAAAGTGGCTGTACGACAACCCAGCTGAGCAGAACCTTTGGCAGGTATACAAAATTACAAATGTCTCTACTGAAAAGTAACGCTTTTGCTTCCCAGTTATTCTCGTAGCGATGACAGAGAACGTTGTACTGGATTTCCAATAATAATAACTAGGATACGTTAAGTAGAAAAAAGTTTTGTTTAATTAATGTTATCGGATTGATAGAAAAGAGTCTAGGAACGATAAAAAAAAAAGCGTAACGGCATAGTAGGTATTGATAGGAGATACCAAGTTAGATAAACAGCTGGTTGAAAGCTTTACGGTATGATAAACTAGCCGTCGGGCATAATTCGACTATGGAAATTTCCATTTGGGACATTCAGGATTGGCTATGCGTCATTACGCAATATTTTGGGGATTGGCAATCAAAATTGTGTAGACACACCTGATGCAGTCGATTTTAATGTCGGTTGCTTTAGTAATTTTATGGGAATCGATAATCGTTTGATTAAATCAGATTCCAATTTGAAGTTAATCTGTTCTCGACTGGCTTTAAATACTTAATACTAGTCTAGAAGCAGCGGTTGTAAATTATTACGCGACACGATTAATCGTTGTCAGGTCGTCGTTCCCAATGTCATAAAAAAAAATAGTAAAATTCAAATGAAAACCGGCAACCGTAGTCTTTGGATTGAATCAGACGGCTTCATAGATAACCAAATACATAAATTTGTTGTCAAAAGGCGCAGAGACTTAAATTGTTGCCATAAAAATGCATACAAATTTCTTAACCTACAAGCGGAATAACTGTCGGGAGCGAACTTGTTATTCGCGGTTCAACGTGCCTCTGGAATGCCGGACGTTCGGGTTGCCGGTGGATGAAGTAAGAGAAGGTGAAGTCAAATTGAGAAAGGAGAAAGGATGCCGGATTTCAGTCGAAGTGAAGGAATGAATAAGAACAGGGAAGAAAATGGCCGTAGCTACTTCTATTTACATACACAATGTACGTTTCACGAAGGTACCAACTATCAAAATCTTGTAATGTAGTCAGGCAGGAAAGAATACGTCTGTCAGATGATAAACAAGGACCAGGTCAAAGCTTCTTAAATTTGTTTAACGCTTCACTAGTTACTGATGGAAAGTTACTAAGGAAAATCGTTTCATCGAGTTTAAAATATTTGATTGTATTCACGTATGTTTCATAGGCAACATCAATTGACGAAACAAGAAACTACATTGTTATCAAGGCGTAAGAGAAGGAAGAAAGCATTTAACTAAAATCTAAACAAGTAGTTTAGAATGCGGTTAAAATTTTTACTTATATAACACTTTTTACGTTAGAGATTCGTTATCACGAGGACTGATAACTAATGTCCTTGATATTATTGATGCTTGACCAATGACTCTGTTTCTGTCTATCTCAAGGTGTTCCTGAATCTGAATTTATAATTCTCACAGAATAATAAAATAGTATCGATATGAGTTTTAGTATTATACCTAGGCATGACTCATATATGTTTGTGTTTCTAAATGTTAACGCGAATGATAACGCGTTTATCGTAGTATGAATGACTATTGCGTTGTATCGTAATAATATTGTCGATAAAGCAAAATGTTAAGATCGTCGGTCAAAAGTATGAAATGGAACTACAAATTACATATTTGCTGTATAAAGTGCAAAGTTGATTAATGATAGATTGTTAGAAGTTTTGATAAACGTGGATTAACAACAAATTTATTTATGGTATTTAAATGCACTTAATAGAGATGATAATGAGATAGAAATGTGCCGGTATGATGATATAAACAAAACAAAAAAAATATTATCCTTTCAACTTTGATGCATGTATTAAATCACAAGTTTATGATATGTGGTATCAAGCGTAGAATAATAGACAAAGGAATTTCGAAGTTTTAGTGAAATTGTATGGGACGAAAAACATGGGCGTCACGTTTCGTTCCTTCTGTAAGCAACGTTATTTCCAGATGTCGATAATCATTGAACCGTAGTAATCACGATTACCTCTCGGTCTATTAACAAACTATTCTTTACGTTTCTGTATTATCTTCAAAGTTTGTACAGCTAATGTAATATTGTCTCTAAAAGGTAGTGTAACGTAAAATGATCTTAACAAGCTGCTCATTTGGTACGTGTCCCCGCGTCCATATTGTGAGACTTGACTAGCCCAACTGCGGAAGCGAATTTAACCAAAAGGAAATCGACAATTTACGTATAGAAGAAGAAAATGAAATGAATAGGAATGACGTCAAAGTCGCAAAGACTCGATCCTCTTAGATGAATCAGCGCGAGATGAAATTAGATTCGCGTTAGAATAGAAAGCCGCTCTGGGTGGACCGAATGAACACGAGGGTGGCTTGAACCATGGTGGCATTCAAATATTAAAACTTACCGAATAAACGTGAATAACTGGCCGGTTTTATTGTTTATATCCGGTACGATTGACTATTCACTTCACGATTTGCACAGTGATCTATTTACTTTCTGTATTACTGATTAAGCTCTAGCGCAATTCCACGTGCTTACAATGTTTTCTTGCCGTCTTGCGATTGCAATATGGCGGTTTGGATTTTCGGTAGGCATGTGCAAGGAAGACGACAACTAGCGACGCCTTACGCGTTATTTTAACAATGTCTGCGGAATGAGAACCTTATTTAGAAATCGTATAATATTATAATTTCGTTAAGTTATCGAAGCACGAGACGCACTCACCGTTATACGAATAATTACAATATTATTCGTTCAACTCGGAATTTTTATCTTTTCACAGTACGGTTCGAATTTTGAACTGATTTTATTGTGGTGATTGCGTGACATCTGACGGCAACAAATTTATTTACTGCAATCCGACACATGTTTCTCAGGTGGTATTTCTAGAAAATGATATTTGTGTTTTTAGTGTAGAATACGCTAGTACTTTCATCTAAAGCTTTATTATTTAGTACCTGTATGAGATATTGGGCCGTGATATGTTTATGAAATTGTAAATTCATCTTTATTCACTGTGTTGACGTATTGTTATACATCAGATGTAAACTCACGCGCCATGAAGGAGATGATCACGACTGAATCCACTGCTGGGTTTAACAATCACTTTGTCACTAATAATGGTGATACTGGCAGTAATAGCATTGGTGCTGGACCTAATTCGAGAAGATATGCTGTACTTAGTACAGAATGGATTGGAGTTATTGGAGAAGAACTTGGGATACACCCTTTACCAGATACACTTCTTAAAAGATTGGCAGAAGATGCATCTTATCGTCTCCGGGAAGTTCTTCACGTGTGTATTTTGCATATCGATTAGATATTCAGTGTCTCATACAAATTGTTTATAAGATTTGGTTTTGTGTGTATCTTAGAAATGCATGACCAGACTTAAACACTCTAAAAGAAAACGATTGACTTCGGGGGATGTTAATGCAGTTATTACTACTCTTTGCGATGTTGATCCTGTTATCGGTGCTCCAGAGAGAATGCCTGAGTATCACTCTGAAGCTAAAGTCTTCATTCCTCATGATCGTATAGTTGATCTTGCTCAAAGAGTCAACGATCCACCTAGTATAGCACAGGTCAACTTTCCTTACCTTCAGGGTCAGTAATCCTTATTTATTGTAATCACTTTCATTGCTTTAATTTTAATGTTTATTACAGAATCTGAAGTAGCTGATTCGAGGCTGACTGATGCTCGTAATAGCTATGCCAAAAAAGCATTAAAAACATTGTTCAATGGCTCGCAGAAAACATTTCAAGTACAGTCAACATCATGGGATAGTTAGAATTGAGAATATTTTCATATTGATTTGCCTTCTTTTTAGGTCTTACTAAATGATTGTGCAACCAATCCTCAAATGGGTGGAGAAGGTGTCATTGATAAATTAATGTCAATAGCGAGATCGATGGTTATTTCAAACAACGCTCAATATACTCGAGTTTCCACAAGAACCTGCCAATTAATAATAGTAGTTGCAAGCAACAGCGAAGCTGTTTATCCATATCATTTGACTTCGGTAACTATAGCCACAAATATGATAATTTTAAGGAATAATAATAAAACCACTAAAATATTTTAGGTAGACAAATTAACAGAGCTTTTGCTCGAATTACTCTTAGGACAGAGTTTTATTAATCCAAATCTAGAAACATTATTCAAAGAATGTGCATTGAAACTCATGCTTCGTTGGCCATCGGTAGCTGACAAGTACGTAACTCAGAAAGTACAATATTTTCCATACACCTTCAACCTGAATCTCTAACAAAATTTTAATACTTTTACAGATACATTCCTGTATTGGAGAATGCTTTGGTAAAAAAGGAAAACGAAAATTCAGAATATGTTAAAAATCGAATAACAGCTATGGAATTATTGGCAGGTGTACAGCCTCTCACATTTTTCCAGAGTCCAAGTCACTCAGTTTGTTCCCCAGAGAATATTTTATTGGCTACAACACGTGGGTCGACTCTCTGGCAGAGAATAGCGGTAATTCAATGTTTATGAATAAGTTTAATAACAATGAATACCCAAATATTTTATCATACTTTTCAGTTCTCGGTTTACGCTTTTCTAAAGGCCGATCGATATTATTTAATTCAACCATCTATAATCGAACACTATGGAGACTCTCTGTTACCTTATATATACATTAAAGAAGACAGGGTAAAGCAAGAGGATCGTAAGAGTGTGCCGTTTCCAATAATTATGAAAAGTAAAATAAAATATGCGAATGTGAAGCTATCGTTAAACACAAAAGTGTACGGAGATAGACAAATAATATTTCCAGACTCGACTTTAAGAGGCCCTCGAAAGGAAATCAGGTAAATAAATACTTTGAAGCATATATTGATGGTCTTGTTAATGATTAACGTCTTTATGGATTTTCTTTGATTTTTATAGATTCGCATTCGCTGGCGGTAGACCTGTCCCATCTAGTAATCTACGAAGAGCTAGTCTCAGAGCGAATTATGAAATTTTAAGAAGCGATCTACGAGCATCTTTCGCACTTGTTGCCTCGCGGAGGCTTCTTGTATACAAGAACGACAAAAAAAGGCTTCCAAGTTTATACAATTTAGTTAACACTCATCTGTAGGCATTTTCCACATCTCACGCTATTTATTTATTTTTAACCCTTTCGTTACGGATGCCGATTATAGTCGATATGTGTGCGACGACCTGTGACGACTGCCGTCACTAAGAGTTATAATTTGATATATATGCTCTTAAAAAAGTGTACATACAAGAGAATCCCAAGGTGGCGTTGAAAGACGTAAGTGCGAACACGAAGACTACCGACGTGCAATTCGCACACTTTGCAGCGCGATGCCTCCGTTCAGTGGCGTCACTCTAGCGGAGTGGACCGCCGTAACGAAAGAGTTAAGCATATTTTGTATATAGATTTATAAGACGATGAATTTCAATTGACAATGAATTATTACCGAGGACTTCAAAAATCAAGGAGGGACACATTAACTATACAATATTTAATAAATGCATTCTGTACCCTTTATTGTAATGCGTTGTAAAATTATCAAATGAACTATTTAGTTTTTGTAGGAAATATGTAGGAATTATTCCATAAAACTTGGAACAGTTACTCCGATCTCTTCTTAAGCAATACGTTCATCCATTCCTCGAAGGAAGCTTTCACAATCCATAATATTTTTCTCAAGACGTTCCTTGGTCGCTGACGTTTGCCTGTGTTGAAGTTTCAATTTAGCAGACTGAATGGATGTTCTGTAGCCAGTCACGTTTCGAAATATTTTGATATGCTTATCACCAGCTACCAAGATATACTCTCCAAGAGCATCAAAAACAAGAGCAACAATGGGACCTGAAATAAAAAGTGTGTTATAACGAAGAATTATATAAAGCAATACCTAAGTATAACCAAATTTTTGCATACCAATAAAGACATCTTCTATAGTGGCATCGAGATTTCCAGTGATAGTCGAATAAAAGGCCAAAGATGATCCATAAGCAATTACAAGAACCTCACCGTTGGGTGACAAAGTGAGACTCGCTGGAGTTGTAACTTCCCAATTGCCAGTAACAAGAATGTGTGGATCCTCTCCTTTCTCAAATTCGACTAAAGATCATAAAGTTCATAATCACCTATTTCATCATCTAGAGGATTTAAAAAGCAACTATAAAGCTTTACACACTTTTTGTATTATAAAAACGAAATGTTCCATCCTTAGAGACCGTAGCCATATTACTCGTATCCGCACTAAATGAAAAATCATAGATCCCAGAAGAATGCCCAGCTAAATCAAAGGCCTTTGCAACCTGTTTGAATTCGCCTGATTTACTAAATCCCACTTCCCAGACCTTGACATCCGGTGTGAAGCCTATATATTGAAAAAGAATAAAAAATCTTTTGCCAAGGCTACAACTTGTATAAAAATTATCCGGCATAGACAATCTTCAACTTATTTACCTGATGCAGCAACAAAGCGGCCACAGGGAGAAATTCGAGCACGATGAGTTGTGCCAAGATACGTATCTATCGTCGCAAAAGGTTGTCCCTTTAAATCCCAAATTATTAGATCATTCAATTTACTGCAAGTGATTATAAAGCGTCCGGTGCAGGCAATGTCCATTCCCACAACGTCTTCCGTATGTTTCTGTGGGAACTCCACGGCCTTTGTGGCTCCAGCCAGGAAGCCATCAGTTCTTTTCGCAAGTTTATAAACCTCAACAGTGTTTGCCACAGCTTTGTGAATAATAAACGCTTTTCCATCCGGAGACCAACGTATAAGCGTTGCATGATCGTACTCGATGTTTATGCGCAACGATCGACGATCCTTCGAGATCAAATCTTTTGTGCACCAGAGCAATACTGTTCTATCTGTAAACAAACAAAAATAGAAGCTTCATAAGTACCAGTTTCCCCGGTGTGTCATACTTGGGATACTTATGACAGATAATTCATGTTTTTCTTAACGTCACGTAAATATTACACTACCGTAACGAAATGCTAATGACTGTGAATTGTGAAGATGACGTAAAATCATTTCATTCCAAATAAATGATTTTCTTCGTTATTGTTTCTTTTGATTTTTATGGAGAATGGATTTTATAGATATGCTCATAATATTTATTATGTTCATTAAGACAATTTATATGGGCCACACTTTACAAATGAAGAATGCTCTTGTGTACTCTTCAATGATTCAATTTTTCTTTATTTCGGTCTTGCAATTATCATACAAAATGATCGTGAATATCTCGCATGATCTTTGCATTACAATCACTCATAAATCACGGTCTATGTTTCTAATTAAAACAATAATCGATGAATTGTTAATTATGTATGTATCGTACATGCCACAAACAACTGGCATAATTGTTTTGTTTGATCGAATTACAGTCACTAATTCATTTGTTTATCAGATACTTTGCAATGAATGAAAAAAAAAAGGATGGCCCTCAGGTCGACAAGGCGCCTTGTCACCTGCGTCGTTTGCTAGGTGGTGGCATTAAGTCCGCGTCATCCTGTGGGAATCTATGTCTATTTATATAATCGAGTAATCGATCTTTAGTCACAGGATCTTGAATACTCTTGCAAACGGCTGTGGCAGTTTTATAGGAATTCGGAAAAGACTTGTCCGTTCTCTCGCGCATGAAGACCCAGCGGCCATCTTCAAACTTGCATTCAATTATTTTGTTGTCCAGATCCTTCATTGCTTTGCTGATTTTCATGTGATTAAAAGGAACGTCCAAACCGCCGACGTAAAGTTGGCCAACCTTCTTCGGAACTATGCCTTCCCCAGATTCGGTGACAATCTTTAATTTAAAATCTACGGAATTCATGGATGCTGGCTTCCATTTAAGTACTTCCGGTGACTGTCCAGGAACATAAGGCTCCTTAGCTGGCTGAAATATCAATCCATCTGGCTCATGTGAGAGCTGCTTTGCGAATTTTTCACTTAGCAGACTTCCGGTTTGTGTCACGTCCCAGAAATGCTTTAGTCTTACTGAAAATGGCTCTTGTTCCTTTCGTATTCTACCTTCTTTCATGGCTCTGTGTCTACCGGCTATTACTTCGTTCTCAATAATCGAATAACGATCAGGATGGAAGGCGAGCTTGCTTACATCATGGCCATCGTACGTGATCACATCGTACGCCAGATATCTTGGATACTCCTTACCCTCTGCTTTGTCAATTACCATCTCCTGGAAAATTTGGTTTACTTTCATTATAGGATACATGGAATGGCGTGAAATGAATTGCAGAAAGAATCACGATAAAATTTACCCCATCTAACAGTGTTTCTTCGATTAATCTCTCAGTATCCTCTGGGTGAGGAAAACGCAATCCTGTAACTTGGAAGACACTGTTATCTCTGTCGAGAAAGAATATTTCTCCATCGGTTTGTATCAGCATCATGTACCTATGAGAACATTTTATCGATGTGATTATATTATGGCACAAGGAAGGGCCGTAGTGTCAAGTGTACGGTTACTAACCTCGTTCCATCTGCTTTCCATGATACCCTATATGGCTTCTTGTGAAGGTATCTAATATTTGTCATATCCATGGATACTGGTTGGGATCCAGGAAATCCTGACGATTTCCAGGAGCACAATTCTTGAACACGACTTTGAATTGCAGATAGTTTGTGACCTTCCCCCAGTACAGTAACACCTTGTACACCAGCCATGAATACAGGATTTTTGTTATTAAACTCTCTCTTTCTTTTCTTAGGTGGTGGTCCTTTATTAAAACTATCCGATTCTGTGCTAGGTCCATCGTCTCTATCTTCCACATTAGAATCATCGTACTCCAGACACCATGCTGGTCTTACTGGAGGTGGTGGTGCGTCTTCTACTTCATCATACCTCTTGAACAATTCTTGTATATAATCTCCTTTATAAATTCCTGGTGGCCTCGCAGAGGCAAATTCAGCGAGTGCAGCATCAACACTCCTTGCATCTATCTCCACCAAATAGCTTATCACCAAGAAGCCAGTTCTATTAAATCCATGTGTACAGTGTACTCCAACAATTTCCAAGGGATGCTGCGCAATGAAATTTTCGCATACTCTAATAAAAGTCGTAGTCTGCTCCTTTGACGGTGTTTCACCGTGTCCTCTACACTGCAGTTTAAGGTATTTGCAGCCATACTTCTCAATCTCTTTCTTGTCATAAAACCTAGAAGTATTAGTCAAGTCTATCCACAGACCCATCTTGAGTTTGTGACTCTTCACAGAGGCAAACAGCATATCCACAGTAAACTGACATTCTTCAGGAACTTGGCTATCAAATTCAGAAGACAGTGGTGTCTTGAAAGCTAAGAATTTGTTGTGGACAAGCTTGACTGCTTTTCGCGGGCAGTCAAGCCAACGCGGAGGAACTGGTCCTGGTCCTGGGCCTCTTTTTCTCCAGTTCGACATAGCGAGATTAAAATCGTCAATAGTCCAACCGTTAAATTCACTCCATAAAAACTTTCTCCGAGTCTAATTTAGGACTTTGCTCGCCAAAGGATCTTCCCTGTATCAGCACAGGCCAATCATAACCTAACCTAACAACCTATTTATATAAGCGCTAGCGTCTAGCACAGCGCATCGATTCGTAAAACTTTCATGCAACTAAAATTCACGTAACGTGCTTCGATACAACTCGTAAAACGTTTAAAGAGCGAGCACAACAATTACATATGGAACATAGGTTCTCCGAGAAAAACTGTCAGAGGCAACGATGGCAAAGGTCGGCCACCATTTTGTCCGTAGCCTCGTTACTAACTTCACTTACATTACTCGAGCAGCCGGAACATAGCATCATAATAAAAATTGACGTTGCTAAGCGGGAACGCGCAAACCATTCAAAACTACATTCATATTACTCCTTAATAAGTCACTGAAAAATATAAACATTGTTATGCAATATGATTTCATAAGAGCGGCAGGCAAAACTGAAATATACATACATATCACCGACTTCCCTCGTAATACCCACACGCATCAAAAACGTCACTCAATCCGATTTAGCATAGAAATCAGAAGAGCATCGAATTCATTTGAAAGTGATAATCAGTAACAATTCTTCCTACGGACACGACGGTCTATTCTACAAAGTATATTCTTACATAAGAAATCGTCTACAACTCACACAATCATTGCTATTCGACATTGTAAGCATATGACGTTCCTGCCAGTATTAGTTATTACACGTAACATAACGTATATGTTGTCATATATGCCAACGCAACTTTCTGGCACGTAGCAGCGCAGTAAGTGCGAGGTAAATATTCCCATCGTCAAAGATATTAAGAAGTGCTAATATGGCAGCTAAACTCAAATAAGAACCTCACGAGATACAAGGAGAATCAGAACGATATTTACCGTCGGTGCCTCTCTTCATCATAAAATACACCAAGCTTTGCTCTACACGCTGTTCTACTGTGCTTGATCGGATAGACGAAAAATGATCAGGATATCTTGAGATAAAAAAATCTCTAAGCAGAAGCAATCACAAAAGAATCTTCGACATTATGAGCAATGTATCTATTCGCGTTCTGAAATATTTCGTCCTTGAAACAGGTCGGTACCATTCTCTTCACGGTCAGACGAATGGCATTCTTATTTTTTTGTCTGGAGAATTCTCCGCGAGGATTATTAATCGGGTGACAAAAACTAAGGAAGACGTAATCGAGCACTCTTAATAATAATCTTGCGAAAGAAATTTTTTATGTGTACAAAGGTATTAAAATATGACTAATAAAAAGTAACCTTGAAGACCCAATCGTATACCATCGACTATCATACACGATTGCCGTGAGTTACGTAATTATTAACTTGGTCATAAGTAGATAACGGAATAAATAAATTATAACGGCTACTATATATTATGTATGTATACGTATCGAAGAAATGTGACACTTTCGTCACTAAAGAGAAAGCGTGACTGCGATTCTGCAGGATACTACAAATTGGTATTGTAGACTATGAAAGCCATAATGACCAATGACAATGACCGTAGGAGTAGATAGTCATGAATCTAATTGGCAGTGATATATATTGCAGTTGCCAGAAAATAATGCATACAGTGTTTACTGTCCGTATGGTAAATAAGATAAAGAGATCGTGCGTAAGAATATCATATAAAAATATTGTTTAGGTTTCGTAAACGTTTAAGCAACGTATCGGATCGTACGAGCGATTAACAAAGTTCGTATGGAATATGACAACAACGTAAGTCAAATAAGCTTGAAGGTAAGTAGTTACGGGTAGGAATAATATGTTTTTACGAAAAACACGACACGCGCTAAGTTGATACATCCAGTCTGACCGGGCTAATGCAATATTAGAACAGACTGTTGATCATCGATAAATCATCCTCTATTTTAAAAGAAAAAAGTAATCGTCGAGCTTCCCTCAATGATTGATCGATAAAAGTAATTTGTCTCTCACGTAGACCAGATTGGAGTCATTGAGTATGCATTGTGACTGGTAAAAGTGAACAAAGAACTAATTATGGAAACTTGACAAATATTTCTTTCAAACCTGCACCGAAGAGACTACCACATTCTTCTTTTATTGTTTTTGTCTGTCTCTCGCAGTGGCTACGTCTGATTTCCACCATCCGCCTTGTCGCGACGGGTTGATACCACGGTGGAGAAAGTTCTTCGAGTCCTCTCTCCTTTCTACTGCAGTAAATGTGGACTGGATCTTGTGTCTGTGCAGGAAGAAAGTTGTCGGCTTGCTGACACGGCTTTAAGATTTTCTCTGACTCCTGAGTCAGATCGAGAGACTTTGGTCTGACGCCATCTTGATTACAGGTCGATCTCAAACGACTGTTCGAGTCGTATAGTAATTTTAACACCTTCGCAATGCATTGAAGGATAAACTATTTCGAGTGTTGACGAAATTTAACCAAGATTAATATTAGTTAAATAAGCAAAGGGAAACAAATATATTCAAAGTCTTTATTACCTTCTTTGACTCTCATTAAACATGGCGGATCAGATATGAACGAACGAACGAGATGTCACGGTCGAGAATCGAAATTGCATTGAACCTAGGAAGCTTGTTTCTTATTTTTTTACCTTCGATTGCCATTCCTAAGGCGCAAGTGCGCGAGGCTCATATATCATCGCTGAACATTTCCAAATATCTATTACGAAAGACGGACGTTAATAGACGTAGCAGTGAAGACGGTTAAGGACACGGGAGGTTATGGAAGAATGGCTCGAGGAAGAAACCTAATGAATGAATATTATTAGTTAGCAATAAAGGACGTAGAGAAGGAGGATGTTTCTTTTTTAAATTAATTAATGAGAGATCGGTAGTTACGTAAAAAAAAAGTGTATTGGTATAGCGTTGACAGGCGACAGCCACGTTATGTGAAATTCGACGCTCCAATCTACGTCGAATCGCCATATTTGAATATCAACAGTAACAAGGCATTCAGGGGTTCACAAAATGAGCCTGGCCACTATACAAGTATTCCAAAGACGCTTAAATAACATAAATCTCAGCAGAACGCATCCTTAAATAATTCACTAACGAAAAGAAAAGGAAAATCCACAATTATTTGTCATTCTCTGGTCAACATTCTCTCCCATCCAGTCACTCTTTATCTTAACATGCACTGCATACGTAGAAAGTAGCATCATTACCAAAAAACGGCAAAAGAAAACATTTATTCAACAGATATCAGTGTCTCGAATACACATTAGAATAATAAGGTCGTTATTCGTAGTAAAATCGTCTAATTTAATCGGCAGGCACCGTATTGCTTTTTCGTATAACAAGAATAATTTATGTATTGCCATAACAGCCAATTTTTTTCTTTATAAACAGTCCTCTCGTCAACGTTTACGACCAACGAATTATTTATTTACGAATCACCATAGGCCTGCTCGAGTTATCTAATCGAATTATCGTTTCGGTAGACGTCATAATTTTATAAATCACTGCCAGGAGGTCCGTGTATAGGATATCCGTCAAGTCTTCCACATAGATACAGAAATGGCCGTAAGGTCTCTAAAATCTCCGGAGAGAAAGTTTTCCTTGGGTAAAAGTATACGTAAAGAACGTTCTGTAGGTTATGTGTATCTTGAATATGACGCAATAATAAATCACGCTGCAATAATTTTTCCATCTGAATTTTCTTTCATCGCAAAACCTGCCACACTCCTCCATTCTCACAGGACTTATGTCTAATTTCTATTCTAATCGAGCTTATCGTATTTTATCTTTCAGTGATCGTCGATCCCGCAAAGATAAACTCGTATATTAATCAACACGCTTTCGTACGTACGTCAGCCATACCTATTACGTACATCTCTTTTTATCTTAATTAAGTCCTTAACACTGAGATTATCGTACAAAAAGGGATTCGAAGGTCTTCCAAGACATAGAAATCCTTCGAATAGCTTCGTTCCACTTTAATCCTTTAAATCGTACAGATCGTTTCAAAGGATTCAATTTAACCCCCGTGGGTACCGTCCTGTTACCACCAATGGCGCCTAGGCCGAGTATTATCGATTACAAAAACTTAAATGATTAAGTTAATCCTAAATTGTCCTTAGAAATTAATCGGTTTCTTTGTTGGTTTAGCGAGCCAGGATTTCGAGCCAGCATCTTTTTTTTTCTATTACAATAAAATATAGTTCTAGAAAGAAGAAGAGTCTGACGCGTGAGGAAACAAGTATACATGTAAGTAGAGGGGGTGGGGGGGGGAACAAAATATAATTAATATGTCACGAGGTTCTATACAATAATGTTATTATTATAGTTTTTTTTTTCGCGTACGGCTCGCCGTTACCTTACACGTGGCAGCGAATGACTAGCCTAGTTTTTCAGCAGCCCATGTTTATACACTCGCGATTCATTGCGAGACCCTTCTCTCCACCCGTTTATCATTACGTATTGTATGAACGACCGCCCGTTGTATTCTTTACAAAAAAATTCAACACGGAACAAACTTACGCCATGATTAGGCGACAGGTACTTTTGTCAAAAGGAAAATTTTTTGTAAGTACTTCCTCCGTCGCGAAATGGCAGATCCCACCAAATAGCAGCGGGCATCGCCGTCCATGATTATCGCGTACGCTCGGAGCTACGATAAGTATAAAAAATATATACACCCTTAATGAAAAAAAAAAAAAAAAAAAAAAAAAAAAAAAAAAAAAAAAAAGAGAGAAAAAATATAAATACTTGTACAAACTAAATTCTGGTTAGAAAAATCTCGCCCTGAGGAATCGCTCGTGGGTAGAAAAACGTAAAGGCTTCATTCCTACGAATCAAATGAGATTTCCTTGAAAATGAGTAATCGAGCCCAAATGTACAAAAGGTCAAGAGTGCACCCGAAATTTGCGAATAGCGGGCCTCGTGGTGTTACGGAACCCAAAAAAAAAAAGGACACAGGTAATTGCAACAGTGACTCTGGATCTTCAAGGATTCTCGACGGTGATCGCTCTTAAGTATCCTCGAATATATTTAATGAGTCTAAAATCTTGCGCAACACTCATGAACAGTCGAAAGACTGTCGCCAAAAAAGAAAAACATTTTTAAAACACCGAGCAATCTACATTCCAACAGTGACATTCCTCCGTATCCTCTTCGATCTCCTCTTTCGCTTTTTCTTTAAAAAAATGTTTTATTTCCTTCCGCTCGCGTTCTCCATTTTTTTTGGACCCGCTAAACATACGTATACGTAAACATACGATCGTAAGAGCCGGAGGTCCTTCTTCATCTTGCGAATTACAAGAACACGTGGGTACATGGAGCAACATCGGCTAGAGGCAGGTAAACGCATCTTCAGGGCAATGCAATACCTGGTTCCTATTCGAAATTTCTCTTACTTTCTTTCTCTTTTTTTGTCCCCCATCCAAGGACGTTCCTTCGCTTCTGCTGTGCAACTGAATAAATACGATTTCATGGTGTGCGTAAAAACACGTGTTTAACGTGTAGATAAATATAATTGAAAAAATCGATGTGTTTAATGAGCATGATGTCATTGTAAAAACGAATTACATCCATTCCTAGTTAACAATGTAGGAGGTCGAAATAGCAGTGCATAAGCTTGTCGCGTGAATTACATGAATTAACCTTGTGAACTCTTTGGTGTAAGTTTCTTTAAGTGTTCCTTTCTTCTTCCCAAGTCCAACCGATCACCTTGGAGTTCGAGGAACGAAAAACGACTAATACAAGTGATGTGGATAAGCTCGATGAAACGGAAGGACGACGATTCCTGATATGAAGAAGTGAGCGATGAGTCGCGATAAGCGTACTTGGATGCGAATGTGGTCTGCAGGTGGATTATACAGGACTATACATAGTAAATATATAACTGTATAACGTATCACAGATTTCACTTGAAACTGAACACTGAGGGAAGTCCGAGAACGCGAGCTTCCTGGAGAACATACGATTCTCCGTGTCTCAATAAGTCTCTAAATCTATAGCTTAAAGGAGATCATGCTGAAGTCTCTTGAGCATGAGATCAGCCGCGGTCCTGGCGTCCTCGACGGAGTCGTGCTCCCGTACCTGGATCTCTCTGTTGAGTATCCTCTTGGCCAGGGTCTTGAGACTGCAGCGATACGGATAGCCCATGAAGTGTGGAAACGTAATGCAGGTATCGATTACGTTGGTGTGGACCATGCGAAGTGCACGAAGATCATTCTCCAAGCCATGACCTATCAGGATGGTTTCGGCATGGATGAAGGACAGAAGTTCAGCTTGGACGTCTCGCAAGGATTTCGAGGCACGCGAGAGATCCTTGGCCGTGATCCCGCTGAATCTGGTGTTATAGTCTATCACTTCCAGATCGGGTTTCACCAGGGTGTCGTAGACGACCCTGCCGTCGAGTCGCACTATAGTGACCTTGGCAGCCTCCAGGCCACGCTTCGTGAAGCACATTTCACAGTCAAGAGCGAAGACGCCGTAGTTGCCGTGAGGTGGCCTGGTGCTGCACGGCTTCGTGCGAACGTACCCGTCGAAAGGGCCGTTGTACCCAGTGGTGATGCCCTTCCAAACGTGAAGCGGCGCCTGGGTGCATCCTTTGGTGGATCCTCTTCCGCGGCAGCAAGACCAGCTGTTGGTGCCCGCCGCTCCATGCTGCAATCTTCCCCAGTGATAGACGCACTTCTCGTGCGTCAGGTACTCGCCGTCCTGACGATTCACGTAGAAGCTCTTCGAACACCTGGCGCAAGTTCTGTCGACGACAACCAGGATGTCGGAGGAGTCTTCGTTGACCTGAGCCTTCCCACGATGACTCGGAGCAGATGCCTCGACGATGTCGGAATTCTTGTCGCTCTCCGAGCTCTTATCACTGTCGGACGATCCATCCGGTTCCTGGTCCGAATTCTCGACGGAGCTGCCACTGCCGTTTCCGCTGTCGCTCCAAGACTCTCGCTGATTGTAATTGGATCTCGCATTGGGCACGAACTCTCTGGCATTCACGTCCAAGCGTTGACACCTCCTGACGTTGGGCGTGTACTCCTCACGATGATTGATGATGATGGCATACCCTGGAAAGAGACTGCACTCCACCGGATATCCAAGATGCGCTAGCTGCTCGCCGGAGAGTGTGTATCTCAAGAAGAGAGAGGCCAGTGCACTATCGCTAAGATAACACAGTTCATCACGAAATACACTGTATCTACCGTGAACGTTGGTATCAAGGTCACCGTCTACGTCAGCCTCGACGTCAAGGCACAAGCGAGTATTGCTCTCGTTGCCAACGTCCTCGCACTTACGTCGCGGCACTGCGATCTCCTTGGTAGGATGATTCCTCCTAGAGTTTGACAGTTTTACGGAAGACGCGACATCGGCTGCAGAACTGGAGCTGCTGCTGCTGCTGCTTGAACTCGAGTCCGTGCTCCTTGCTGGGCTGTTCTCATAATGATGATGATGATGATGATGATGATGATGATGATTCCTGTGTCTGCTGCGCCGTGCATCCTCCTTGTAGCATTCCTCGTGCTCCCGCTCGTTCTCACCTTCCTGAGCATCAACGGAACGTGGCTCCCGTGGCGCCCTGGTACGATTCTTGCGCTGTCGACGACTCAGGATGGCCCGATCCTCGCGCTTCTTCGTGGATGACGCCTCATCGGTGACGTCACTCGGCGCCGTGCTCCTCGTCCTCGTCGTCGTCGTCGTCCCTGCCGTCGCCGTCGTAGATGCTTTCTTCCTGGTCGACAGCTTCATCGCCGTGGTCCCGGTCGTCCGGATCGCCGATGAACTAGCAGCCGTTCCCTCGTTGCTGCAACGGACGCGCACGCCGCTACTTCCGCCGCCAAGGTCCAGCAGCTCCTCCTCTTCCGGCACCAAGCCGCAATCTTAATGTCACAGACAAAAGAGAGACGTGGGTAAGTCATCGGCCGTTATTAACGAAGAACGATACGCTAAGGTACGCGCCGGAAAAAGACACACCAGGCCTCATGCACCGTTAATTCCCTCTCTTTATTTATCATACAGTACTATACGCAGCGTGTTTCTACACCCTGAGGACTTTCGTAATGCTTATCACTTTGCGCTTTGCCTTCTTCGTATTATTATTACAATTTTTCTATAAGCTCCAACACCTTCGTACCGTTCGTATCTTCCTCTTTCGTTCTCTCTCTTTCGCGTTTCTTCTTTCACTCTTGAATCCGTCGGACGGTTGAGAAGTAATTCAAAATTTTTCAAATCAAAATTTTTTTCAAACACAACTCCGACGTCACAGATTCGATACACGTGGTAGCTGGGCCAGCATAAAACCTTACGAAACCCTAGGCGTCTCTCGTGAAACGTCTTCGTCAGAACGAAAGACGCTGATAAGCGTGTAGAAAAACAAGTATACCCATGAGTCAGTAATCGCGAGAAGACGAGAATCAGCTGCGAGAGGAATTCGCGCTATAAGAGATCTTCGTAACGGTGCCAGGAAGTCGGAAAGCATCCTATCGTATAATGGAGATGGTGTTATAGGGGGAGCGGGGAGAGGAAGAAAACGAGATCCTCGAATGGCTCAGTTCCGATACCGTTGCGTCATTATGAAATCAGCCTGATGCTTCTCTTACGAAGAAACGCGACTCTACGCTCTCCAGTGACTAAGCGCGCGCCGATCGAGAGATCAAGGGAAACAAAAATCGATATTCACAATTGTATTTCTTTGTCATTTGTCACTCTCTCGCGCTCCCACTGTCCAAATAATTTTCTCTCTCTCCCTCTCATTATCTTTATACCACGTAATCGATCGTCGATATCTTTCTAAATATAAACCATTCGATCATGACATTTTGTGGGCTCGAAAAATCACCGCTCCTATGATTAATATTACGAGTGCCTTAGTGTTCCATATATATATATATATATATATATAGTATGCACTTTGATCCTGACAATGACTCATGGTTGGTTATAACGACAGACGGCTCACTGGAATCGACCGGGTATACCTGGGCTATAGGTATTGCCTAGACCCTAGAACACGAGACACGTGGCCGATGCTCTTTGACGAAAATAAAGAGGCATTGCCCTTTAGATACGAGAATAAACATAAGAGAATAGGTTAGGTTAGGCTTTCGTCCATTGTATTTGTCAGTTATAAAAATTACTCATCTCGCTTGATATGAATTGAGTAACACGGAATTCGGTAAAGAAAGGGTTGCACGACTTCGTGACATTTGTTTTGGGCGAATTTAGTACCGGAAAACGACACAAGTTCGAGTTGGCGCTTGCGAGCCGAATGTTGTGCTTTTCTACGCGACCAAAGAGCCAGCTAGCGTATTTCACTCCCACGTTAAACTCTTGGATCTCAATGGGAAGAAACGCTCGTTCTATTTTTGTGCGACGCCCTAAATAACCTCAAAAAAAAAGGAGAAAAAATCATTTTCAAAGACGATGAAGGAAACAGCGTGAAACGAAGAACGAGAGTCTCGAGGAGAGACGTCAAACGCGTGGCAGACGGGCAAAATTAATTTTCAAGAGACAATACGATAATACCGATATAATTAGTCTCAAATAATCACCAAGGCAAACATTATTTGCCATTGAACAAAGTCGATGATGTTTACGCAACGAGTAACGTCAGTTGGCGAATTTGCGATTTTCGGAACTCGTGTTTATTTTCTCAACGTTGACAGCCGCACATCACTTTTTACGAAAATTCGACAAATTTCGGTCAATGATAACTGATATTTTTTTTTGTCATTGGACAATAAATTGCTTTATCGCTTCTGATAAAATATAAATATGTAGCTATATTGAGCGAGTTAAAAAAAAAATCAAAAAATGAAGGCCAGCAATCTAGCATCGATATGAATACACGATAATGTATTTTATATTTCTCATTTTAAAGTAAGCCCCAAGGATTTGTAAAACGTGAGAGGCGTATCGTACACCGATCAGTTCCTGCACTCATTCTCTACTTGCAACGAGTCACGTTAACCCACTCTGCATTACCGTTACCGTTATTCCCGTTACGTTTCTCTCGGTGGCCATTTTTAAGGAGCAAACGCTTGTAACTCTTCGACCCAGCGTTCCAGTTTCCATTTATGCACTTTTTCTTTTATTTTTCTTAGCAAACCTTTAAACGCGTTATTCTTACATACAGGCGACGATGGACTGTCTAATTATTAAAAGAAAAATGCATAAACCACGTGTTTAAGTAAAAGTCGTGAAAAAAAAATATTTTTCACTGAACAAAACTGATAAACCAATTAAAAATAATCAATTGAATCGTAAATCAGCAGTTTATGGGCTCAAGATAAATTCGTCGTGCGGCAGAGCCGATTTAAAATTTAAAAAAATAACAACACGGAGATAAGAAAAAAGAAGACAGAGAAACGGACAAGGCGCAACGAACTTTGTAAAAGATCATGAAATTAATCAGGACACCGTTCTCCTGAGCGACAGTAAACGACAGTTCTCATCCGATCGATTTCTCCTCCACGACCTACATTGATATTAGTATCTATTAGCAGTGTATGGAATATATAGTATATTAACTTTAAAACATTAAAACATTAAAATCACTTTTATCTTCCTCGCACAACTCTGAGGCACACGTCTGCACACGTCTCGTCCCTTACTTCGAAATTCCCGCGAAAATCAACACCTACGAGTAAACCAAAATTTAAGCCGCGATGAATGTCGTTCACATACCTTCGGCACAGCTTGCGAGGAACTTGCCGTTGCTAGAGAAATTCATATCGAGGACAGGACCAGTGTGACCCTTCAATGCTCCGACCATCCACGAGTGGGTGAACTCCTGTTGCGCTTCGCGTCGCTTTTTATTCTTGGCACGTTTGTTGCTCGTCCCGGAATTACCACCAGCGCATCCGCTGCCGTTCGTTGAATTTCGACTTTCCGTTAACTTGCGATTAGCCTCTGACTCATCTGCACAAGAAAATAAAACACATTAAACTTCCAAATTGTATCACTGTTACGTAAAAATAAATACTTGAAAATTGGACTATTTTAGAAAAATTCAATATCGTACTCGAAACCCGGAATGACTCTGAAATTTCGAGAATACAACTCAAGCCAGAGTTTCCATTAAACTGAAATGCGTAGGCAGCATTTCGTCAGCCTTTATACGTATTTCAGGCAGACATTACAGTGAACCACGTGTTCGGCTTGAAAACATCCCCTCCAGTATCGGTACGACAAATGGTTGCGAATTTTGTAAAAATTTCCCTTAGTTTTTAAGAGTAACCAACGCCGTGATTGGCTAATTTATTTTGACTGGAAAATCTGCACCATGGTGGGGATACGACCATGATGAATCGTTTGGATGACAGTGGAACGTTTGTGACACAGGGTAATAAGAGACTCGTAATCGTCAGCTCTGACGCATCTATAGAATTATACAGTTGGACAAATTTTAGACCATTTTCATACTGTTATTTGTACTGAGACGAATACGAAAGTTTTATTGATTCATGAATCTCCTGGCAGGTATTAGGAAATATGTCAAAATGAATTTCAAGTTTTTCTGTTTCTCCATCGTCAGAAATTGATCCTCCGTCCCACGTGTGCGTCAGTATCAATAATTTCACCACATGTGTGTTATCATTTCCATTTTTATGTATACAAAAAAAATTTCAAAACAAAAACAAGCAAACTATTCATTAATTTATGTACATTTATATCTATTGCATCGAGTGGATGTAGAATTAAAAATGAAATAAAAAGTTACGAGCCAATTCGAAATTGGCGCGCTTTGTTTCAGCCGAAATATTAACCACGCGAGAAGATAATTCTTATCAGTCTTTACGAAACACGTCAAATAAAAGCAAAAATGATATCTCGAGATCATTCTAGTGTTACGCAATTATACCCTTATCACGTGGACCAAAAGAAAAAGTCTTTCACAGAGAGCAATCTTTTCTAATGTAAACTTTCGAAATTCACAATATCCCTCTTCTAACACGCACGAGAATCCCATGGCGTGGCGCTGCACGTTTCGTGCTTATGCACCGCGTCTCACGTGCAACCTTTTACTTTTCTTTTTCCTTTTCGTCACACGCATGGCACACAGAAGTCAATGTACATAAATATACGCAAGTTTATTTATATACGACACCACGAGGCGTTCGAGCGCCGCGAGATCACGTCTCGAAGATTTCACTGAGAATTTTCGGCGTGTGGTTTCGACAGAGAAAATTTAAAAGAAGGAAAGCGTCTGTCGTTTGTACGTTACTATATACTGCTAGAACAATAGCGAACTTCAATAAGTTTAGGAGCAGGAGATGATATTGAAAATATATCTACGTTTTGACGTCAGTCGATACATTTCTCTTTGCCTCGCTGGAGGTTTAATCGCTTTTAAAAAATATATCAAACTGCACAGCAGAAAAATTTTGGAGAAAGAAACTTAAATGCCTAGGATCACGTATAGTCGAAACATTGTATATAAAATCGAATCGACTGGTAAATAAAAGAATGGATAAGAGAGCCTTACTTTTCGGTGTATCCGAATGTTTGGCGGAGCGAGCCAGTCGATTGGTAAGGTAGGTTATGGCGAATACAAGGCCGCCGAATACAACGGAGCTGAGCACCACGAGGACGGGCGTCCGAACCCCCAGGATAGTTTTGGCTTCGGTATCCTCCATGTCCCGGTGCTTCACACGAAATTCACACTCGCTCGACCGCCAGTCGAATCGTCGTTCCGCACGAAGTAAAGTAGGAACGACGAGGACGGGAGCAGCCCGCGAACACGATGTCCACGAGGATTCGCGACGTTAGAAAAAAAAAGTACGAGCCAAGAAAGGGGATCACGAATGCGGCGGCGGCGGCGACAGCGGCGGCGATCACGCAACGATGCGGCGTTGCGTCGACGCTGAAATTCCCCTCCGCAGCTCCGACAGCCTGTGATCGTCTAGATACGACGTCCAACACAGAAGGGCTACTCCAAGGAGCGTCCTCAGTACCAGCAGCGCCAGTTTCTCAAACGCGGCGATGCGCCAAAGTAACCGAAATCCTCTCTTTGAATCTTCGAATGCGACGCTTTTTGTACGAAGAGGCAATTCGGAGTCGCCTGCATTCTTTCACCTTCTTCGAAATAACAATAAATCTCCTCTTCTCACCCTTAATCCACACAAGAACCTATTTTCTTAATTCGTCTATCCGCAATCAATTCTTGGCACCGATATATCGCGTTACCTAAGAACCACCGTCGGGGATGAACTATACGAAGGAACTGTTTACTCTCCTACTGTGAGAACGAAAAGGCGCCAGTTCACGACGTATATCGCGCGCGCATATCGTGCTGTGTGTTCAAGTCGCACGGAACTTACGTACTGGTATATAGCGTGTCCAAAGAGAGCCAGCAACTTAACCATTCCACTCCCACTGTGAATTGCTCCCACTCATTCACTCCCATCTCTCCTCTCGTCCCATCACCATCTCTCCCAATCAGACTCGTGATGATCAAACGCATCACAGCACGGCGAAATCCGGCGATGGATAAAGAGAGATGTATCGGGATATACGAAAGAGGAAAGGAGAACCTTTATTTGTTTTATCGCTTCAGCCTCAGCGTTAAATTTTTCATTAAATTCATAATGACGATAAGAAACATGGTGTTTAGAAATCAAAAACTCAAAGCTTCAGCTGACTGATATCGTTTATCACGTGGACCAGTTTAGATGTACTTTTACAGAAATTCAAGATGAATCCACGACCTTACCAAGAATTTCTCTTTCATTCGCGTCGACTCATGCTTTTCCTTGAAGCTTCGTCCACACTTGAGTCTCTACGAATATGATTAAAACCGTGTCAAACATGCTCAGTGGAATTCCACGAGAAATACAAAGAATACTGAAATCTGAATTCTAATTAACAGTAACGTATATTAAAGAAATTATTATCATTATTCGTACACCGAAGGCCATCAGTCCGGATTCTCTCGTTCAGAATCAGATACCCCAGGCAATGACCCAGGACGAATGTAACGCAACGTACGAAAATCATAAAGTGATTAAAAAAAAAGTAAGTAAAGCATTATCTTATTTCCTCAGTATCCAAGCAGAATATTCTTCATATGATTTTTATTGAAATACACAAACGCCTTATACCGATAACATATGACGTCCCGTTAATTCAATAACGTCTGTTGCAATTCACCGTATAATTACACCATTCAATTTCTTTCCAAATACGTACAATATCCAATGGCAAAACCAATCCGATAAATCCCACTATACTTTATCACGTGTTGCTCCATCTTCCTCGTCAACAGAAACAAAACCTATATCGAAACCAATCACGCGCAGTTTCGTGCTATCATTTTCACGAATGCTGCGCTTTGCGCGTGCTAACCATGAGTACCTATGAATATTTCATATACACAGATAGACGCACTCCGTCCAAGAAACGCTCTACCGGGATGCGTTGGGATTCGAGCCGTTACACGCCCCGTTACTTTTACCCGTTTAAAAAGCCATCGTCCTCGATTCTACTCTCACGCCCCTGTTCACTCGCGATACACGTCTCTTGTCGCAGGCAGTCGAGATATACAATGTGTGTGTATATATATATATATATTTGCTATTAACCGGAGATATAACGGGAGTGCTAACGAATCTTGTCCATCTCTCCACATACTTTATCGCCAACTTCAGAGGATTATTTAACACATTTTTTTTTATATATCTTAACAGCCACCTTTTCTTTCACCTGCTATTTCATTCAATTGTCTCAATAATTTTCTATGTATCACTAAGAAAATCTTTCGTTCAATTAATAAGTCGTTTTTCCTAAGTTGGGATTTTAGTGTTTAACAAGTCTTGCTGAAAGTTTATACACGCAGCTATAGCCACGTGCATCACTCGCCTCATTTATCGCATTATTTTTACACGAGTCATGCCGCATGGACTACGCAGTATACGATATTTACTAACAAAGCCATCCACGTGTTTATCTTCTGTTATTAACTTTGTACTACGAACTGCTACCTCGTTTAAAATCGACTTATCGCATTTTACCCTTGCGCCATACTGAATGCGACAATGGTTCCATGACCGAGCTTGTACGAGAGAAGATGAAGGAATTCACTGGTCCCAGGCCAACGAACCTTATCCATTTTTAAAGTTCGTTCCTCTCTTATACGAGATAATTAACCGAAGAGGTTTTGATATTGAATTTTCTTTTTTTAGCAGAATCACAAATAACGGTATTCAATGTGGTGCCATCTTGTACATTTTTTTTGCAGTGAAATACAGTTGTTCAATTTTAATTTCACTCAGTAGATATTTCTACGAGCTCATCTACGAGAAAGGAGAAAGATCTATCTATAAGAGAAAATATTATATATATACACACACACACATATATATTATATATATATAATCGATATAATCGATTTTATGCATTTGACTTCTTGTTGATATACTTTTGCGTTTTATAAAGTGTTCCAGTTTGTAGGTCGGAACGAACAAAGAAATTATTAGTAGGACAGACATTCCATTTCTATTCTTATTCTTCTTCTTCCTCTGAATAAGACTATTTTATTTAAAATGAAAAATTATTATTAGAGATTAACACGTAGGGATTTATTCAAACAATTTTATTCCAGCTACTGTATGATGTCACGAAAATTTAAACCTCAAATATTCTTACAAGTTTGTCTATTGAATTCAGGTATCTCGGGTGCATCTGACTTGAAGAATGTCTTCTCATACGTAGATAATACGTATATGTAGATATATTCAAAAAAGTCGCCGATTGGCAGAACGCCATCAGAAGTGCGCAATTCGCGCGATACTGCCACGTCTACGTGAATTACTGGGAAGAATAATTTTGGTGTGCTGCGCGACGTTATTCGAGGTCTTGGAGCCGGTGTTGATAAATTTGCAAAGTGTGGCTGCGGCGAATAAACATAAGGCCAAGATAATGACAACGAGACAGGAGAAAAAAGAAGAATTAAAAGATTGCCGATAGGAGCAAAGTCTGGCTAGGAATGAATAGAGGACGTAGAATTTCGAAAGATCAAGAATAATACAAACACTTGACACATTGCAGAATCCAATTCTGAATTGTTGAAATTATACGAAGTTCTATATTCCCGCGTAGACATATACATATATCACTGCTGTACCGTCTCCAACTGCCATCTCTTTGTCCTGGGACGAAATTGTGACTCACGCGATAGCTCTGCGCCTCTGCTTCAAGTTCATGATAATTTGACCAGATCGGTATTTCGGTTTCTTCGTTCTCAGCTTTAAATGTCGAGACACTTGCTGTCTATTGAGCCTAAGGCTGTGGGGAGATCGTAACTGATCGTAACGCGGGAAGATCGATGACCGGAGGAACAATTCTTCCACGTGTGTCCTCGAGCTCGGCGGTTAGCGTTTAAGGTTATCGATACGTCCGACAACGTTTCGACGTAATAAGCATGACACAAAGTAACTGATGAAAATTCTTACCTTCGTTAAAGTACAAGGAATTCCTGTCATCCTTCCTCGAATAGATCGTCATACTTCATACTGGGTGATGTCATTGATTCTTTTATTAATTATTTAATTTCTTATATGTCTTTTTTCACTTATACATTCACGCGCACGCATCGACTATTGTTCATGTTTATCATGTTAATATACTCTTGATCTCCCGTACATCCTACTCACTTCGAGACACAATGGAAACTGAACTTTATCTTTAAACGCCACCATCGCACGTGCATCTGTCGAACGTCATGATGCGTCTTTGTCAGAGTTCTCGAGTCTTGCCGCGTCTTTGCCTGCCAGTTCTCTAACCAAGAAGAAAGAACAAGTATGCGTGCTCTATCTTCTTAGAGTCTGAGCATCGTGTATACTGACTCACGCGAAACGTGCTCCTGCCGGTTTATATGTTGAGATCTGACTGGCTCTGTCCTATATTTCCCCATGTATACGTATATTCATATTATATCTATAGTATCTGCGCGCATACATATATCTCAGCCATGCGTACGGACACACAGTGCACGCACACATGTTTTTTTTTTAAAGATAATGAAGTTTGATAAGAGGAAACATCACAAATCATCTTCTTGGAAATTTAATTTTCGGAAATTTGTCATATCTTCTTGTTAATTTATATAGCCGAAGATATTATGTGAAGGCTGTAAGTAAGAAGACAAACAATATTATTTTGGAATATATAATTCGTATTTTTTTATCGTCTCTCTCTCGAGCGTTAAAGACGTGTCCAGGGTTTCCGGAAGAGAATTTTTTTCGTCAGCTGATTCAGAGAGAATGACAAGTACTAAGACGGATTGCGAGTTTCTCGCGTCTCGAGAGCTGAGGCTACTTATGCATGCCATTTTGAATTCGTTTCTCGAGCCTTAAGCTCCATGGTCGACCTCGCGGCCTTCATTCGATAATAAAGTCTCGCGTTGTACCTAAAAGGTTCGCTTATCCGTGCAGAATCACAATGGTCGTTTTCCTCGGAATTAAACTGGATGTAAAATACATGGGAGGTACATTTACTGTTTATTAACGTATAGATATACAGTACACTACTTTTCGTTCTTAACCTGGGAATGGTCGCGCAATTTTCTTGGCTATTTGAAAATAAATATTGAGTTGGGGTGTCTCAGACACCCCAGGCATTTACTTTCGGGTTAAATAAATTTTCGTAGGAATAATTTATATGAAACTCATTGAGATAATTACGTTGATTTTACGAATATCAGATCTTCGTTTCTTTCACGTCGAATTGTATTTTACTCGTTCATAATTTAAGACAAGTGACAGTCCGCCATTCGTGGCGACATCTTTTTCTTGTTTTGACGTGTAAATTAATTTCGGGTGAATCGTTTTCGAAAGGGATGCGGTAAAAGGAGTGAAAATTATGTTCGTTGGGGTTGTTTGGTGTATATATTTATTGGAACGATAAAAAGAATGCCGAACAGTAAAAGAAGCGCGAGCAATAAATCCAGTCGAGGAAAAACACAATCTTCTCACCCAAAACAACCGTCACAGCCACCCCCGTCGCCTCCGTCACAACGAGGGTGAGTTAAGAATAACATATATAACATATATCATATACTTTGAGTACAAATAAATAATAAACGTTCGTTGACATGTTATTAGAGTGTGGACCCAGGTCAAACGAGATGCACTCTCAACTTCAATAACAAATAAAATTTATGTGACTATCTTTTTTGTATCATTAAACACGCAAAATATTCGGTGAAACAGCCAGGCCACTGGATGCGTCATTAAAATTGTATGACAGCCTTTGAGAATCCGTTTGATATTTCAGCTTGAATGAAGAATGTTGTATCAGTAGATGAAACCTGTTTATCGAAATTATTATAAAAAGAGAACATTTTACCTCGCGTCGCAATTAATTAAACAGAGAGCTGATAAATAACGATACGTGGATACAAATCGAAACGCAATTCAGGTTTGCTATATTGTTTGTCCGTTCGAGTTACGTGGAAACAGTCTTGCACGTATATATGCATATGTTATTAAAAGAAATGGGTTTCTTTGTGGAGAGGGTAGTCTCCATTCGGAAATCTGATTTATTGTTAGAAATGACGTGTTATCGGGCAGCAACTTTCTGGCTCCTATGTATTCGTAGGATGAGAGTTCTTGTATCGTGCAATTTGCCACATGTGACGACGTATCTTTTGCCGCGCCACATTCAGCGCCAACTGGTGGCAGCGTGATACTTAACCTTAAGGCGCGTTTACATTACAGTGATATTGAACTGAAGTCGTCTCCTGCTTTGACGCTATTTCCGCTTCCGGCGAGACACTAATATTCTAGAAATCTTAAGAGTCACGATATCATCTATAACAACGCCGATCTTGCTAAAGTCCGTTGTGTAACGTTCACGAGAGAATCAGTCGCAATCAGTCGTGAAGAAGACGTTCGAGAGTGTGAACACATTTTTTTTCTAATCAAGAGTGAAAAGAATCAATAGAAAACATGCCTCGACGAGGACGAGCTTCAGGTCCACCACCTAGGACGTAAGTTTTTATAATATTTTAATGGATTTATGTAAGAAATAATTGTTTCGTTTCATTGATTTTTGTTACGTCACACTTCCAAGGCCGTGAATAAAAGATATCAATGTTGGGTTACATATTCTCTATGAGAGATGGACTAATATTTTCTTTATAGTTGATTTTTTAGGATCTTTTATTTAATATCAACATTGCTTTTTTAGTGTCAGGCCAGCAGCTGCACCTGCCAGAGCTGCACCACCTCCAGCGCAGCCTCCAGCGACAACTGCGCCGGCTGCATCTACACCCATGGTGGCCCAACCTCAAGGACCATCTCTTATGGGACAAATGGCTGCTACTGCTGGTGGTGTTGCCATTGGATCGGCTGTTGGACACACTATTGGCCATGCTATGACAGGACTTTTCAGTGGAGGTTCCAGTGAAGCTGCAGCTCCTGCTGTGCAAGGTGCCCCTGCTCAGCAGTCTGCTGTAGGTGCACCTGCACAGCCTACTGGAGCATGTGCTTGGGAAGTTAAGCAGTTCTTGGAATGTGCCCAGAACCAAAGTGACCTCACTCTCTGCGAGGGCTTCAATGAGGCTCTTCGTCAATGCAAAGTTGCCAACCGTCAGTATATTGGCTCAACATAAAAGCATTGTATACAGCAGGATGTTTAACATGAAATTGTATTTTTCAGATATATAAATGCGACGTGAACTTCGCAAAATTAGATGTGTCAACCTGAAGAGCATGAAAATTAAGGAATAAACTGTTCCTGTTCGTGCGTCATTTGAAACCTTAGGAAAGTTAACATCCAAGCAGTACACAAATATGTTTCTGTACTCCATGTAGACGATGAAATAAATAAAATTAGTTGTTATATTACATGAAAGCAGCGTATGAGTTCTATTTATTTTGCACTATGCCTCTATATCCAATTTTTCCATGAATGATCCCCTTTACAGACCTGACATTGTAATAGTTCAACCGCGACGACAGCCTGGAGTGTTTGGCCAAATGGCAGGAACAGCAGCTGGCGTAGCCGCGGTATGAAGTCCTTAAAATAAAATAGAATTCTCTGGAAAGCTGTAATTGGGCCTATTTTAGGGAACCGTGATCGGGGACAAAATCACGGGTCGTCACGACGCCCCGCCAACGTCAGACCCGCCGCCGGAGCAAATGAAGCCTTGCGAGTACGAGCAACGAGAGTTATTGAATTGCACTCAACGTGAAAACAATTTGCAGACATGTGAACCGTATAGGAATGCACTTGTCGATTGCAAAAGAAAAAATAGTGCGTGTTGCACATAATTCTAGAACGAACCGCTCATTCAAAAGCTGTTTTTCAGACCTGAGTTAAACGTGTGCAGCAGACGCCTAAGGAGGAAAGAAAAGTAAAGGAATTATAACGTAGCTAAATAAAGTAGGAACCTCAATGGAAAACTCGTGTGTTAATACAGACATTTAATGTAACAATAGTCGAACAGGATCCAAGGAAAACGCAAAACGTTGACCTGGGTATCCCACAAATTAAATATACGACCCTAATTACAGCTAGATACTTCAAATTTTAAGTTCTATTGGAAAATAAATATTACTCTGAATATTTACAGTTTCAGTAGTTTCGCTCCTAATAGAGCTCCCACCTCAAAACAATCGCCGCAAACAAGAAATATTGATCCAAACACCGCGAAAGCAGAAAACACACAGGATTCTCTAAAGAACATAGCAAGTACAGCTACAGGAGTCGCGACTGGAACTATATTAGTAAGCAAACATATGATCTATAAATATGATAAAGATGAATGGATACAGTAGACCAAAAAGAAAAAGAATCACAAAAATCATTGTCCAAGGGTCAAATGATTGGCAACGTGTTATCCAATGCGCTGGGACGTGGGCAGAGTGAATTGGTAGAGGCAAAGTCCACATCATCTTCCGGAACTACTGAGATGGATGAATGTTCCTCAGAAATTCGAGATTTTTTTGAATGTGCTTCACGCAATGAAAGTCTCGAAAGGTGTAAGAAATTCCACGAGGTCTGGCTGCAGTGCCAGAAACGCGCTAGCACGTGATCCATTGTGTAAACAGGTGACGTCACTCAGTCATCAAAGGAAAGCATAAACAAAAATATATACGGGTAAGTCCATCGGTGCAATTTGTAATGACTCGTTAAAAGTTAATTGAGGTACCGAATTACGCGAGGGACATCTACGACTTGTGAACAGAGTTTATTAAATTAACGTGAGCTTAGGAGATAGGCTCATTTCTTTAAGTGATCGAAAAAGGGATGATTACGGGTATTATGGGAAGGACATGGTAGACTATCTTTTATCCGTATTCAGGACGCGCATCACGACGAAACCAGCTACTGTTGCTACAGCAATCCCCAGACCAGCTTTCCACCAGACAACGGAATCGCCTTGTATCAGCCCAAATTGCTTCATATGTCTGAAACAGGAATGAACTATTATTATATGAACCTAAAGTTTTGAAAAACAATCGCTCATTGATTGCATAAGAAAACATGTAAATATATATACATCTCAGAGGCAAAAGATAACACAGACAATAATTATAAACTGGAAATGAAGATACTTCGAGTTCAATTTCAATCTGATTAAATGTATGTTTGAGATTGATACACGCTTGGGTTATCATGCTCATGCTCAACTTCAATATTGTTAGATGCTTCTTAGTTGCGTGGTTGGGTGCAGTTATAACACATAAAAAAAACCATAGATAAAGAATAATGACAAAAGAAACCTTGTAAATGAACTCCACCATTCGGTGGGTGAGGGTTTGACAAGCAACATGTGGACCATACGCCTCAAAGGACTGAAAAGATCAATAATAGGATCTCGTTACGATAGACTGCTCGTGCAATACTTTGGTATTATCGAACGAATCGTATTGATCGTTGATCGATCTATTTTTAACTATAAGTCCTTTCTCTCCAGTATCCGTTGAATTGTTTATTCAGAAAACGATTCGCTCGACGGTCACTATACGATACTGTACGATTAAAATAAAAAAGAACCAATTATAGTCTGAGAGAATTCGACCAACCTGTGTTTGTAAAATAATACCCACGCTGGTTGAAAGCGGCTAAAGACGAAATAGCTTTATTAGCCTAAGTCAATTCACTTGGCAATTGGTTAATATTAAATAAATTAGGCATTGATCGAGTACCCGTTATACGGTAAGAAAGCTTCATAATTTTGAGAAACTTTATAACTCATTAAGGACTTAATGATATCAATTAATGCCCGTCAATGCACCTGTACGTTGCTGGTTGTAATTACCGCAGGCTTCTTCTTTGTTACGCATTGACTAGTCTAATAAAATTTAAATAAGGTAACAGACTTACGGAAATGCTGCCATTGTTGCTAGTTTAACGAATATCTCACGACGCACTGTACGAGTCACGCTGTACGGCTGAGGAGGCATAAGCTTGTATTTGCTGCAGAAACTAGCCGGCTGTAGCAAGTATTCTTGTTTGACCTCGGGAAGGTCGGTCTTATTACCAATAATCAGCACAGGGATCTTGCTGTCCGCGAAATACTTCTGCAATAAAAAAATCAATGTACAAGATTTAGCAAATTTGCACGGGCCTTTGGTTACGTCATCGTATCTACTCACTATATAAATGCGAGCTATGTATTCGAACGACTTGGGATTACTGGTATCGTAAACGAGTGCAGCTGCGTCGCACTGAATTTGTGCAGGAGTCAGGGCATCCTGAACGTTCATCACATTAATATCCCTGAGTATTATAGTTTTCTCTTGACCGTAGACGTGCACTGTGTTCACAGTCACGTGTGAATTTGGCGGCACCGTATTGTCTGATAATTTCTGTAAGAATGTTGACCCTGAGTGTCATCCTTGAGTCTTTATGCCATCTACTTTAAAGTACCTCTAGTTTAGGATCGATAAAGGTTCTGCAGAGGGTAGTCTTTCCACTACTCTTTGGACCGATCACGTGACAGCTGTAGACGTTTCTGCTGGATTGCTTTTTCGCCAAGTCTAATTTTTTTTCACGGGTCACCGAAATTGCACTTGTTTGACTCTCGTTGTGATACATGTTGTAGCCAAAATACGCCATGTATTCCATGGTTTTGCGTACGTTTGTTAATGTCATGTATTCCCATTGGCAGAGAAAACCTTGGATAGTTATCCAACCCTAGGAAGAAAACAGTCTGTGTTGGAATTCCTTCTTGACACTTATTCGTCATTTAGAATTAGAGAATGGAAAGGAAACCTTTTCGTTCGTTGGTACAGTGTACTTGTACTCGTCTCCCCAAGGCGGAACTAAGCACCTAGAGAACAGGGCGTCTAATTCTGGTGGGGATAAGGCTCCGTCGTGGTCGCGGTCGTGTTGCATGAATAATAGTGCCAGAAATTCTTGACCTTTGTGCGACAGTTCTGTTGTACAGCCTGGCGGAACCTTTAACCTACCGATATGATTTATAAATCTGTTAATGCGTTTTGTCATGGTGAAATTTTTAAAGGATATAAGTGGAAGTCGATGCTTACGTTGGACTGACGTATTCTTTTGACATTTGAAGTTCGTTATCGTAACCGAATTTTCTTAAAACAGCCCAAGTTGTCTCATTTCGTCCACGCTGTATAAATAAGCACTGGAGGTACATGAATCCTTTCATAGTCACGCAACCGTTGCAAACACCATCTTGAATATTTTTTGATAGAACCGCCTTTACGTCCTCCAGTACTTGTGGTTGCAGGGGTGTGTTAAAACACCATTGTTGGAACGCATTCAGTTCCATGTCATTTAATAACCCATCATTGTCAATATCACATATCTGGATTGGAATAAAAGATCGTTAGAATGATTAGCAGGTTTACAAGTCTTTTACTGTGCAGAGTACTCACTTTAAATATTCTCTGTAGCGCCCTTTTGCATTCCTCTGTGAGCTAGGCATAGTAAAATAGGAGTTTTTTTTAATAGGATCTGCTAAACTTATGTTACTATGTCACTTACCTCTTGTGTATCGTAGTTATAAAGTGGAGTTGTGGGGTGTAAGACAGCTTTTTGTGCATAGTAAAACATTTCCGAGATATTTTGCAGCGTTTTTGCAGAACACTGTAAAATAAGTTCAATGTAATATACATATGTCGCAACTTAATAGTAACATGTAGTTGGAAAATAAAGTTACCTCGATACAGCTTTCAATCTCAGAGAACTCCTTCATTATAGGATAAACAGCCTGAAAAAACATAATTATCATTTTAAATAGTCCTATTAGTTTCTAACAAACAGATTTGATTGTATAATATAAATACAAATCTAATCTCTATTGTAAATGAACAACCTCTATGGTGGAATAGTCCACAAGATCGATCTTATTCCCTACAAGTACAACAGGGCATCGATTATTGGTTGAACATTTTCTAATAAGTGGCAGCCAGTAAGTAGCTGCCCTATCCAAAGTATCCTCATCTTCCACTGAATACACAACACAGATAACATGTGCTTTTTGAATTTCCTCCGACAGTTGATCATCCGTTTGTTCAGCAGCTAAAAACACCAAATATGTTTCCATATCGCATAACACCCCAAAGTCTATAAACAGACCTGCCATACTTACCAGAATAATCAACAATGTGCGTTGGCACCTGCTCCGGAGTAACATCAGCAGGGATGGTGATTTCCTCGGCCTTACTGGGTACATCCTCAGCATATTCCTCACTAACTAACGAGAGTATCAAGGAGGTCTTTCCAACATCACGCTCTCCTACCAAGAGGATTCTAACATTGCGCCGGGGCGCAATTTGTCGATGCACCATACTGCTTGTAGCAACCATCTAGTAGACCGGTTGAGCTTAACAGGCACAAGGCCTTAGCAGGGGGTCTGTCTAGTTGAATGGAGAAAGCATCGTTGTCGCATCCAAACAAGCGGCACGTACCCACCTAACCTCTTTCTAGTAACCTCTCGCTAATAGCCACCAGCCCTGTTTGTCACTCTTCCGCACGGCTTCCATCTATGTACACCAGGAATCCGGCATATTCTTTACCTAAATAAGTTACGTATGGACGCCTTTTTATTTAATAGAATGGTACTATCCCAAAGTGACTTGGACCACCACAGGCACTCTATCGCCGTTGATGGCCGTTCAAAACTCCAACTTTGCTTCGAGGGTGGCCTTCAAGGTTACGGATGACGACACATAACGAAACTATAGTCAAGTACACACGGCGCGAGAAAGGCGCGGCTACACAAGTGGATACAGACACCCTGAAGATATCTATATACGTTCAATTTGTCCAGGAAGGACCTCCCAGCACCTTTTTGATCGAATTTAAGCTTTAACTTATTACGCTTTGAATCTCAAACAATTCAAAGTAATACATTCTACCTATCTAGATTAGATTAGATAATTCCAGTGCTGTACGTACGTGCAAGGGAGACTCCAATGGCGTCTAACTCTCTCAAATCTATTTACACAACTCTTGCACGGTCTAATTTGGTACTTAAACTCTACTTCTTGATCTTATTAGAACCATTACGATTTGCCGATAGACCCGGTGACTTGTCGATTTCTACAAGAAGAACTTTCACCAGCTAGTAGTTTTCAATGACCGCAACATTCATATATGTATTTATAAGCATATAATATTACAATGAAAGAAATAGTATATAATCAGTCTCATAAAATAATAAGGTTCTCCATTCAGTCTAGGTGATTCTCATTAAATCTTTATGTTCTTGATGGTAACGTCAATGACTTTGGCGTTGTCCTGGAAGAAATTCTCAGGATAAGGAATACGACGATCAAATGGGAATCCCATAGGACGTGTATCCGGGAATGGTCCGTCCAGGACACCGCAGTAACTAAGTGCCGGAGGTACGTTTATGAAGTCATCGAACTGCCGGTGAAGATCCTTGCTCAGATCAGTCAGCACGACGTACAACTTGAACTTCATTCCCTGGGGACGTCCCTGGGGTAGAAGAAGTCGATGAGGGAATCCGCAGTGTCTGTGTGTCTTTTCTACGAAAACAGTGGCTTCGCCAGCCAGTGCGGCAGCGGTCTGTTTGATAAGAGCAGGGTAGCTCATGGGTTCAGATGAAGTGACTACCGTCTCATGACTTTTGCGGGTAATTATATTCATTCCAGCGTTCACTAAAAAAAAATAGAAACATCGTTTAAGCAAGTGTGTTATAAAAATGAGCTCTTTTCCATTACTGCACAAGATGGAAGAGGACTTACATTTTGCGGTGAATCTGTCGATCTCGATCATGGACCAGCGAGCTTCGTTCAATGGAATTTCCTGGCCGTACCAGTCGTAACGCGGGGCAAGGAACACCCTGACAAAGGCAGCAGTGTCCTTGTCGCTGACGATGGTGCTCACCATTTTGAAAGGTTCGTGATTCAAGCGAGATACTACAGCGCGGATGTCGACGGGTTTCCCATTGACGGCGTTGCCGAGGTTTATGTGACTCTCGTCAAAGTACGTGATCAAGGTATTTGGCTCTGAAGCCTTTGATTCTCCGATGACTTTAAATGCTTCGATCTTTACACCAGGGAAGCTGATCTCGTCGTAGGTGTAAGGTGGAAGTAGATCCTTGTGCTCCTTGAAGAGGTTGTCAATGTGCTTGTGAAGACGAAAGAAGGCCGGGTCGCGGGTGGCAGTCTCAAAATGTTCCATTACTCCAGGAGGATTTCCGTATTTTCCCTTAGGATCGGCCACCCTGGAGAGCAACAGGTGAGCGTCGTTGTGCAGGCTACCGTAGAATTGTGGATCTATACTCGCAGTGGAACTTTCCAAGAGAGCTCCCAAGACATTGATACCCTGGGTACCATTCAGGTAAATTGGTATCCCTGTTAAGAGATATAAAAAAAATCACATGAGAACTTGAATCAAAAGTATGCAAAAAAATAATTCAAAAACTTACCGCTTTTATCGTAGATCACTCCAGCGTCAATGGCATCACGAACTCTCGCCTCGAACTCGATCATCTCTGCTACCGTTCTCTGTGGCAGATCCTGGAAGTAAACGTTGTCAGGGCGCATTGGGAATTCCTGACCACCTGGGTAAGCAGCTGCTGGTGCAAATCCTTCGATGATTGGTTTATCCCACTGAAGTGGTTCCACGGGCGGCATATAGTTGCTCAATCTCTCAGCGTCGAATCGAGCTAGAAGCTGATGATGCATGTAGAAAAAGAGTTCACCAGCACGATCCTTCTGATTGTCCATCCAGAACGGGAAGTCCATGTGCCAGTGAGCATGATGAGAGTTCAGACCAATGTCTTCACCAAAGTATGCGACTCTCTGCTCAGGGTTGAGGACACTTCCGGTGAATTTCATAGGAACAATGGCAGGTTTGCCCTGCATCTGAGCCTGGTAGGCGCGTCTTATGACGTCAGTCGTCAGGAACATGTGTGGCGTGATCTCGTACGCCGGTGGCAGCTTCAGACCACGACAGTCGTTGCGATGAAGAAGAGCCGTGCAGAATCCATAGACAAATTGACGATGATTCATCTTGTCTCTGACGTAAGTTGCCAGGCCCATGAAGGTATCCCAGTCCTTGGCAGCCATTAGACAGTCGAACAAGATCTTCATCTGCTTGCGTTGATTTGCATCGAACAAGGAGAAAATCTCCTCGCGAGGAATCAAATGGCCATTTTCGATCTGGTGCATGAGGTTCTTGATGCATTTGGAATCGTAGAATTTAACATCATTTTTAGGTTCAAATTGAGAACGGATGGAGATGAGCTCAGGATCCTGCAGGGGTTCGTTGATGTGTTGCAGCAAGTGCAGTACCTGCATCTGACGCGAGAGGAAAGCATTGTCCGCTAGAAGAAAATATTTTATTATTTAATGTTTTTTTCTTATTTTTAGGTAATTCTACAAGATTTCCTATGGGGATGACTTACCCTTCTGAAGGACGGCGCATGCACTCACTATTAGAGTCGTAGCCAAGATTATTGCTAGCTTCATAGTAAAATTATGTGACTTCTGCGGCGATCGTTTTGGTATTTATGGGAAATTGAAATGCCTCGAGTTTCCATGCGCAAGGAGTCGCGCCGTGTGCATTTTAGGTCGTTTACATAGCTACCCCCAAAAAAACTGTCTCTTCGCCCACGACGTGATAGTTGATTTTGTCTATTTTTCTTATCGTGGAAAGAAACTGTATGCCGTCATGTAATCAGTAAAGTTGTAATACGTGACCAGGAGGAATCGTCGAATGGATATTTTTTCCTTATCTTCAATACATACATGAACTATTGTTAACAATGATAGAAAGTCTTTAATCGTGCTTTCTTTATTCTGTCTATGATTATAGACTAATGCTCGTTACATATCAAGATACTTTTTCTTTATTCCTTTAATGATACATATTAGCATTTTTTAATATAAAATTAATTATGAGAGATCTAGATAATAGATAAGTAAAATATTCTGAGAAGTTTACTAATAATTTGAAGTTAGCAACAATTTAACGATTTAGCGAAAATTTGTAACATTGTAAATAAAGAAAAGTAAACAAAACAATCGGTATTAAGTGATAAGACAAGTATCAAAATTTATACAAAAAGAGATTAAACTCTTGTACGTAACAGATTATTATAATTAAGTTGGCTTCAAGCAATTGAGTCTACGTCATGTGATTGATTTATCGCACAACATTGTTGCGTTTAATATTTTTTTCTAACATTTAAATAACAATATTTACAAATTTTATATCAACAGATGTACCAAAGTTGTAGCAACGTTCATCAATGCTATAGAAACATTCGAAAAGTATGATATCCACGATTCAGTCTTATCAGACATTTTTTCGTGGCTCAAGGAAAATTCCATGGTTATTTTTTTCACGTCATATACAAAGAGAACGTCCATTCTTATCATTTAGGACCCCACCGGTGTCCAATTTAAGCGCGTTACGTAATATAGCGGTTGCCGGTGAGATGCACTTGGAACCGATGAATGCGCACGGCTCTTATTCTCCAGGGAATAGTTCCTAGTCGAGATGCCCTATATAAACTTGGGACCGGACTAGAAAAAGTCAGAAGTCGTGGACAATTACCACGACGAGTACTTCCAGTTTGGAAAAAGTCAGCGATTCGAACGAATTTTATTACGAAAGAAGATTGGGAAGACATCATGAGGGTCTGCACGGTGGTAACCCTTATGGGCATTGCCCTGGCGGTCACTGCGATTCCTGGTAAGATATAAAAAATTATTTGCTTAGGTGATTAAAATGATAATGATACTTTTGATCATTCCAATCTGTTCATTTTTATGTTTCATAGCCGACAAAGACTTCCTGTCCAAGCAAAAAGAAGTTCTTCATCTCTTGAGCAAGGTCCACGAGCCTAACAGGTTCAAGCACCAGAGCGAACTTGGAAAGTCGATTGAATCCGGTTTGGATGGTCTCTACTTCAAAGATATTACTCCACTGCGCACCCTGCTCAAGATGTACAAGGCTGGTAAGCTTCTACCACGTGGCGCCATCTTCACCCTGTTCGATGAAGATCATCGCAAGGAGATGATCACCCTCTTCGAGAGTCTATACTTTGCCGGGGACTGGACCAGTTTCCTGAAGACAGCTTGCTGGGCCCGCGATCACATTAACGAGGGTGTCTTCATCTATGCTCTGAGTGTCGCTGTTCTTCATCGTCAAGATTGCCGTGGCATTATTTTACCACCAGCCTACGAGACCTATCCCCATCTCTTCGTGAACTCGCAGGTCATCCACGAGGCCTACCAAGCTAAAATGAGACAGCAGGCAGCCGTTATTCGTATGAATTTCACTGGTACCATTAAGAACCCCGAGCAGAGGGTCGCCTATCTTGGCGAAGATTTAGGAATGAACTCACATCATGCTCATTGGCACATGGACTTTCCGTTCTGGTGGCGCAGCGCTGATTATGGACTCGAGAAGGATCGCAAGGGCGAGTTATTCTATTATATGCATCATCAGCTGATCGCACGTTTCGACTTGGAACGTCTGTCCAATGAATTACCCTTCGTCGAGCCACTGTCCTTTGAGGACGTCATCGTCGACGGCTTCCATCCCCAGACCACCTACCGCGTAGGTGGTGAGTTCCCTTCTAGGCCTGATAACTTTGCCTTCCACGACCTGGAGAACATCAAAGTTCACGACATGCAGGATTACGTTCGTCGTATCAAGCAGGCAATCGCTCATAGTTATGTACTTGGTAATGACGGTAGCATCTTATCCATCAACACCACCAACGGGATCAACCTCCTGGGTGCCATCATGGAACCATCTTATGACTCCCCTCATCCAGAATTCTACGGCGCTCTTCATAACTATGGCCACATAATGCTGGGACAGATCACAGACCCCAAGGGCAAGTTCAACGTAAGTACCAAGTTCTTCTGTAACTAAATTTTGAATCTCCATTCAATATGGCGTCTTAAACGAGATTACTATGTCTACGTGTAGCTGCCACCTGGTGTTATGGAGCACTTTGAAACTGCGACTCGTGACCCTGCATTCTTCCGACTTCATAAGTACATCGACAACATCTTCAAGGAACACAAGGACTCTCTGTCGCCATACACCCAGGAAGAACTTAGCTTCTCTGGAGTACAGATCACCGACGTCGAAGTCTCCAGTCTGAACACCTTCTTTGAGGACTTTGACGTGGACCTTCTTAATGCTCTGGACGATACCGTAGACCTGGAGGATGTTGCCATTCATGCTCGTGTCAGGAGGCTCAATCATGCTCCCTTCACTATCAACTTGAAGTTCAAGTCAGACAAGGCTGGTACTGCGGCAGTGCGCATCTTCCTGGGACCGAAGTACGATTGGTTCGGTCAGGAGCTCGACATTGAGGAGAAGAGGTCGTACATGGTAGAACTCGACAAATTCACAGCTCGAAGTAAGTCATTAAGTTAATCACGAAATAGATTACGACTTGATACGACTTGATGCACAATTCATCTTATACGTAACCCCTTTTTTTATCATCTTGCAGTTACTCCTGGTGAAAACAACATCATGCGCAAATCCACCGAATCCAGTGTAACCATCCCGGACCCTGTATCCACGAAGACACTCTGGGAACGCGTCGAGGCGGCTCTTCAGGGTATCAAGAGCTTCGAGGTCGACAAGGATCATCGCCATTGTGGATATCCTGACCGTCTTCTGCTACCCAAAGGAAAACCGGAAGGCATGCCATTCACTCTCTACGTGATCCTCACCGATTTTGAGAATGAGAAGGTCAACAACGTCGACGTCAGCTACAACTACGGTGGTAGTATCAGCTATTGCGGCGCCATTCATGGACACAAATATCCTGACAGTCGTCCTATGGGCTTCCCCTTTGATCGTAAGATCGAAGACTTGGACAATTTCTTGATACCCAACATGATAACCAAGGACGTTACTATTACCTTCAAGGGTTAATTTATATTCCTTACATGCTTTCTCTCTCTGGGATACTAATCAAGACTCTTGAGGATCCCCTTACCTTGGATCCCTCAGAAACATACCTTCTCGAAGACTGATCGTTTTTAATGTCTATTGTTAGAATTGTTGCATAATGTTTACAGACAATAAATATATAAAATCAGATGTTTACCCACTCTTCTGGATAAGTTTTTTAATATAAATACTACGTAAATTTCGATAATTAAGTATCAAACGGTATATCGAGTTATTGTCTTTCTTTAAGTAGCTTCGAGCGCCGCTTGTTCTTCCTTATCCCTTGATTAACAATGAAAAATACTTCGTAAATAAAACGTCCACTAATGAGAACGAATATGTAGCTCGATAACCCTCTCGGCGGGGTCGACAATCACCTGAAACTCTCGCCGCAGTTAATCTCACTTCAATGACGGCTCGTAGCTAAAATTAGTGGGGGATGCTGTTCCAGAAAATGTTAAGCCTTTCTTTTAAAATTGTATAAAAGGAAACGAGCATGTATAAAAAGAAAATTTATGCTTAAGCATTATATATTGTACAAGTATAAATAAGAATTATCGATAATATGAAGTGGAAATAGGGGGTGCTGCAGGTCCACAGTGTCTATACGCGAGCCGCCACTGTCTCCTTTGCACTTTTATTTTTACACAAAATTTTCATATACCCACCACCTATACATTTATTTATATATTTATTGAAGAACATTTTTTATTTTCAGTTATCTTCGTCAAGCCTCACGAATATTTTTACATATTTCACCGAAATATTGTAGCTACAGATTACTATGATCAAATATTATGAAAAATAGAAGATTTAGAAACATCAAATCGTCCGTCATTTCATTCCAGCTTATAGCAAGACCAGGAAAAGCAAAAACAACCCCATCCATAGATATTATTAATTATTGTTTAACGATTTAACCTTCGGCCAGACTCGTCGTATGATTTGCAAATGAGTTGCACTATCTTAAGTAGATAATAATAACCAATCCCACCGTGATGACGGGTCGACAGGTCGCTGATACAAAATACATTTTCACCGATAGCCACCCTGTATAAAAGCCCACCGATCATCCACTACTGGCATACACGCTGTATCATTATGCGTTGGTTATTCGTCTCTCTGGCCCTGCTGGCCATCGCGGCTGCCATCCCGCCGCCAGTTTCACAGCGAGCAGGTATGTATACATGAACCATAATAATATATATATAAATCATTAAAAGATATATAAACCCTAATATATCCAAAATACTTGTATAAATAGCCGACAAGAATTTCTTGAAGATACAACAGGACGTCATTTACTTATTCGAGCACATAACGGAAGAGTTGCCAAACGCTGAGCTTCGTCAACTAGGACTAAATTACCAATTCCAATACGACCTATACTCCGAACCGGAAGTCGTAAAGTACTTCGTCCGCTATGTAGAACGTGGATACGCATTCCCAAGAGGAGTAGCATATTCAATATCGATAAGCGAATATCGTAAGGAAATTGCTCTTCTCACAAGGATCTTCTTGGCAGCCAATGATTACACGACTTTACTTAAAACTGCTGCCTGGGCACGACTGAACCTTAACGAGCATGTTTTCGTCAAGGTCCGCACTACCGTTCACATAGAATCAACAATTAATCGTAAATAAATTAACCTCACTTTATTTTCTTTCGCGCAGGCATTCTCCAGCGCCATCCTTCAGCGAGCGGACACGCGTGGCATTGTTCTACCTCCACCTTACGAGATATTCCCGCAATACTTTCTGGACAGCAGAGTCATCCAGCAGGCGCAGAACATCCTGACTACGGGCGTCGAGAATCCTCTGGCCGAGCACGTAATAAATATTCCTGTTAATTACACCAGTTACTTGCCGTACGGAGAAGACCGTCTGACTTATTTCACGGATGACATCGGGCTCAACGGTTACTATGATTACGTAATGCTCGCTGGGTATATGTTACCTGAGGTTGGTTAATCTAACGAAATACCGTGTAATATTCACTTAATGAATATAGTAATACGAGAACGTTACCTTTTGCAGCACCCGCACGAATGGTACAATAAGTACCAGCAATACGTATCCCAGTGTTGCGCCACGAATCCTGAATTCACAAGTCAGCAAGGCGCGCATACAAGCGAACCGCATATTGGACGTGGTTCACGCTTTTATTATATTCATCAGCAATTGCTTGCACGTTACCATCTTGAACGTCTGAGCAATAGATTGGGTCCAATCAGGGAAGCTGATTATTTGAACGTTCGCACGCCGTATAAACCCAATTTGCGTTTCTCTAACGGCTTGGAATTCCCTGGACGTTACTACGACATCCCACTCAGTCCTTACAGGGATGAGCTTATCAAGACTGTCTGGACAATTGAGAGAAGATTGACAGACGCCATTGATGCTGGATACGTGAAGACGCCACAGAATGTTTTCCTTTCCCTGTATCAGCCATTCGGTTTGGATATTCTTGGGGATTTGATCGAAGGAACTGGACGCAGCATCAATCCTAGGTAAGATCTCGCTATTGATTACGTAGGAGAATGTCTTGGGCGAAAGGAGTAATTGAAATTTTGGACGTCCTAGGTACTACGGAGTCTTTCAAGCTGCAGCCAGACAGCTCTTAGGAGCTGGTCCTGAATACAGAGACATTCGTGGGTACACTCCATCCGTCCTGGAAGTTGGAGTAACCGCTCTTCGCGATCCTGTCTTCTATCAGCTCTACAAGAGGGTTATTAACTTGTTCAAGGATTACCAAGAATCCTTGCCCAGCTATCAAGATTGCGATCTTTACGTGCCGGGAGTGACTGTCGAGAATGTCGAAGTCGACAAATTGATTACCTACTTTACTGATTATAACATTGATATTCAAAGCGCCACTGCTCGTCCAAGTAATGCCAATCAGAGAGAGAATCTCAGACTTCAAGCTCAGCTCAAGAGACTGGATCACAAACCCTACGAGTACAAGATCGTCGTGAAAAACGAGAAGAACGTTGGAAAGGTCGTCGTTCGTGTTTACCTTGGACCGAAATATAATTACGACGGTACTCCAGTCTCTATTCGCAGGGACAGATTGTATTTTGTCGAATTGGATCAATTCATGTACGAGCGTAAGTCAATGGCAAACGAAAAATCCTCTATTTACTTTAATATAAAATCCGTTTATTTTAATACTCCTTTTCCCATTTAGTTCAGAACGGCGAGAACGTAATCGTCAGGAACAGCCGGCAGGCTCCAGGATTCAGTGACGATTATCCATCCGTTCAGCAGCTCCTGAGAAATGTCAAGGAAGCAACAAGATCTCAGAATCCGTTCTACATCACCGAAGTGAGTGACGTGTTGTGCGCTTTATTTTATTTTATTGGATAATCTTCAATAAACATTCTATTCTTATTATAGCCTGAGGACATCTACGGTTTCCCAGCACGTCTAATGTTACCCCGGGGCAGACAAGAAGGATTCCCACTGCAATTTTTAGTTGTCATCTCTCCTTATGAGATCTCCCAAACCACGCCATATGGACCTGTGGTTTCTCGACAATTCCAAACATACCTTAAACCTTACTACGATATTCTTAACGAGGAGGATTATATTAAATACACGGATTCTCCACATGGTTGGAATCGGACCACGTTATACGAGACGGTGCACGGTGTGGCTGGTGAGACTGGTAAGTCAATAGAAATAAAGAATGTATTTATTTCAGATAATAAGAAATATTTGACTGTTTTAATACTTTCTTTGTACAGCCGAACGCAATTACCCTCAAGCAAATTTCTTTGAGAAATATTTTAGTCAGAATCCTTATCCCATGGGGTATCTGTTCACAGAATATTATTCTCACCATCACTCGACCACCACGTCGCAGAAACATCGTACAGGCGAATGGTCCCACAGCGTCCACCAACAGGGTCAGACAATGACCGATTCCTACTTGAAGGATTATTGGTCTAACCAGCCAGTGCAGAATATTATTGGCGGAGTCGTATCTCTCGACGGCAGACCACTGGGTTACCCTCTGGAGAGGCCATTGGCACCAGGAGCACTCTACGTGCCGAATATTAAGGTGGTCGACGTCCAGGTCTACTGCGAGGACGCGTTGACATGTTAAAATATTGTTCGACGATACCAAATACGATCTGAACGAGATATACAATGTTTTTTTTATTAATTTTTATTGTACCATTATTGTGCTGTACCCAAAGAAATAGAATAAAATAGACTGTCATGCAAGATAGTCTTGCTGGAATTATTTGTTGTCCTCTGTACAGTTTTACCATTATACAAAGTATATGAATGAAGATGCTATGAAACGTTATTAGATAAATATACATTTTATTTATAGTTGTACAGTTGACGATGGCTACGACGATGCTTTGCCATAACGCCTACGACCTGCGCTGGTATTTTCTGGGTTTCATTGTCGCCCAGATCGAATATTCCCACGTCTCGCTGTTAATGATTGCGAAGCAGCCATCAGATGATTATTCTCCAGTCATCATTTCCATGAACTCTGAAGTATAAGAGAGGAAACAATTGTTATTTTCTTCGGATCATACAGCGATTCGATTGAATTCGTAAAGGCTCGATAAGCAGTACTTGATTGAACTTACCATCAAAGTCCACGGTACCGGAACCGTCAGTATCAATCTCAGCGATGATACCGTCCAGGTCACGGTTGGTAAGTTTATCATCAAGAGCGGCCAAGATCTCCTTTAGGGTAGCAGTGGTAATATAACCGTTACCCTCGCGATCATAGAGACGGAAGGCTTCCTTGAGTTCCTCCTGCATAGCCTCAGCGTCCTCCTCCTCGAGGAATCGTCCAGCAATTTTGCAGAAGCCGTCGAAGTTTACCTTACCGACACCTTCGGGGTCATTCTCTGCGATCAAGGCGTTGAGGTCCGCGTCGTCGAAGAGCTGACCCATCGTGTTCAGGATGGTTGAGATTTTGAGGGTGTCAATGAAGCCGCTCTTGGTGGTGTCGAACATTTGGAATGCTTTGCGCATCACGGCCATCTTTTGCTCATCTTCCTCCTACGGATGAAACAAGTTTTTTTATTAGAAAAATATACACTGAACAATCGATTCGATATCGATCTCTTTCAATATTTAGATTCGAATGATATTCAATTTTTCCAAAAACCACACAAAACTATATTTCTTTACACTATTTCTTTTTTTCTTTTTTTTTCTTTTTTTTATAAACACTGTTGGTCTATGGGTCATCTGTGCCACTATCTATGGGAAGTTCAACTCTCAGAAATCAATCCTTACCATGGTGACTTATGCTTCGTACGACGGACTGCAGATACCTGAAGAGAGTCACTCTTCCGGGCGCAGTATAAAGCCTCGCAGCTTCTAGTGAACCAGCTAGAAAGTCTCGCACAAAAATAGAGTGTGACGAAAAATGAAATATGTTATAATAAGTGCGGGTGAGTTAGTCGCTTCCACTACGAGGACATTGCTTCCCTTCCTACCATCCATCCGTTTCGTCCTTCTCCATATTCTCAGCTCCTCTCAATCTTACTCTTCCATTTACCAATCCACTCGTTACAGCCACAAATTTTTCCTTCTAACAATTCTCTCATGGGCACAAACTGACAAGAATATCGTCGAACCAGTTACCAGATATTTCCAGGCTGATAACTAGGTCGTTATGGAGTGTGTTACGCATTCAGATTTTTCCAGCTGACTATAACTGATCTATAAAAAGGCTTTAATTTCACAGTACAATTATTTTTCATTGATTAAAAGCGTTAGATGGTTTTATGGTAGATTTAACGTCGATACAACGTTCCTTGTCAGTAAAACTGAAAGACACGCGAATTAGAGAACGTGCCAATTTTCAAAATTATCTGTGCCAACCGCTCAAATATGTGATACGACTCGTTGACTGTGGGCTTGCTGGTACTTCGTAATTTCAGTATAATCTTACTCTTATAGTGGTTTACACTGCATTCCCCTAGAAAGTTATACGTTACGATATCAGCTATACAGGTATAAGGGCTGTTAACAAATTTTGATAAATGTCGTATAGCTTACTTAGTTTTTGCTGTTATCAGTATTGTTCCCACCTAATGCAATTATGACTATAGCTATATTATGCATGCACGATCTGATCGTCATCCTCTGCGTCTAATGTTTATTCTCAACCGTCTGTCCATAACGGTATTAGCGCAATTTTCCCTGAAGTCGCTAGAGTCTCTAGTTCGTTCCTATATAGCTATTTATAACGAGACCCTGTCAGAATGCTTACGGGATGGATGTCCACGACGTAAGACGACCTTCCTAAGATAAGGCATAGTCGTCAGCAAGCCAACATTCATCTACAGTTACCAGTCATTATTAATTTTGATGCTCCAGTTGATAACATGCTGGAAAAATTAATGTACAGGCTATATTAATTGAACGATATGGGTTTTCTCTTTTTAAGACATGAAATATATTTATGGGTTTTTTACGACATACGGCATGTTGTTATGCTCGTAAAGAATGAATGGGCAGTCTTTCTATTAGATGAGAGAATATATTATCAAGCTAATAGCTCCTTGAGCTATATATTATAACCACTAAATGGATCCCAATACTCTGCCATCTTTACAAGCTGATTTTAACAGTCCTTATATCTCTTTCTCAAGTTACATAGTGGCGTATTGTTAGCCTTTCTCTATTGTCTTTTTCCATTTGTTTTTCCCTCGTTCTTCTCTACTTCTTTTTATATCTTTTTTCTCACTTTTTTTTTCTTCCGGTCTTCTATACGCCTGATCCCGTTGGCCCCGAGCCACGCCTGTGAATAGCACGTAGACTGTGGTGGCCTTACGTTAAATATTTTTGGCTATTATTTAAATTCTCACTGGAAGACCGTCATCGTCGATATTATTAAATTAAAGTTGCGGTAAGTTCGCGTCGCATTAACGCGTTCATCCAATAAATTGTAATAAGCTCTAGAAATAACACTTCGTCTATTCTCGCCGAGCGAGCTAAAATTGTTCCTCAAAGTGCCGCCTTGTTTTATGACTATTTTAGAGGATTCAAGGGAAGTTGAGAGTCCTATCAAATTTTTCACCAGAAATTCTATACTATTTTATTCGACGAAGAACACTTTATAATAACTATCATGGTTTCAAGAAACGCAGAATATTTTCTGCGCTAATTGATTCGGTGAGGGAACTCAAATTGCTTGCTGAATATCAAAAATTCAAAAGTATGCTTTACATCCTCTTTTTTTCTTGGCCCGTCATTTATTTTTTATTTCGTAAAGGTTTCTTTATCGATTTACTATAATTTACTGATCGGTCGGTTTATCTGGTACATCCGTAAGTCCACTAGATGGCACGGAAATCATTTAGTTGTGAATCCACCCAAAGTAGCCAAAGAGCGCACGAAGAGTTCCCGATTATCTTATTGCGGAACTCTCGTGTTGGTGGGGGCTCGGCCATACGGTATATGTCACCCAGGTAGTGTGTTCGGGGGTCGTATACTAGTAGTAGAGATATCTGGTTGTCAATCGTGCCAAAAAGAACTGTCTTTAAGCAAATAAGTTGAATAATGGACGAGGCAAGTCGCGAAGAGTCACCGATAGTGAAGCTTAACGAGAATGGGAGAAAGCGCTGAGGGCGACTTGCGCGACTTGCAAATAAGCGATATCAATGGACGCGGCCATGTTTTCTGGTAGCAGAAACTTTTCACATTAATAATTCGGATATACCGTGCAACTCGGAAAAGGAGCGTGCAGAATGCCGAGATGCGACGTGAAGACAAGGTATCTGCCAGCTACGTTCGCGTGGACCCTTCTCCTCAGCACTACAACCCTCTTCTTCTATTTCCCGTGAGTAGTACACCCAGTCCACGCTTCTTGCGTGTATACGAGATCTTATTTTATATCCATTTATTCATCTACCTGATGATACTGACTTGCATTTTGTATTTTGGCCGAATTCTTTAGATGCCAGTATTATGTATTCCATTATCCATGGGTACCTGCAATTCAAGGGGTTATCACCTTCTTTGTACTGGCAAACTTTACTCTGGCCACTTTTATGGATCCAGGTGTCATTCCAAAAGGTATCTGTATTTGTTTAGTCATACCAATGTTACAGTATACTGTCAATGTATTCCAAATGTAGCTTTAAATGGTATGTTTCTTCAGCACCTCCAGACGAAGATCGGGAGGATGATTTTCGAGCACCCTTGTACAAGAACGTTGAAATCAATGGGATCACTGTGCGCATGAAATGGTGTGTCACTTGCAAATTCTACAGACCACCTAGATGCTCGCATTGCAGTGTGTGCAATCATTGTATCGAGGTATGTAGTTAAGACTTGTTTATTTTTGATAAAGTAGAAAGCTTGTGCTCAATCAGTCTTGTATTTTCAGACGTTTGATCATCACTGCCCATGGGTGAACAACTGCATTGGAAGAAGAAACTACAGATTCTTCTTCTTCTTTCTGCTCTCTCTCAGCTGTCACATGCTCAGCATATTTGGACTTTGCCTTTATTTTGTGCTCGAACACAAGCAAAAACTGAGTGAAGTTGACACCATTGTCGCGTATCCTTTTAATAACAGCAGCATAATTATTTAATAATTTTCTAAATACTTGGATTCCTTTACTTTTGAACAGAATGGTTCTCATGGGAGTGGTGTCGCTTCTGTTCATTCCAATAGTCGGACTAACAGCGTTTCACATAATACTTGTTTCTCGTGGTCGAACGACTAACGAACAGGTCACGGGCAAATTCAAGGGAGGCTACAATCCATTCTCTCGTGGTTGCGTTCAAAATTGCTGCTATACACAATTTGGACCACAATATCCAAGGTAAGAGTATCGTTACCTCCTAACCTCTTTGTTGAATTATTTGAATCAGATGTCCGTCCTCTTCGTGTTACAGTTTAATTAAGCCTGAAAAATATTTATCGAAACGACGAGGAGCTTGCACTTCTGAGATATCCACCATAGACAGCGAGAACCAGGTAAAAACCTACATGGATAGCAGCAATGGTGTTAGAAATGCCAGTTCAAATGCTTACAATAAGGTAAGAGCTAGTGCGATTGTGCTCCCTTCTATTTACTATTTTGCAAACTTTCCGTGATCGGACTTGACGCTTTGTATATTTTAACGCAAAATTCCTAGCACTACAAAATTTCATTTCTTCTCCCGTACTTTCCGTATTCCTCTTTCTGTAAAAGTATTTTGAGAACGCGCAATAATTATGCTACACGTAGATACATAGAACCGTTCCCTAATTGTTATAACGCTCTCGCTATCGATTTTGCTCTTAGACTAATTAAACAATATGCACTCTAACATGTTTAGCCAGTTGATCGATTGTACCTCTTAAAATTTAGAGTACTTCTTCGAGCGAAAATCGCATCCAACCCAGTAAACGTTTATATCACTAACCGCCTTTACGAATCCCTCAACATTTCCCAGTCTACCATAAAGGCGAACAAGTAAATAAAAAAAAGAAGTAATCGACATACACGAACCGTACGAACATATCACTATCTCTAATCGACATTTAACTTCCACATTCCAGTTATCTCCTGGCCGAGACGGATCAGACACGGATATGGAGCCCACGGCGTCTCAGTCAGCGGATTGCGAGCCAACGCCGCCATTACAAAGACATGGTTCAAAAAGCAACTTCTTCCTGCCACCAGTGGAGAGCGGCGACTCTCCAAGGCATCCACCGCCATCTCAGCATCGCCATCCTATGCACTATCCTCGAGGAAGTCCGCATCCAAGGCCAAGGTATTTTTTAACTGACTACTTTCTCCGACTAATCATCCTAAAAGACATAATAAATCCTTAACTAATCGTCTTGTCACTCAGGGGTATGAACGGATCTCGAAGTCACACACCGGATCCCTTGTCTCCGGAAGTTAGCGGGTCACCCGCAGGTGGTCCACAGCGTAATCAGGGTCAGGGTGGAGCAAGTCCAACGATGCAGCAGCGTATAAAGGCAATTGGAGTACCTACTCCGCTTGCACTTTCCAGCCCAATTCGCAGGTATGCATCTTGCTTGCATGTTCCTGAGTAATTATCAGGCAGAGACACGTAAGGCAATGAATTTATGCATGTCGGTCACCCTCGAGCGGTGCAAACCGACATAACGCGATATACACTACCCAAAGAGCCGCGATACTGACTCGCCTCTATAGCCTTGTAATAAGATTGGCTAATTAGAAATCGGGATAAATTACGCTTATAAAATTATTTTGACGAGCACACCATCTGGCGTCTCTGCTACGTACTATCAGGCAGACTTAACTCAAGTAGAATGCAAATGGGGGAAATATGCCTCTTTGTCCCTTTTAATGGTAGCAATCATGCATCTTCGAGCACGCTGTTCGACACTGACAAATAACTATTCTATATTATTACTACATTGTTACAAAGAAATATTAAAGACCTCTCAATACCTGTTTCATCTTTTTTTAAATTTCTTTCTGTCACTCGCTCTTACAACTCACTTTTATTCTCAAGATTTTATATTATATTTGTTTGTCTGTCTGTCCAATGATCTCGCAGTCAGTTGACATTCCTCGCCAACTCCAGAAGAGTCTCGGCTCGGCGTGGCTATGAAGGAAAATACGAAATCTAGAATGTGGGTAGTTTCTCAGAGACAATGGTAGAAATATAGTTCGATTTGCACGTATGGCAAAAAGAAAGAGAAAAAAATGTACGGTATATAGATAAGTTTGTGTCCCACTGCAGGGGGTGGTAACTGCAAGGAGCTGCTACGCCATCACGTTGCAACCTACTGCAGGTAAACACGAACTTCATCCTACGAGGACCTACCGTAGTTTACGATTTACGCTTTCTTATGCGTTATTAGGTTCGCTACCTTTTACTTTTCTTGTCGATAGATGCTACATTTTTTAACAGGAATGATGCGCTGCTCTCCCGTAGGTTCTCGCCAGAGCCGTATTTGTATGACTGCAATGCTCAGCACTCGCATATATACCCAATTGGTTCACTGTACCGTTCATTGTCGAAAGTCGTCAGGGTGTCTTGGTGTTCCTCATTCAAAATAATCTCGTCTCTGTTGCAGATCGAATCCAGGTACGCCGACGCAGGTACGTCGGCCGGACTTTATAGGGGTGACCGAGGCACCGACCTACTACGACGTGCAGCAAGGTAACGGAGGAGGCGGTATGTCTGGCGTCACTGGCGTCACCGGGTACAGTCCTCAGCGTCGTTTCCTTTCCGAGAGCGAGCTTGTGCGCCAGGGTACAGAGCACCCTTACTCTCGCACTAACAATACCGTCGACAATATACGAGAGCTGGCTGGTTCTCCTCAACGAGGTGTCTACACGTGGAAAGACAACTCGCCCGGCAGCTATCCCCCACCGTCCGGACCAACCTCGGGTCCTCCGGTACATCAGTCACCGTCGCAGCGGCCACCGCCACCGTATGATTATTACCGATCCAACCCCACAAGTCCAACGCAGCAGCCCTACCCGAATCCTCCAAGAGCAGCTTATCATCCTGCAGTACGAGGTGGCGTCCAAGTCTTCCCACCGCATCAGTCGCCCCAGGTTAAACGGAAAGCCACCATGGCGACGCCAACCACCCCGACCTCCGGGGACGGTCGACGTAGACCCATGTCCTTCGTACGGGCACTTGAAATGACTGACTCCATGGAAATGGTCTCCGCACCAGGCGACCCGAGGTCTCAGAGGCCTACCACACCTACCCCAGATCGTGCTAGTGTCTACGATATGAACTATGAGATATCCGTATAGCCCACCTTTTTCATCTCCGGTCCATCCTCTGTGTGGACGGAGATCGATGGAGAACCACCGAGCAGCATCTTCCTCCCCGTTGGCGGTCATCGACAGGGTGAAAGGACACGGTATGCGGGCTGCGAGATATCCGTTTAAACGATCGTCGCCCCGTTTCTCTTATCTGAGAAAATCAACGACATATCGAGTCATAACGATGCACTGGCCCGACGATTCAAGATGGATTCGCTCCACGTTTTCCTTTAACCAGTAATACCTGTCTGTGTTCCTCTTCCCGTAGACGATGTCATTCCCTGGAAGTGAACGAGACTCAATTTTGGCAGGTCAACAAATAATGAAGTAGCACCGTAGAAAGACTTGCAGAATCCTAATGTCAAAATCTGGTCGTCGTCACACTCTTCGCTATTCATCAGTCAATCGTGCCACTGGATCCTGGTGTTTAGCCCCCGTTTCCTCTGTGTATCTCCATTGCCGTGATTTGAGGAACAGCTGTTATGGCGCGGCAAGATATCATTTAGCAATATTTTCTTCGTGTAAAAAAGCTAAAGGAAAAACGAGACGGACAGAGAGAGAGAGAGAGAGAGAGACATGAGAAAGGAGGAGTAAGAAAGAATCGCGCGCGCGATAGATCTAATCCGCAAAGACTCAGCATTTAATGTAAAGAATTAAATTTTTGCCCCACCAAGATTATCGTTTCTCGAGCTCTCAGGAATTCAATGATTAGACATGAGAAAGGAGGAGTAAGAAAGAATCTATTTTCTTCGTGTAAAAAAGCTAAAGGAAAAACGAGACGGACAGAGAGAGAGAGAGAGAGAGAGACATGAGAAAGGAGGAGTAAGAAAGAATCGCGCGCGCGATAGATCTAATCCGCAAAGACTCAGCATTTAATGTAAAGAATTAAATTTTTGCCCCACCAAGATTATCGTTTCTCGAGCTCTCAGGAATTCAATGATTATTTCTTTTTTTTATTTTTATTAGCCTGTGAGCACGTACAAGATTACTTGACATGTTTATACAACGTTAAGCGTTCAGCTTAGCTCGAGTGAGATCGATCGCTAATTCCCTTTTTGGGCCAAAACTCCTCTTTTCCGTTACTCGCTAGCCCCTTTTTTTGTCATTTTTATTACTACGCGTTCTTCGTTTTGACGACTCAGTGAATCGTTTAACTATCACCAATATTAACACGCGAGATGACCGTGTCCATTAACAAAATGTTACTTAATCGACTTAAGTCATTGTCAAGATAGAATAACAAATTCTGTGTAAAATAATCGTACGATGTGTAGTAAAATTTTTAATATACTTATTTAACAATATTTATACGTAAATGATAAATATAAGACTTTATAATTTTGCCTGTTTGTTATAAATGATGATTTTTCTCAATATTCCCACAAACGCGACGCGCTTTACGTTTACGTTTATGTCAGCTCATTTGTTTATGGACTATCGGACATTTTTGTTGTTTTCTTCCGATTGCTTAAACGGAAGGGAGGGACATAATATATATTTATATTTATAAATATACATATATTTATTTATATTTATATATATACATATAAAGTAAAAACAGAGAAACGAACGAATCGAATCGAATTTCTTCCCAATGCTCTTTTCTTCCATTGACTTGAACGAATGACGCGTTGTTACAGCTGTCAGAGAATATTTTCACAAGTATATCTGGTATCTATGAGGAAAAAAGTTTGCTTATAAGAAAAATTCCGAATATCGAAATAAATCGTGCCAAAGAAGGTTTCTTGACTTTCTTGTACCTCGTTCGTATTTTTCATATTTTTCGTAGAACGATTCGCTCTCATCGTTCCCTCGTTTATTATATAGTAAACGAAAAAGAAGAAAGAAAAGGAAATGACGGTACAACATCATAGATTCGTAAAATAAGATGCGGCGAATATTCTAGTATTTGTAATTCGATGTATTTGTACATACATAACTACTGATCGTTCTTATCACTTCAATGTACATATATATTTCGGTACTTCACGTTTCGTGGCTGAGATTCTACGAAATAAACGAAATGGAAATTAATCAGTAATTCTTCCTACATCTCACCGTTAAACGTAAAAGCAGATAAATACAAAATACATTTGGTTCTCATTGTTAATCTTTATACTAAAATTCGTTTGTATCTGCTTAAGTGGCAATTCGAGTTGCTGGGAAATGACGGCCATTTTTAATAATTTTCGCGCCTTGAAAATTTCGAGAGGCAATCGCAGCAGAGTGACACAATGGCGCATCTATGCAACTATCTGTAGTCTATGGCGTGGCTGGTAAATGACGCTGTGTGTTGTATCGTTTAGCTCTGTTCTATGGGAAAGAATATAACTTTTATAAGGGACGATAAGTGATGTTAATCGAGGATATTTAACTCGAACGTTTGTTTGGCAGTCTCCTGGACATTTAGTAATAGTGTGTTGCTTAAATAAATGTAGAGGTTGGTCGTCAGCCGGGCGCCACCATATTCTGTATTTGTACGGCATTCGGACTCCATTACGCGCGTATTGAAAATATACACGGTAACCAAACATTACGGTTGATTATCTTCGATCATGTAAGTAATATTTATTACATTATAATATTAGTTGGCTTACATTCTGATTGTATTGTTTTTTGTTTGTACCATTTTGTAGGGTGCGCAGTCGTAAGGACAGTACTGGCAAAAGCGACTCGGAAACCACCGATAAAGAAAACAAGAAGGACAGAGGACGAGAACGCGAAAGGAAAAAACGTGCTGCGTCTTCCTCGAGCAGTGGCAGTAGGTGAGTCATAAGTTCAGTTAGACTGAAGAGTCTAGAGTAATGGATATTATTTACAAATTTACAGTTCTTCGGATAGTAGCTCTGCCTCTTCTAGCTCAAGCAGTGGGAGTACCTCAAGATCGAGTTCTTCCTCAAGTAGTTCATCGAGCAGTTCCGGCAGTTCATCAGGAAGCTCCCGTGATAGAGGACGCAAACGTAGCCGCAGTAAAAGTGTAGATGCTTCCAGGAGGCATGACAATAAAGAGAAGGAACGAGACAAGGACAGGGAAAGGGACAGAGATAAGGACAAGAAAAAGGGTAGCAGTTCAGCAATAGACAAACCAAAACCAAAGGGCCGTTCTAGATCTCAGTCACCTCGAAGGAAGCGTAGAGAGCGGTCTCCAATACCTAGGCCAACAAAGATTCACATCGGTCACTTGACACGTAACGTTACCAAGGAACATATTATGGAAATCTTTTCTACGTACGGCCAAATAAAAATGGTGGACTTTGCTGTGGATAAACTTCATCCAAATCATGGTCGTGGCTTTGCTTATGTGGAATTTGAAACTGCTGACGAAGCTGAGAATGCTATGAAGCATATGGACGGAGGTAAGAAAATGCTACTATCAACTGTCAATATAAAACGATTAATGTTTTCCTTTAATTTAATTACCATATTTCCTCTAGGACAAATTGACGGACAGGAAATTACAGCAGCTCCAGTACTCCTACCAAAACCACGTCCACCTCCCATGCGCAGGATGTCACCGATCCTTGGAAGAAGACCACCACCGCGATGGGGAGGAGGTGGCCGTAATTCTCCACCTCGTTATCGCAGACGTTCACCTCTTATGAATCGGCGACGAAGTCCTCGACCTCCTCGACGCAGGCCCAGAACTCGTTCTCGCAGTCCACCAAATAATCCGCGCCATCGTCATCGCCGTTACACCAGATCAAGCTCCAGCAGTTCCCGATAACAATCCTACTTCACCAATTGGAACATTTAAGGAATCCTTGCACACATTTTGCTACGTCGATCAGTTTGTCTAACAGGTTTAATCTTAAGTCACGTAAGGATGTACACATGGGAGCTACGTATTTTATGAATACTGGACTCGTTGCGATTGGAATGTTAGGCAACCTACGTTCCGTTCCATCAGTGAATATTGCTCGTGATATCTTTCTTTTTCCTTTTAAAATATATCAATTTCACGCGTATTCAATAGTTTATTTAATGCGTCACTTCCGCCAACCTTTCAATGTGAAAGGGTCATTTATACAGAACCTGACGCTTGAGACTGTCTCCGGCAATCAAGCTGGATGCGTGTTTATAGGTCTGGTTGTGGGGCACTGATAAAAACTTGTATCTACTTTGATAGAAACTATGATTATTAGACCCTTTTACAAAGAATCAATTTTAGAAAAAACCTATTCACGCAAAATCTTCTTTATACTCGCGCGATATCTACAAAAACAGAATAATTGCATCACATTGCAATTTTGCATTGATGAAAAATATCTACAACTCTTTAAATGGTATATAATTATTAATTATATAATAATATACAATTTCGCAATGACTTTACAGTCTTGTCCAAACAAACTAATGGTTGGGAGCCTGATGATTTGAAATAGGAAAAAGTAAAAGGTCCCAAAAATTTCAATGAATGTTATATCCTCCTTCCTCATGGCACAAGATACGCTGAGTAAATGACCCAGAGATTTACTATCGCCATTTTATCATCTCCGTCGCAAAATTCTCCACTGCTTTTACCCGCATCCCTCTTTAATATCGCTCACCATAATTAACACGACCCATTAAGAGCTGTGAATTTTTAAGACAATCCACAGCTTACGAAATCACGTTATAAGGTGAAAGAAATCTAAAAAAATATCGTAACGGTAAAATTATTCGGTATGAAGGAATACAAAAAAAAACTGTCCCGGTTTAAAAATTGTCCACTTTAAAGAACTTATGAAAAGACAGGCATTTGGAAAAAAGAATATGTTGTTATGCACGAGACCTAAGGTAATTGTAATAAGAGACTGTGTATTTCGTGAGAAAAGGGTTCGACCTGGCTCGCCGCCATTGGTTCGCGTCCGATGACATTGACGATGACGTACGCTTCATGATAGCAAAACCGTCGGTGATCCATATACCATTTTTATATCACAGGAAAGTACTGAGTGCCATTTTAGCCGGCTTTCTTCAAAATCACGTTCTCGCACAACACACACACACACTCGCGCTCAAATTCCCGTTTACTCCGTGTCCTCTGGCTTTTGGCGTGTATTTTTTTTTTCTATCTTCCATTAGCTCTTCGTCGGATATTTGTTGCAAGAGAAAATACAAAAAAAAGTAACAGCGATGTCCATGTTATTCTCCAAACCAGAGTCAATAATAATTACGTCACTCTTTCAATGTATTCTCTCGCACATTCGTTCGTTTATTCTCTCTCTCTCTCTCTCTCTGTTTGCTTTCACCCCTTTCTTCGGTTCCCTATACGTTCTGCTAGTATTTTTTCCCTTTTTTTTCTTTACAAATTAAGCTCTATCAAAAAAGTAAAATTTATATATATAGTTCTTTATATTACATCGATTAAATTAACGGTGAACTTCTTCGACATTATCCATACGGAGTAACAGAGATTCGGATTCATTTATACGTGGCAATAAATAAATAATTAAATAATTTTTTGTTGAGTAATAGCTAGTTCCGTTAAACTTCCTAGCCTGGGATTTTTTTTCTTTTGTTTACGTAGCGTCGCCTTGCATCCTATAGTAATTATAATATTACACACGATATTAACTGTACGCATAGTAATCATCGTAATAGTAAAGTTTATATCGCTTATAGACAGTCAGATCCCCGAAACTGCAGAAACCACATTATACAACGTCGTATAACACAAGTTTACGAATGCCTCGTAATCGTCGTGGTCGTTAATCGCAGTCGTCAATCTACTACTCATCGCGCGAAGTTCCCATCCTCATCCATGTCTTCGTCACCGTCGGCGTCCCAAGTCATTTTTATCCACGATCCTTTTCAAACACACCTTCCCCCCAAGGCATCGTACGGGCTTAGAAGTAACGTCCTATCGTTTATATCTATAAATATCATATAACCTATGTACAATTTTCAAATAGCGCCTATCCGTTAGAAAATATCGGTTGGTGCTCTGCCGCGCCGCGATAATCGATTAACGCGCAATCGACTCTTTAGTCAGGATTACGATTACGTTGAATGGCGCCGACTGGAGAAGGTGGTACGATGTATCATCGGGATTGAGGCGCGTCCTCCTTCTTGTGAATATCTGCGTGCATCAGCGCGGGTTCCATCTGACGTCCAGGTACTCCGGGTACACCAGGTACGCCAGGTCCAGGCCCGGCCCTGTGGTGCATGTGTAGATTGCTCAATGGTCCCGGACTGGGATCTTTACTTCGTAGAGAATTGACTGGCGGCGGAGGATATCCGGCGTAAAGTTTCGCTCTCTCCTCCTCCTCTGCGCGAAAAGCTGCGACAAGAGGATTGTACCGTAGTTGCTGAAGAGGATCGTAACGGTAGTGATCCCGGAACGGATCTCCCGGCCATGGTCCACCTGGTTGTCCCGTCGGACCTGACGGCGGTGGTGGGAAATGTTGCATAGGATGACCGCCGAGTCCTGGTAGCATAGAGCGCGACATAGAGTGCGGTCCGGGCATGCCGTGCGGATGCCTCGCGAGATAGGGATGAGGATGTGGATGATGATATCTCGGATCCGGAAGCGGACTGGGTCCCGGTCCTGGTCCGGGTCCAGAACCAGGACCCGGTGGCGGAGGCCTTGGTAGCATCACTACGTCATCGTCTTTGCTTCGGGGTTCTTCCTTGACGCGGACCTCACCCGTGTCCAGAGGCGTCGAACCGTTTCGCAAAGGAGAACGTTCCCTGCCGACAACCATGTGCTGTCGATTCTGATGAAGGATTCTCTCGCGCTCCATTTCTCGTCTTTCCATCTCCCGACGCTCCTTGTCTCGCCTCTCGCGTTCCCTTTCACGCTCGGCCGCTTCCTGCTTTCTTTTCTCCTCCTTCTCTCTCTCCCGTCTGTCCCTCTCGCGCTGCTCCTCTCTCTCCCTCTCCCTTTCACGACGAGCCCTCTCACGTTCGCGTTCGCGTTCACGTTCACGCTCGCGCTCGCGTTCCCGTTCCTCGAGCTCGGCCCTCCTGTCAATCGCAGGTGGCTCCGGCTTCAAGCCCCAGGACACCGTCGTAGGCGGGAACCCAGTGGAAGCACGCTGCAGCCTATTTAATAAAGAGAAAAGAAGGTTTGAAAGTTATTTTGATCTTTCGTCGTTAGGTCAGTAGGATCAGTATAATTACCCTCTCCAGGGGTCGTGCACGGATCCTAATCCGCCTAAGGATGGCATTTCTCGGGCTGGTGGAAAACCGGAGAGTCCAGGGAAATTCGGATTTGGTGGCCCGTACGACGAAGGGTATCTGCCGAAGGGCGACATTCCTGTTCCTGGAAACATTGGCGCGCGGTTGCGAGCTTATATGATATCCCGAATAATCTCAAGTTACTTAAAAACTATTTACCACCCCGACCCAAGGAGATGATATTGAGACATACCTAAATGCGAAGCTGGCGTCGAAAGGAATCCTACAGGATGAGGTGGCGGAGGTGGCGGATGCGAGGGAGGCATGTTCGTAGGAAATGGTGGTGCCATAGGTCCTCCGATTCCCAAACCACCACCCGGACCACCAGGATACAGATGTCCCGGTGGTCTAAGTAATTCCGTTTTAGTCCCCACACCACCACCGGCTTTAGCTTCTGCCTGCTGCTTCTGTTGATGATGATAGATTTCCCACGCTATTCGAACGTGCATCGCGTTCCACTTTCCCGTCTTCTACAGAACAGAAAGATTATCATTGAAAATGGTTTTGAGAAAATTCAAGATGTTCATTAAGATCACTACATACCTTTGGTGCGAACGAAGTCAAATGATTCGGTGGGACGAAGGGCGTGGACGGAGGTCCAATGCCGGGATGAAGTAGTCCAGCATTAAAGCCCGAGTAGCTCGAAAGATTGAGATTCCCACGAAAAAACTGAGAATCCACTCCTCCGAGCTTTGGAATGTCCTTGAACTGCGAAAAGGAGCCACGCTTTCCTTACGATTCGTCACTGAGTACCGGGTTTTTTAACGCGGGAAAAATTATACTCACAATCGGAGGTGGAAAGAGGGTAGTAGCCGTAGGAGGTGGAAGCAACGGGGTAGTATGCTGATGAACGTGAGTATGCTGATGCTGATGATGATGCATCTCCGTCCTGAGATAAGGTGGAGGTCCAAGATTCCCAACGCCGACGTTCACGTTCCTATCTTGAGACGCCAAAAATCTATTGTCAAGTTCTCGCCTCAGCAGGTCCGTTTGACCTGTAACATGAGTCACCCCTTGTCAAAATTAGCAATCCCCTCGAAATAAAATTTCGTAAACCATTTCTCAATTCTTAATTAGAGTTGATTTATAAACTTACTTGTTTGAAAGAGAGACTCGGCTGAGAAGGGATTGGGATTCGACGTCGGCGGAGGAAGCGAGGGTAACGAGGTATGAGGACTCGAACTGGACACTGGTGGTGGTAAGGGTGCTGCGAACATCGGTGGTGGGAAGGTGTGCATTCCTAGTGGCACCGGGGGTGGTGTTGGCCTCGGAACAGACGTGGCCGTCGCCGGTGATAACTGGGAGGCCGCGCTGCTACTAAAAATGTGAAATAGTCGATAGAACGAAATTCCCATATCAAGGAGTATCTTTTAATTGGAAAGAAAGTAATATGTAAGACAACATTCTCACCTGATCCACCCTTGAGCCTTGGAGTAAGCAGGTAGACTAGAATTGGCTGGGGAGGACGTGTTTGGCACACTGACGGGCGTTATGCTGCCTCTGCTTAGGCTACTCACGTTGCTGCTGTAACGAGGACGACTTTTATTACGAGGAAGGAGAATCAATGGATGACTATAACGGAAAAGGAAAAAAAGGAGGAAAAGCAGAGAGAGAGAGAGAGAGAGAGAGAGAGAGAGAGAGAGAGAGAGAGTAGAAGAAACAAAATTCTCATTTCGTACCTATAGCTGTCACGTTCCCGATTGGGACTGTGCCCGCGGGGTGAATTGTTATTCCTCCCGGCTAGAGAACACGCCACGATGTCCCGGTGCGCGACGGTATTCGCGGTGGTAACTGTGTTCGTGATCGTCGAGACGCACGTCGTCGTTGCGGCACTGAGGGGAGTGTTACTGTGATTGGCGACGCTACTTCCTATCGTCTGTTTAGATATATTCGTACAGGGTGAGGCCCTACTGCCTCTCTGAAAGCATAACACGGATATTAACGAAGACGAAGAGTCATCGACAGTCTGCAAAACGGTTGATGACCACGAGGAAGACTCACCACGTCCGCCCGCGAGGATGCTGAGTGCGAGGGCGACGGTACGGCTGGCGGAAGGTATGGGCTGTGATTGAGAGCAGTGTAGGGCGTATAGAGAGGTGGATAAGAGGGCTGTGTCTGGGGATAGGCTGCCATTGGCAATGGGGGTGGATAACTCGTTGTCGCCGCTCCGTTGGACGGTGCTGCAGGAGTCACGCCAAGGCTGGCCACCGCGGGACTAGTTGTGTGGCTCGACGAGACAATCGGCACGTTGGGGGGATGTAACGCGGGTATCGTCGTATGCGGCTGCTGGGGTAGCGAAGGGGCTGGTAGAGCAGGGGATGCTGGCCGCTGCTGTGGAGCTATTGCACGTGGATTCGCTGCCAGTGGACTAGTCATCTGTAAAGATTAAATACAAATTTTCGTACGACCTTCATATCCATTTCCATCCCCCGAAGAAAGTCATTCGAATAAAATAAGTAATACTTACGGGTGGTTGGGATATGTGAGGGGGTAGCGTAGGACTGGGTGGACTTGGCGCTGTCGGAACTGGCGCAGTGGCAGGCACAGGGGGTGGAATCGGTGCAGGAGCATCCGTCGCAGGATTTGAAATTTGCCCACCCGTATCCGGTGGGGATCCTCCTGCTCCGTTCGCAGGTGGCAGCACGTGTGGTGACGAAGACGGCAACTCGTCTGAAATTAAAAAATGATCTCAATTACAATGTCTGCCATCAGACTGCACATACGTCTGGATTACTTACATTTACGTGCAATGGGTGGTGGGGTGGAAGATTCAAAGAGTATCGACTCTGCGTCCGAGCCCTGAAACATTAAGTTGTCAGTAACCTCAAAACTTAAAAAAAAATTATTATCCCAGGAGAAAGGGATTGTCTATCCAACCTTACACACCTTATCGTCTTCTCCTTCACTATCACACTGTAACGACAGTAACAAAAATTCAATTAATACTTAACAATTACAAAAACCATGAAAAACAAACTACGTGAAAATGTTATTTCCACTATACTGATACTCACGATATAACCTTTACCGGAACTGCAATGACTGCTAGCCTGTATGCAACAAGAAAGATTGATGATTGAGTATAATAAAAAAAAAGTATATATATATATATATATATATATATATATATATATATATATAATTCTGT